AAATGGGAGACTGGAGGGGGAAGTTGACCATAAATGAATGTGTATACAAAAAGAGGAAATCTTTCATTGCAAACTGCTTCCTATGCATAAATGGTACAGAGCCTATGGCCTTCCATATGTTATTGGACTCCCCACTCCCATCAGCCCCAGTGAGCATGGTCAATAATCTGTGATGATGGGAGTTGTCGTTCCAACATCTGGAGGGCCACAGGTTCCCAATCTCTGCTATACACTGAGGAAAAACAATGTTCTATTAAGCACTAGCTTGGAACAGTGTTGGTCAGAGTTGTATATGTTAAAACCAGTAAAGCAATATGAACAAACAGTAACAAAACTCACAGCAGCCAAAATATCTGAGGGCAGTTTTAATTCCCATTGCAAAAACACGCAGTGAGCCGAGCAATATAAATCTCCAGGGGGTGTTGGGAGAATTCTATTGGATGGTTAATGTATACCTACCCAGGACACCTGTGAACTTTTCATGACTTTAAATGTACAACAGTGCATATATTATAACAATAAGCATAAACGTTAAAAACATTCACATCGGTTCCAGTTAAACATTCTTCCATCTAGTGATCCCTGGTTGACAGGGACAGTATTCATTGGCCACCGGATGCCTGGGTATATGGGGAGGTTTTCAAATTCCTCCTGAAAATTAATAATTACAGGCACCGGAACACTTCACTGGGGAGGGCAATCCTCAAACGGGGAACCACCACTTTAAAGGCCCAGGAAAGGAATATTAGAGACTGGGTGGTAGTTTTCTAAAACTTGGATCCAGGGAAGACCTCATCACTCTTTCTTTCAAGGTTGTGGGTACAGTGGTACCTCGCAAGACAAAAAACTCGCTAGACGAAAGGGTTTTTTGAGCTGCTTCGCAAGACGATTTTCCCTATGGGCTTGCTTCGCAAGACGGAAACGTCTTGCAAGTTTGTTTCCTTTTTCTTAACACCGTTAATACAGTTGCGACTTGACTTCGAGGAGCAACTCATAGAACGCGGTGTGGTAGCCTTTTTGAGGTTTTTAAAGACTTTGGTGATTTTTGAAGCTTTTCCAAAACTTTCCCGACACCGTGCTTCGCAAGACGAAAAAAATCGCAAGACGACAAAACTCGCGGAACGAATTAATTTCGTCTTGCGAGGCACCACTGTATAACTCTCTCCTGCAATGAGGCACTGACCACTCTCTTGCGCCATCCGGTCAACCTCCTCCTGCTAGATTTTATGAGCCATAATGGACCAAGAGGGCACATTGTTTGCCTCATTGCTGCAAGCATCATATCCACACCCTCAGGTTGCAACAGCTGAAACTGATCCCACTAGGTGTAATTCACTGATGTTCTAGAGACCTCCAATGAACATGAACCAATTATGGCAACAAGTTCAGCATGGATCTGAATGATTTTGCTCTCAAAGTGCTTTGCAAAGCTCTCATAATGTAGTGCATTTCACAGTGATGAAAGGAAGGTGCCTTAGCAGTGCACTCACTTTACTGCCAGTGAAATTCCCAGGTGCTCTAATTGCCTTATGACATCAGAGAATGTGTTATCTAGGCAAAACTAAGTCCAAGTCCAAGTACTCGACTCTAAATTTACCGATGTCATGATAAATGAGCTGCAAGTTCGTGTCAGGAGTTCAGAAGGAGTTTCATTTTCAGAGAATTTCAACCAAAGCAACATAAGCTCATTTTAAAGAGTGACTTCTGTTAGGATTTACATTTCACAGAGATCATGAATCACTTTGTCTAGCTGCCGTGGGATCCAACTAATGGCTTAAAGCCAGACTAAATTAGTCAGGGTTTAGTCCCATCAAAATCATTGAGACTAAAGCATGAATAACTGGATCCAACTGAATGTGTTTAGTCCAGAGCTTTCCAAACTGTGTGTAGTGACATGTTAGTGTGTTAACTCCAGTGTGTAGGTGTGTCACACAAACACACCTGGAAAGGGGTTAGTTTAACCTCAAGTTTGCTAGTAAAACTGAATTACTGTGTTGTAAAATGATGCATGTCTAAAAAGTGTGTCACCAGCATGAAAAGTTTGGAAAGCTATGGTTTAGTTGGTGGGATAATAAGATAACACTTTCAAAGAATGTGTTTGGTAGGTGAAATCAAGTCTCTGTGGTCTTGGTAAGTGCTTAATGTGGCATTTGCACTGAACCCAGTAATTTGGTATTAATGTTTAAAGACTGATTATGAGTAACCACAGATGAATAAGGCCAGGTAACGTACTTAGATATTCATACTACATCTGTTCATTTAAGACACTTTATTTTAACTATGTGCACTTCACTGAAAAGACTCTTAAAATTTGTTAAGAACAGGAGGATACTTAATCCAAACTCAACAAATAAAAGAATAAGGATACATAAATTGAGCCATTTAAAAATAGATATTTAAACCTATAAGAGAAGCAGAATGGTTAAAGAACACAAAATTTTCAGGTATCATGTACTTTGATCCTTCTTGTTTTATGTCTTTAACATGCTGTATGTTGGTGGTTTCTGTCAGGTTTAAGTATGGACTTTTTTACCTTAGTACAAAGAAGTAGATAATAATCTTCAGGTGCTTTCCTATTCTGTGCTGCCTTGATAAATTTGAATGAGTTAAAATGTTTTGACTGCTGCTAGTTCATTTTGTTTGCATTTTTCTTCCACACTGATGACTTCCAAACAACCTGTGGCGCACTTGGAAATGTTCAAGAAAGTGAACATTTATGTGTATACTTCATAGAGAAACAAAGCAGCCCTTCCACTGAAAGCTGTTACCTAGCACTTGGATCTGCATAGTGACTTTGTCAATATAAGACATGTAACCGTGCAAGCTGTGTTAAAGGAGTGAGGGAGGGTGTGGTGCATGACTTTTGTCCTGTCCCGAGCCTCTCTGTGGATGACTAAACTCCTTTCTAAGTGACAGAATTTCCTCAGTATCAATATGCGTTTTTAAAAATCCACCTTTCTCTTCTGTCTGCTTCCCTTTCTTTTGATTGGAGATAGGGTTGTCAGATGCGAGAGAAGACAGGACTCCTGCATCTTTAATAATCGTTGTGTAGCAGAGAGAATTCTTGCTGAAATTCTCTCTGGAGCAGTTCTTGCAGGGGAGAGGGCTCAGCCGAGGAGGGAAGCAGGTAAGGGGAGGGAGGACAGGAAGGGGAAGTACCATTTGTGTAGTTGGAAGTCCATTGCCACAAGTGGGATGCCACCATTGGATGTCACTCTTAATACACCTTTTTATAGCTCCAGGTGGTATACCAGCTGCTACTTTTCATGGAGAAAACAGCTCTGGCCACTGCCACATATGCTTTAGTTAGATTTGGTTATGCACATGCAAGGGGCTGCCTTTCAGGAATGTTTGGAAACTACAGTACACTACAGTTGTGCATAATGCTGTAGCCAGGAAGTTATCAGGGCTTTGTTATTTGGAGCATATTTTGCCATTACTATTAGGTCTGTATTGGACTTTGGTATATTTTCAAGCTTATAACCTCTAAAAAGTCCTATAGAGCTTGGGCCCAGAGTATTTAATAACAATCTGCTTCTGGCTGATTCTGCCTGCCTAGTGGGCTCATTGCAAGCTGTCCCATAAAACTTTCCCTTCTGTTTTATATATACAGTGGTACCTCAGGTTACATACGCTTCAGGTTACATATGCTTCAGGTTACATACGCTTCAGGTTACAGACTCCGCTAACCAAGAAATAGTGCTTCAGGTTAAGAACTTTGCTTCAGGATGAGAACAGAAATCGGGCTCCGGTGGCGCGGCAGCAGCAGGAGGCCCCATTAGCTAAAGTGATGCTTCAGGTTAAGAACAGTTTCAGGTTAAGTACGGGCCTCTGGAACGAATTAAGTACTTAACCTGATGTACCACTGTACACACACACATGCTTTTTTTTCTAAAAAAATTTTTAGGGGTACTCTCATTTTGACTCAAGAAAATCTCATTTCATAGTTCAAACTGGGAAAAATAAATACAGTACATGGACAAAAGTACAAAGATTCACAAAATGTTTAGGGGTATGCGTACCCCTCCAGAAAAAAGTAGCATGGATGCAATTTCGCCTCTTAATCTTCCCATCACCCAAAAGAAATTAGAAGGAGGGACACCTTAACTAAGCCTGAAGGCAAAGGGTCAAGCAGCCACTCCCCCATGCTCCAAACATGCCGCTTTCTATTTAAAAACAAAAACAAAAAAGATTGGGAATACTTACATAAAACTGTATTTGATGTATAGTTTGGCCTCAATCAATATTTACTTCTTTTGAATCTATTTATATTGCCTATCAGTTTTATATTCCCAGGGCACTTGAATAGTATAAAACTGTATAAAACAGTATAAAACTGTTAAAATATAAATCTAAAATTAAAATTTGGAGTGAAGTGTCTTCAATATGTAGATGGCTCCCAGCTCTGTCTCTCTGTTCCATGTGAATCTGGAGAGGCATTTGAAGTGCTAGAGGCAGTGAGGCGCTGGATTTGGCCCAATAAATTGAGGCTGGAACCTGGAAAGGCCATGGGGCACCTGCAGGTGGTGCTGTACTGAATACAGAATCTTAATATATGAATAGGTTCATATGGTAGTTGTTGAGCTTTTTTTTTACAAAAATGCCAAAATAATAACCCCGTGATTTTTTGATTGACTTGCCTAAGATCCAGGACAAAGCACCACCTTTTGGAAATTCCCCCTGGACGTCAATTCCGCCTTCGAAATCCCGGTAATGTCCAGGAAAATCCGGACGTATGGCAGCCGTCTCATATGGAGACAGGTGGTACTTCAAGGAATTTGAATTGGGCTAGCAATTTCAAATACACACCAGTGGCCTATTTATTCAATCTCTCCCTACTTATATACAATTAGGAGCAACACCTGCACCAGCCATGTCATAGGAACATAGAAAGCTGCCTTATATTGGGTCAGATCAATGATTCATCTAGCTTAGTATTGTCAACAACGGCCGGCAGCAACTTCCCAGGGTTTCAGGTCAGGGGCATTTCCACATCTATCTGGAAATGCCCAAGTTGAACCTGGGAACTTTTGCATGCAAAGCAGATGCTCTACAACTGAGCTATGGTCCTTTCCTGTCACCATGACAGAAGAGACAATATGGTATAATGCCCCTTCCAAATATAGCAGCACACCCCTGCCCAAATGTACAGGTGCCCACAGGTAGACTATAGCTCAGAAGATAGGTCATGCGACTCAAGGCTGTCTCTGTCTGGTTCCATGTTGTGAACACTTAAAGCTCACAAGGGGGAGCTCTGAGACTCCACTTCCCAACTCTGGTTGGGCAGGGGACATTAAAATACTGCAAATGGTTTTTAGTTGAAGGTATTTAGGTTTTTAGTACTGCTTTATCTATAGTATATATACTATGGTGGCCTGATTTAAACTAATTTGGGACTTTTCTGAAGTTCAAAACAGAAAAGTGACATTCAAAGCTTTTACTTGGAAGAAAATTCTTGTCTAAATCAAATGGGGTGGATTATATTTCAGTGTACATGTGTTTCAGGCAGAAATATAATGAGTATGTTTCTGAAAGCATCTGTTGAATCAGACATGTGATGTTACATAGGGTAAGAACTAGCAAGAAACTTTAACCAACAGCAATTCATGACAGTTTCCTCGACAATGGTTTTATCTCTGCTACTGCAGAATATGTAATCTAATATTGTTTTGCATTTCATATGCATGTCCCCAAGATGTCATAATCTGACCACTGTTGATAGCTGACTTGTGTCATTTTTCTATCATAACTGTAGAAGAACAAATGTAGTTTAATATCTGAGAGAGGGAACACAATTCTTTGGATGGTTAAGATTTACAAGAGAAAATCTGTAAGTGGTCTGTCTTGTAAGAAAACTAGGCTTTATGTCTTGTGTCATTCTGATTTTCTTGCTTGACTGAATTTTGCTATTATTTATCACATGTATAGCACTTGGTCTCCAATGCATGACATAACTATCATCATTCTCATTTCAAAGAGATATCTCTGTGTGTATGTGTGAAAGAGAGAGAGAGAGAGAAATGTTGATTAGATCATTGGTTAGGATTTGAAACTACACTATCTATGCCAAGTCCTGTTCTTCATATACTAAAAACATTTGGCTTAGACAGATTTCTATTATTGAAAGGAAAATAATGGGAGCATCAATTATTGCTGTCAGTCTTTTGTACTCTGCAAAATACTAACATCTACAGTCTGAAAATTGCATAACTGGGTGCAGGATTACAACACGAGGTGTGTTGCAAAGTGTCTGTATGCTGCCACATTCTCAAATTTATCAATGGATGTGCATTTTTGTTCCTCTACAAATCATCTACAGGATGACTTCATCGCTCAGAAAATATTTGTAAGTAAAATATTACAGATTGAATATCTGGGATTTTCAGTATTTAATCACTGCAATACTTCTTTTCAGGAATTATTATCAGAATTATAACTATGATTCAGTTTTTCACCATGTAGCAATGAGTGACAGAAAAACTGTTGCCCTTTGCATGCTGAAACAACATATTGGCTCCGCCCCCCTAAATATTGGTTCCATGCAACAAATACATACCCTCAGACAGGAAAAATGAATTTATTGTATTTAAGTTATAAAAGCCGGGGGAGGCAAAGTTTCTAAATGCAGCTAAGTCATTGTTGTTGTTGTTTAGTCATGTCCGACTCTTTGTGACCCCATGGACCATAGCACGCCAGGCACTCCTGTCTTCCACTGCCTCCCGCAGTTTGGTCAAACTCATGCTGGTAGCTTTGAGAACACTGTCCAACCATCTCGTCCTCTGTCATCCCCTTCTCCTTGTGCCCTCCATCTTACCCAGCATCAGGGTCTTTTCCAGGGAGTCTTCTCTTCTCATGAGGTGGAGCCTCAGCTTCACAGTCTGTCCTTCCAGTGAGCAGTCAGGGCTGATTTCCTTAAGAATGGATCAGTTTGATCTTCTTGCAGTCCATGGGACTCTCAAGATTCTCCTCCAGCACCATAATTCAAAAGCATCAATTATTCGGCGATCAGCCTTCTTTATGGTCCAGCTAAGTCATAGATGCTATATTTATGGGAAGTATGGATAGGATAAAATTATTCCCAACACAGTTTACAAGAACCAAGTCTAAACAGGTGGCAGAAAGCAAGAAACGTAAATTTCATTGACATTCTAGTAGTGTATAGTCAGTTTTAAGACGTTTTTAAACCTAAAATATTATGTTAATGATACAAACTCTGCTTTTTGTCAAAACAATGCATTTCTCAAAGAGTCAAGACTGCTTGAGGGGAAAGTAGCTATGAGGTCAATAACATTAAATTAGCAGGAATCTTGAGATTCCTTTCAAGGGCTGGGCAGATGTTCCTGTTTCTAGAATATTGAGATGTCTGCTTAGGTACTGTGAAAAACTGAGAAAGAAATGTCCTTGCATAAAAGAGTAAAAACATAATTGGCCTGTTAATTAATTAGTCTGTTGGTTATTCCATTCAGTTGATCCCAATGATAAAACAGCAAACATTTTTAGAAAATGAAGAAGTCCTGAATACTACTATTGCCAATTTCAGTTGATGCTGGAGCATTTTAAAAGGGCATTGACATAAATGCAGCAGTGCTGGGTATTGTAGACACTAAAGATATGTAATTTATTAGTTAATAGCTTTTAAAATATGCTTTGAACTTGATGCTTTTGGTAAGTTGTTCCTGAATTATTACAGTGTAACAGTAAATTGCTAACGCTGTGCCTCTCTACAATTCAGCAATTCATCAGTGCAATATGAACAAGGCTTCTATAGAAATCCAATAGACACAACTGGATTTTTTAAAAAAAGCATATGATCTTGGTTACAGAAATGTAGAATTGCAGCAGTTTCATCTGACTTGAAAAGCTCATTTAGACCTATGCAGGCAAAGTCGAGAGCTCCCTTGGCAGTAATTGTAAAATGGGACATGGACTTTGCATTTATGAGAATCAGTAGCTGATGATGGCCTCAGTTCATTTAAACTCCAAATGTATGTAGCATGAAATAGATTATCTGCTGTTTTCCATTTAAGTATTCATTGAATGTCTGGGCCACAAAATAAACTATGATTGGAAACTAAACCCTTATTAAATGCAATGAACACACATTCATAATTTCTGTGTTATGAGATTTAGAGAGACACTTCCAATACACCTTTGGGCTTTAGCAGTTTAAGAGCTTTAAGTAATGTATTTCCTCTATGACTATTCCTTTTTAAATGGGCTATTACACAAGACTACTTAATGCATCATTGCCCATTCTATTACCCTGTTACATAGGTTACATAGTTACAGAACTGTGATTTTCTAATTTCAAAGGAGGATTTGCATAATGTGGGGCAAGCCAGGGAAAATCACTTGCAGAAAAATGGGCTATGCACACATTATCTAAAGGCCATGATTTTATCCAGTTTTTGACTAATGGTTTTAACATGCTAAACGGCTGGTTTTAGGAATGATCCCAAGGTTGTAAAATAAATGTGTAGTGGTACATAGGACACACCAATTCCCTTCACAGAGCTACAATTTGCAGAGTGGCTTAACAGTCAATCCCTCTTCACAGGGAATGGCAGCTCTGTGAGAGGTGTAGGAGTCTCCTAACAACTCTCATCACCCTTCGCAAACTACAGCTTCCAGAATTCTTTGGGGGAAGCCACAACTGTTTAGAGTAGTACAGTGGTACCTTGGGTTAAGAACTTAATTTGTTCTGGAGGTCCGTTCTTAACCTGAAACTGTTCCTAACCTGAGGTACCACTTTAGCTAATGGGGCCTCCTGCTGCTGCTGTGCCGCCGCAGCGCGATTTCTGTTCTCATCCTGAAGGAAAGTTCTTAACCCAAGGTACTATTTCTGGGTTAGCGGAGTCTGTAACCTGAAGCACCTGTAACCTGAGGTACCACTGTATCATAGAGCTTTTAAATGTATGGTGTGAATGTGGCCTAAGTCAAAGCACATGCAACAGAAAGAATCATATACTGCTGCCCTGTTTACCCCAGTCTTTACTTTCCTGCTATCGGCAAGTTTTAAATTGCAATCTCTTCTAGGCAGAGACCCGTCCACACTATGTGCACACTATAAATAATATAAATTATGTATTTTGTGTATTTTTATGTTGTGAAACACCCTCAGATCTAATGGGTGTAGGGCGGTATACAAATCTAAACAACAACAACAAACGTATGAACCCAAACTTGAACTTCTTTTATTCCCTGCTAAGCTTTTACTTTCTATACATAGGTGAGAAAAGTAAATCCAGGTTCATAAATATAATGCAAGCCAGTTGCTTTCAGCTTATGATTACTTTCGGTTATTAGGGGAAATGGGAAATGGTTTCAACTACCTGAGTGAGTTTATGTAGTGTACCACAACAGTTGGTGTGGTTTCATGTCCGTTGTATTAGACTGAGAGATGCATTTGCCTTAGCAGCTGGAATACCTCATTTAATGAGATCGTCAAAGGATGACAGTTACTTGGAGTGTTCATTGATAGTGTTCTTGTGAAATACAGCATGTCCTGTGTCACTCAGCCATGCCGCTCATTCCTTGGCTGATACAGAACTGGCACTGATAGTTGCTGCAGCTTATTGCTATTTACATGGCAGGCCAAATAGCATTTGGTTGAAAGTTACTTTCCTTGTGATCATAGCGTACTGGAAAATGAGAAAAGCATGGACAGTCAACCCTTTGTGATTTCCTGCATAGTGGCTATTATCTGTCATACAAGGTCAAACAGATAAGGTCTGAAATGCTTTTTCTGTCAACAACTGAGAGCTCATACAATAATAAGAACCCTTAGTTGTGATGCAGTGCTTCATAGCCAGAGCTCTTCCTGCTCACTAAACCCTGTTACCTCGTCAGCTTCCAACACCACCTCCCCCCAATCTGCTCCCTCTTCTCCCTCTGACCACTCATTGTTGTCCCACCACCAGTCCCCTGGCTCTGAGCCTTCTTCCCCTGGGGGTTCCCCAGCTTGTGCCTCGCACTACTCCTCTGCATCCAGCCAGCCCATGACACCAGACAGGGTGCTGGTCCACCAGCTGAAGCTGCTGGAAGACACTCCATGCCACCAAGGCCACCTGAGCCTCAAGTGACAGCAGTGGATCTAGAAGTACCTTCTAGCTGCATACTCGCTTCTTCAGAGGGATTTGTAACTCCATCAAGTCCCACCCATCTGGTCTAAGGAACCACCCACTAACAGTGCCTCAGTCTTACCTGGATTGAACTTCGGTTTATTGGCTCTCATCCAGCCCATTGCCAAGGCGAGACAACAGTCCAGTACATCCACTGCCACACTTGCAGATGTAAAGGAAAAGTAGAGCTGTGTGTTAACAGAATACTGCTGCTAACCTTCTCCAAAACTCCCAGTGACCCCACTCAGTGGTTTCATGTAGATGTTAAACAGCAGGGGATAAAATAGAACCCTGAGGAACCCCACATTAAAGGTTCCATGGAACTGAAGAGCACGCCCCAAGCACCACTCTCTGGAACAACCACCCAAGTGGGACTGAAACCTGCCACAAATCAGTGTCACCCACCCCTAAAGCAAAGAGATGGTCCAGAGGATATCATGGTTGATGGTATGAAAAGCCACTGAGAGGTCAAGGAGAATGAACAAGAACATGTCCGTCCGTCCCCCCTGACAGAAGTCATCATACAGGGTGATCAAAGCAGTTTCTGTGCTAAAACCCAGCTTAAACCCTGATTGAAATGAATCTAGAAAACCTTGCCCAAGAAAGGGATATTGGTAACTGGCCAGTATAATTACTTAGATTTTCCGAATCCAGGGAGGGGTTGTTGAGGAGGGGTTTTACCATTGCCTGCTTGAAGCAGGCAGGGACCACTCTCTCTCACAAGGAGGCATTAATCATCTCCCTGGCCCAGCCAGCTGCTCCCTGCCTGCTGGTTTTTTATCAGCCAAGGGGGCAAGCAGCTGCCCTGACCAATTCAAGCACCTTGTCTGCATCCTCAAGCCTTACTAACTGAAACTCACCCAACATAACAGGACTAGACAGCTAGTTTTGTGCAAAGTGCATACATTTGGCAGCTTCTGATCAAGTTCAGATGCCATCCTTCACTGGTAGAGCCAGTGTGGTGTAGTGGTTAAGAGTGGTAGTCTCGTACTTTGGGGAACCGGGTTCGGGTCTCCGCTCCTCCACATGCAGCTGCTGGGTGACCTTGGGCCAGTCACACTTCTTTGAAGTCTCTCAGCCCCACTCACCTCACAGAGTGTTTGTTGTGGGGGAGGAAGGGAAAGGAGAATGTTAGCCGCTTTGAGACTCCTTAAAGGGAGTGAAAGGCGGGATATCAAATCCAAACTCTTCTTCTTCTTCTGGTAGCACACTAAGGCTTGCTTCTTCCAAAAACCACAACAGATAAGGTAGTGAGCCTCTGTCTGAACTGTACTACCTCAAACTGCAGATGGGAGTACATGATTAAATGATCTTTCATACAAACAATTCCCTGTGGATTAAATGTAAATTGGAGAAGGAGAATTCAGTCATGTGAGTTCATGCCTGCACAGTCTGGACCTAGGTTTACCGCCTCAACAGCTGTTTGTGGAACTAGGCCTAAAGTTTCTATGAACCAGGTTGCACTCATTACAGAGGGTAATTCTGCTATCTATCCACAAGCATATGCACTGAAATGGTAATAATTTTCTGAAAGGAGAAGACAATTGATATTATATACATAGTTATACATACAGATGGAAAACTGCCCTGTGAGCTATCTTTCTTCTTTATGCTATCAATGTTTCCACACAGCTTGCTTGATATTTTGATTCTGCACAATTAACTGCTGACTGTGGTATTTCCTATGCATAGAATGGTTAATAAACCATGCAAGCAATTATGGGAATATTTCAAAATCTGAATTAAACCCCTTGAGCATCTGCAGGTGCAATATATATATGCATGTCTCATGGGTGCTGTTACTTGAAGCTTGAAAACAAAGTTGTATAGTGCACCATGTTTGCTTCTGCTTACAATTTGAACATGCTGCAGCCTTGATCATACCAGCTAGTTTGTAAAGGGTACTTAATGTGGATAACACTGTTGCATTTACAGAAGGATTGAACCAAATGTCCTTCAGATTATTATTAGACAATTCTGTGCAGGTGTCCAGCATGCATGCATCACAATAACCGTTATGAATAGATAGAATTCAGATTGTGTTTGTGAATTTGAACTCCTGATCCCCACATTTCTGGTCATCCTACAAACATAAGAAGAGCTTTACAAGATCAGAACAAATGCCCATCTATTTCTCAGAGTAGCCAGCCAGATGCCTGTGGGAGGCCTGCAAGCAGGACATGAGCACAACAGGGCTCTCCTGCTCCTGTTGCCCAGCAACTGGCATTCAGATTTCAGCAGTGTACCACCTCTGATACTAGACGTAGTATCTTGGCACGGGACTACATAGACATCGATCCGTTTAATCCCCTTTTCATAGAATCATAGAATTGTAGAGTTGGAAGGTATCCTGAGGGTCATCTAGTCCAACTCCCTGCAGTGCAGGAATCTCAACACGCGGTCCTTCATCCAATTTGAAACCATACCGGACCCTGCTTAGCTTTGCACATGTGCTAGCAGTTTTACTGCTACACCACTTACAGCTACTCAAGTTGACATCCATTACTGCTACATCTTGTGGGTGGTGACTTCCATAGTTAAACTCAGTGCTATGTGAAGATGTACTTTGTTTTGTTTGTTCTGAATCCTCCAATAGTCAGCTTAACTGGATGAGCCTGGTTCTGCTATTATGAAGAAGAAGAAGAGTTTGGATTTGATATCCCGCCTTTCACTCCCTTTAAGGAGTCTCAAAGCGGCTAACATTCTCCTTTCCCTTCCTCCCCCACAACAAACACTCTGTGAGGTGAGTGGGGCTGAGAGACTTCAAAGAAGTGTGACTGGCCCAAGGTCACCCAGCAGCTGAATGTAGAGGAGCGGAGACGCGAACCCAGTTCACCAGATTACGAGACTACCGCTCTTAACCACTACACCACACTGGCTCTATTGTGAGAGAGGGAGGAAAGCTCTAATTTATTTTCGCCACTCAGTGCATAATTTTATGTCTCACTAGTACTCCTTACTTAAGTCTTTTATAAATGAAAAAGTCCCAAATGTTGCAAAAATGTCCTCATCAAGGAACTGACCCCATTTAGGTCAGTGCTACTCAAAGGCAACACCATCCCAGCCCAGGTTGGATGGTGCACTTCAGGGACCAAACATGATACCAGTGTTTGGCATATTGTGTGGGGGTTTGCTAGTCCACCATCTCAGATAGCTTGAGAAGCACTTATTCAAGTCACCCTGTTCCAGTTGTACTGTTTAAGGTACGGTGGTACCTCAGGTTACATACGCTTCAGGTTACAGACTCCGCTAACCCAGAAATATTACTTCGGGTTAAGAACTTTGCTTCAAGATGAGAACAGAAATCGTGCCCCGGCGGCGCGGTGGCAGCGGGAGGCCCCCATTAGCTAAAGTAGTGCTTCAGGTTAAGATCAGTTTCAGGTTAAGAACGGACCTGCAGAACGAATTAAGTTCTTAACCTGAGGTACCACTGTATAGAGGACAGTTCCTGTGATAAACAGAGTATATGTTGCAGTCAGCTTCTTGCCCTATCATAGAGTTTGAAGGGACCATGAATGTCATCCAAACCAACCCCTGCAATGCAGGGATTTTTTACCCAATGTTAGGCTTGAACCCACAACCCTGAGATTAAGAGTCTCATGCTCAACCAACTGAGCTATCCCAATTTCATAGTCTACCTGTTGTTGTTTCAAGGTGAATAGACTGCCTCTCTGGAATCATCTCCATCCCTGGCAAGGAAGTTTTCTTAGGAACCAAAGAAAGCATTCTTCTCAGTCCCATTCATACTCCTTGGGTAAGGCGGCTGCATGATAAGAGGAAAGGAAAGGGAGATTAGTGGGCTTCTCTGCACGTCAGCCTCTGTGTAATAGTCCCAATAAACATTTTTAGAGCAGGTAGTTTAGAGAGTAAGGTGCCACCCATCTTTTGAACCATTAGAAATTACATCCTATTTTTATACATTTTTGTAGAATCTCAGACAGTGAAGCAAAGCTATAAGTAGGGTTTCTTGAAAATTGCTTTTCCTTTCATGTTATCTTATACTACCACAACGGCATCAGAAAATCACTGCATGGTTCTCTTTTCAAAATGCATAATGACTGAAATAACATCTGGGGAGCACAGATAGATTTTGAAGAGAAGGAGATGAAAAAGTGACGATAGGAGGGTATTGCTGCCCAGCACAATGCCTTCCCATTTCAAGAACGCTAATTGAGCCACATGGTCTGGCAGTTTTTGAGAAAAACAGGAAAGCTGTCTTGTATTAGACTTTTGTACTAGATGGAAGAAATGGGGAGCAAGGAGAGAATAAAATAAAAGCACAAACTTAGATTGCTCAGCTTGACCTCGTGAGTGGTTTTCTTCTACTCATCAATCAACTTAGACAGCCGTTGCTCATGATTTATGAAATATTCACTGCACCAGAGACAATATTGTAGGATAAATCCTTAAAACATCTGCTTTTTGTTTAGCTTATATAAAAAAATTGAGTCTCAGTTACTTTGTAGCATATATGTAATTAGCTTAGGGAATTCAGTACCATTAACTTTTATATAGGACTGGACAGATTCCCAGGAATGAATACAATTATCCCTAGCTCTCTGCTGTGATAGCTAGTGGCCATCACCAGGTCTTATGGTAAGGGTTCCATACATTAATTGTGTTTTTTGATGAATAATTACTCTCTTTTGTCTGTTGTTCTTCTGGGTTGCTTTGAGTTGGTGATGTAAATATATTCACTTTCTCCCCACCATGCCTCAACCTAAATATTAATATAGCTCAGGTGTCAGTCCTTAGGTCGATAAAGTATTAGCTGGAATTGGACTCCACAGTCACTTATGGACACACTGTTAAGACCATATTCATGGAAGACAATCTTACTCGGCTACGAGTGATCGCTAAAGAAGAGCAGGTAGGGGGGAGGAACCCAAAGATTTGTAGTATTTTTTTAAAGGAAAAAAACCTCTAAATGAACCCAGGGTGCTGCCCGTGTAGACAGTCTTGAGTTAGATGAATCAAAGGGCCTTACTCAGTATGGCAGCCGTCTATGTTCCTAATGTGTTCTGTGCATGCTCCATGATCATGGGATGCTGGCTGACAGATGGAGCAGAAATGGGGTGGCAGGAAAGCTTAAAAAACGAGCACTCCACACTACAATATCTCAGTTGTGATTTCATAAACATCAGGCCCCCTCACCCTAGTTACCTCCCCATCCCAATTTAGAAAGTCCCAAACATTTAGTCTCTCCTTATAAAGAAGAGGTGTTCCAGTCCCACTGATCAATTTGGCCTGCTCCTTTCTGCCATTTCTCCAACTATCCTTTTTTTAAAAAAACAACAGGGCAGCTGGACCTGTGCCCCGCCCCCCCATAAATTAACTGGACAGTTTCCACTCACACTTTACAAGCAGCCCTGCTCAAATCAGATTTGATTACCGATTCATATTCGTACATGGTATCAAGGAAAGGAGTTTTCCCATCTGGATCCTGAAGAGTCCCGCGTTTCCATTACAGCATTTTGCCTTACTGATAACTTTCGCCAGCAAAGCGTTAAATTTCCTGTTGTTGTTTGTGTGCGTGTGTGCGCGCGCGCATGTTTCCTTTGGCTTGATTGCCAAACTAAGAGGTTCCACGCATTTCCAAGCGCCCCCAGCCCCAGCGACTCTTTTTAAAAAATTATTACTATTCGTGGTCTCTTGGGATGTGCGGGTGGGAGTGGAGCAGCAACCTGTGCTTCGAGCCCAGGGGGGCGGCGCGGTTGGGGGTGGGGGTTTCGGTTTAGCTCACAGCGCCCAAGCGGCCCCCTGCCTTTCGCCTTCCGCGGGAGGGCGCGTCTGTCTCTGGCGATGTTTCTTTGGCGTAGACGCCGCTCGTTTCCTCCTGAGCGCTTTTCAGGAAGGCGCGCCGCGAGACGGCGGAAGGCTGGAGGGCGTCAGTCGAGCTCGGGGAGCCTCTGGTGGGCGTGCCTCGTCCAAGCGCCTCGCTTCAGCCTCCCGCCCCCTCTCGCACACACGCCCAGGAGGCGGCGAAAGCCCGGCAGCCTAGTGCTGTGCCTGGCCAGGCAGAGGGACTCCGACGACCTCGCTGCTCGGCTACGGAGGTTTGGGACTCTGGCTGGGAGTCGAAGGGCGCAGGGAAGAACGTGGCCACCATGCCTGGCAGCGACACCGCCCTGGCGGTGGACAGGACCTACTCGGACCCGGAGAGGCACCGGCGCTTCAAGACCCGGGTAATCTTTCTGCCCCCTCGATTCCCTCCTCCTGCAGGGCTCCGTCGCCCGGCGCTGCTTTTCTCATCGGCACTTGCTCGAACTGAGCCAGCGCTGCAAAACCTCGTTGCTGCTTAGTTTGATTCAGGGTATCCGCCGGCGTCCCTGTCGCCCCTGCACTCTTTGGGATGGTTCAGGGCTTAAGCTCGCTCCAGGTTTCCCTCTGGGACGCGCCTTTCGTCGCCTCTGGGTGTTGTCGGAGGCAGGTGTCATGTCCCCAAAACAGGCTCCAGTTCAGCAGCGTGCCTTTGCGATGTGTCAAATGTCAGGTTTCAACTTGCCTTGCTGCCCAGAGGAGCAGTCGCTGGTGACTGGGCATCCGGCCCCCGCTTGCATTTGCACCTCTGTTGTTAAGTAACAGTTATCCGGACTTGGGACATTGTGGGCGCCTGGGTTGAGAGAGCTGCTAAAAATTTATAGGACGAGAGTCTCTGAAAGGCTTTCCCCCTTTCTCTGAAGACATTCCATGCCAGTGCAGGTATTTTGCATAGGCAAAGACGCTCTGATTATTACAAGCTAGAATTAACCATTCCCTAATTATTTGAATGTAGGTTAGCAGACGTTTGGAACCAAGTGTTTGGCACCCTGAACTCAGACAGTATCTGGCTGTTTGCTGTGTTGAAACAGGTGGGCAGTGCCCTTGGAACTCAGGGCAGTCAGAGCAGTCAGGAACCAGGAGCTTGATATGCTGAACCAAATATGAAATGTTCTGGAAGGCCTACAAGTCCCATCTTCGTAGACAGGATAACCCCCAGACTAATTGGTAGTTGTGGCAAGAATGAGCTTATACATATGTTTATAGTCACTTGCTTTGATATATGCTAATTGGCTTGCTTTGATGCTATGCTTATCTGTGGACCTTGGGATAATGGGCTCTAGACCCAGAGAGGGGAGAAGCTTTGGATAGCTGTCACCTATCCCAGGTGTGATGGGAGATTCTGGACAAACCGATATGCTGCTTTTTGCATAAAGGATGTAAACGTTTGCTTGAGTGCAGACAAGTCATGACAACCTCTCATTGTTGCGGTGTCTGTTCCGTATGTGTAAAGGCAGCGATGCTCTGCATGCGGTGTTGTAAAGTTTGCACTCTTAATTAATAAAGCACTAGAGCTGGCCATTCTGGCACTTTTACAGCCTTTTTTTGTATCCCTGCATCAAACTGCTCACCTAGGCCCTCCTTTGGGCCTGTGGTTCTGAACACTCAACATTCGCTCTTTTGACCTTATGGCTAGGTACACATTAGTGGTTTAAAATGCATTGAGGTTGCGGTGTTTGCCTGTTGCATTTCCATGGTTCTGTACACACCAGAGAGGGAGGGGGCTGGGATGTCTTCACCTGATGCACATTACCTTTTTTGGTTTTCTCACTCCTGCAACCCACCCAGCAACCCATTCATGGGGCTGTCATCTGTGCATATGCAGTCGTCTGCGCATGTGCAATGGCTGTCTCAAATTTACACACCTCTGTATAACTGCAGAGTGAATGTGGCTTATGCTTTCAAACTGAATGGAAGCTGGTTTAAGCGGTTGGGTGGGGGAAACATCAAATAGCAGTATTTCTCAAGGAACTCTAGATAGGGATTATAGCTAATGTCATGTGTACGCAGCTTCAGTGGTGGGAGCGCACAGGAGCCAGAGTAAATGGTAATGTGTGCACAGCTTAAAGCTGCCAGGACCTGCTCAGATGCGATCAGGGCAGAGGCACTGAGGATGGAGGGTTATACCCATGAGAGTTTTTTGTGATATAAATTGTTGTTGTGGAGTTATTAGTCCCACCGGGGTGAAATCGGGGCTAATAGTATCTTAGATAATAATAGATCAGGGAAATGGCACAGGGGTAAGGGTTAACTCTCCCATTTTGGCCAGTGCTGATGATCTAATAAAAAGTACAGCACGCTAGGGCTGGTTTCAAAGTAAAGTTGGGAGATCCCACTGACATCACAGGCAGTATCTACTGGTGCCAAAGATTCTACTGCAGCCAGCTTCTGCTCAGCAATAATTGTTCTGTTTGGGGTGTGGGGCAGGAACCAGCAACTTTAGATAGCGGTATGACCCATTCTGTACAATTATTATTTCATAACTGGAGTGTCACATTGAAATTATTATAAGATCTGGGTTTTGGTTTTGGTTTTAGAAGAAAGATCTTCACAATACCTTCATTTTAAACCAAGTCTATGTTGCTTTCTGTTTAAGTGGTAAAATGTGCTGACATTTGTACAAGGCCAAAATTGCGAAGATGGAGCTTGAATAAAGTTAAGTAAATGAGAAGACTACATGCAAAAATCTAAAGAGTGAAAAGCAAGTCAGGTGTTTATTATTGGAGTGTCTAAAGCAGGGTTGGTGTATGGCATAGGTCTGCCCTCTCCCCAGGCACTTTAAGATTGCCCCATGCCTCTTATCCTGAATTCTGTCTAGGCAGAGGTGTTAAGTCATTCCTCCCAAGTTCTCAATACACAGTGTGTGGGAAGGTTTCTGTGCCACTTTCACAGCTCCACCTCCTTGTCATTGCCACCTTGCCTGCTTCATCCTCTAGCACCATGTGATTTTCCTCTTTTTGTAACATTTGTGTTCCATTGGTTAGGTCCAGGGTCCAGGGCCCTTTAAACAGGACTGTTGTCAACATCTTTACCCCCTTGACTGCACCCACCTGCAACTGATGCCAGGAGCTGCCAGATATGACCACTGAAACAAAGTTTTGCTCTTGGTTTGGCCCTGTATAGGAACTATTCATTGGCATCTGTCTTAGAAGACAATGGGAAAGTGTACCTTCGGGGGTGAAATAAAACCATTGGAGAGTTACAGCGCCTGCTGTGGCTGTACAGACTGATGCAGGAGAGTGCCTGGTTGGCTTGTTGAATGATACTCTAACCTCAAAGCTCGCATTGAAGCAGGCTGACAGTGCTGGGTCAGTACTTTATGGACCAGGAGCTGCCCAGCTTAAGGCGGGTGTTAGCTGACCAGTGAGACATGATGATTACTCCTACCGATTAAGGCAACCCATAGCACTTCAATCTTACAACAATCAGGCTGCGCTTGTAAATCATAACTGCTGCCTCCTGTGTTGTTTTTGCTGTGTTAACAGCACCAAAGTGAACTCTCTGGGGCACAAGCCAGGGCAGTGCGTGTGGAGGTCCTGGGCTGCCCAGACGAAACAGCTCACGTCTCAGCCTTGCTGATGTGGTCCAAAGGAAAGGAAAGCAATATATTTGGCACCAGCTTGGCTGCAGGAGCTGCCGTAAGGATGTGTACAAGACTCCAGCCAACCGCCATCGGGACTCCGCTCTGGATTTGTGTAGGGTTTGCTCCATTGGTTCTGAAAGGGTGTCGACTGCCACACTGATATGACAAGAGAGGATGCCAAGTGTGGTGGGGAGATTCTACAGTTCTTCGCATATTGTTGTGAAGAGGGGTTTTCAATTCTGACAAATATAAAAGGTCAGAAAAGAGAAAGGCTTCTTTATGTTGATGAGGAGATTAGAGTTTGCTTGTCTAAAATATATATGAGATTACCCGGCAAAAGCAAGCTCAGACCTCACATTGAGTTTGTGTACATGCTTAAGATACATATGTAAGAGACTCGTTTATAATTATATTTTGGGAATGATTCATACTCTTTTATAGCTGCATTTTTTAATACTTTCTGGATATCCCGTGATCATAGGCTAAAGTAGTTGTGTTCTGTGTAGTAAATCAAACACTGCCAGGGGTTCTTTCTCTTTGTTTTGCAATGTATTTCTTAGCAATTGAAAAATTGGTGTGGTGTGAGCAAATTTATATTCTGAAAGTGTGGCCCAGAGAAATAAGCTTGAGAACCCCTTGTTTACTATTTAACCATATCTTCTTTCCATGACGTCCCACGAGGCAATGAGTATGGATTGTTCCTCGGGGTTTATTCCCAAAGCCTTTCTCATGAAGGAGCATTGTGGAGGTTTAGGACCAGTGTTTTCCTTCTCTTAGATGGACTACCTTCTCAGGTCAACAAGCCCCATTTCCCCCTCATTTCCCTCAACAGCACACACAGAAACCATCTTCTTGACCATTGAACCCACTGTTGGCCTTGCCTGCTCAATATGCCAGAGCCTGTCTTCGCATGCAGGAGACTCACCTGACTTACCAAGGCTTTAAGATCTGTTGGCTACCCTCACCTGGTTTAGCCAGCCAGTCAAATCAATTTCCCAGGGTGTGAGTGCTGTCAGCTTCTAGGAGCCAGAAGTAAGAGCTGAGTGCATGGAGGGGACCAAATGTGGATGAACTACTCCAGAAGGAGCACAACATGTCCCCGACCAGAAATATCCCATACCCCTGTATAGGAACAATTGGACAAATATAGTAGTATTTCCAGTGCCATTTTTTCTAGAAAAAGAGGTGCTGGAACTCACCATGAACACCTGAGTAACTACATGGTGGGGAGCGGTTATCCGCTATGACTTCTCAATGTATGTGCATATAAAATGGCCAGGCTTTTTGCATATGATTACATGCATTGCACATGCTTTTTCTTACCCCAAAATGATATCTTAATATTAAAATGTCACATGGGGAGCTGTTCTTAGTTGGGAGATTGGATAAGTGTTGTATGCAGTGTTGATAAACCTAGATGACTGTTCTGCACCAAGTTTGCTTCCTAAATGACTACAGTAGTTCAAAGAATTGCCTACCTTGCACACATTTTAGCCAGTCAGCTATGAGTAAGTAAAGTCATATCAGTCTAGTAAAAAACAAAGCAAGTGAGTCTTGTTTACATTATAATTTGGCCTTGCTGGTTTTGGCTCTGGATATGAGAAGTCTGCTTCTCCTCTTCTAGGATGAGATGTTTAGTGCTTTAAAAGAAACAAACTTCACAGCTTGAAGCAGTTGGATTATTTATCTGTGCAGGAAAGGAAGTAATCTTCCTGAACAGAATGTTAGGCTCTCTTTCTGCTCCTCTCATCACATTAAGGGACATTACTAAACATTAAGGGACATTGCTAAACAGAGGGTGTGCTTCAGATTGTTTCTGCATAATTAAACATTTTAAAATAAATAAGGTCATTTGCTGTGGCTTTGATTGTTATCACACTGTCATCATTGTACAAATCTGTGCTTAACTCAAGTGCTATTTCTCTACAAGGCAGTACAGGAAACAGTGAACTTTTTGTTCACTTTATGGATTGAAATTTAGTATGACTACTGGCAGGGGGCAGGGTGGTAAGTGGTGGAGACCCAAAATATTTTTGTGTGTTTTGATGGATGATTCTTGGTGTCTCAAACTCATGAAGTCCATCGAACTGAAGACAGATAAAAACCAGATGAAGTTCGGGTGATAACTTCAGCAACAGCCCATTCTTTTGAGTTGTCTCCTTATTGAAAAAAAATCCCGATCCATTTATTTATTTTTAAGATTTCTTACCCAATCTTTACTATAAGTTCCAAAACGGGTTACAACAATATAATACAACTGTTAAAATTATAAAACAATGAAAACGTACAGTTTATGTTCTTTTTAAAAGCAGCTTTCCCTCTGACCTCCTTGTTTACAGTCTCCTCTTTCTCCCCCCGCCCTCTGCAGGTGGTATTTTTGGGGGAAACCACTGTTATAAATATAAGTATTGCTTTATGCATCTGATGCAGTGGACTGTGATCCATGACAGCTTATGCAATCACGGGCATAGCGTGGGTTGCCTGCGCCCGGGGTGGGGTGGGATGTGTCCCCCTGGTGGACTGGGCCGTGGTCATTTCCTTCACACCCTCCCCCTCCTTCTCTCTCTGCTGGCCCAGGGTCAGGGCGCATATGGGTGTCCCTTTGCCGGGCATGAGGAGGCGCAACCCCAGCCTTGAAGGCCCAGCCGGGTGTGGTTTGCCTCCCTGCAGCTCCGGCCTCAATGAGGGAGCCTGTTGTGGGGGTGCCTGGTTGCACCCCCTCATAAATTTGTGCCAGGGATCATGGCCCTCCCACCCCACCCCCACTACACCACTGTATGCAATAATAAATTCATTAGTCTTTATTATTATTATTATTATTTATTACCGTATTTGTTACTCTTTGTTAGAGAACTGAAGGAGTAACGGGTCCAAATTACACTGACATTCTTATCAAATTGAAATGCAGAGATACAGCTCTAAGATGCTTCTGTTTATATTCTGGCAGAGATCTGCTGCGATTTGTAAAGTATATGTCTTTCAAAGCTGATGGTAACATTCTAGAAGTAGAGTATGAGTTAATAGGGAACTGCTCTTCCTGGAGGATCATGTTTAAATAGTTGTGTGAGCAACTTGGGAGTCACTGAAGTTTTTACATATTTTAAATTACACCATATTACTCTGGAGGTTTTCCCTCTGAAACAGCCAGCCAGGTTCATTTTTCTTCTGAAAGCCACTTTGTTGAATCATTCAGGGCTCCAGGGCTCCGGGCTCCTATGAAGTTTCAGTAATGCCATTGCTTTTCATTATGCTTTATAACGAATATGACAAAATGATATTGATCCTAAGCCACATACTCCATCGGGCACATTTATGCCCCCCCCCCTCCAATGTAAGGACTGTTTTAACCACATACAGCAATCTGGACTAAAAACCTTGGGTTAGTGTATCATTTAAGTATCCTGTTTTTCTGTTTTGAATCTTTTCTTCACAGATACAGAGAACAGAAAACTGGTTTACTTAAAGCAGTCAGAAACTCAGTGATGGGATTATCTGCTGTCAAATTCTGAATAATGCATCAGCCTCACTGGTCTGATTTACTGCTTCTTCTCCCAGATTCTCCAAAGTTGTTTATTCCAAATAAGTTTCAAGCAAGAGGAAGCAGGACCAGAGTGGGTGGAAAATTTGAAGATACTGGGAGAGAAATCTTCTGTTTTATTTTATATTTTGAAGGTTTTATTTTATATTTTGAACAGCCTCGGCCCAGTATACCTGAAGGAGCTTCTCCACCCCTATTGTTCAACCCAGACACTGAGCTCCAGCGTCGAGGGCCTTCTGGCAGTTCTCTCACTGCAAGAAGTGAGGTTACAGGGAACCAGGCAGAGGGCCTTCTCAGTGGTGGCACCCGCTCTGTGGAATGCCCTCCCATCAGATTTCAAGGAAATAAACAACTATCTGACTTTTAGAAGACATCTGAAGACTTCCCTGTTTAGGGAAGTTTTTAATGTTTGAGCGTGAAAGGTTCCTCGTCCCTGGCCTAAAGCTTGTGGACAGCCCTACCTCTCTAAAGCATTTTAGTTGCTGTTTGACTCGGCGAGTGAGATGTTTGTTACGTGACTGAGTGACCGACTGCGATTGAAGACAGCAGTATATTGAAACCTGCGCATGCCTCCCTTTTTCTTAACATTTCAGTTGAGAAACCATGGATTGTGCTTCTGGAATACTTTGAAGGACATGTAATTGTCCTTCTGTCAGTTTGGCATTTCCCTGGTGGGACACAGACAACTAAGGAGTTCCAGTTTGCTCACTTGTCATTGCTGCTGTCTCTGTGCAAAATGTTCAGATGCAATGCCAGCTGGCACCATGTCTCTGCACTCCAGAGGCTGTCAGTTTCACTTCTTGGAGTTAGACTTTGATTTGTTACTCAATACTACAGTTTAGGTCAGAAGTCCCCCTGGCATTGTGGGATGGCCAGTTACAGTTTGTTGGCCCAATTAAACCAATAGGACCATTTTCTGAGCTTGCTTTTCACATGGAAAATCAGTTGCCTGAGGCAGCTGCCTCATTCTGTCTAATGGTAGGGCTAGTCTGGGTAGGGTAATTCTTTGCTTGGAACCTAAACACTTAGGGAAGAGGGTTCCATAGGCATGCCAGCCCAGTGGCGAAGACATTTTTAGTTATTTCTCAGGTCACCTTGGGGGGGGGGGGTGTCATCCAAAGCATATGAGCTGGATTGTACACAAGGAAGAAATCTTCAGATACACTAGTCCCAAGCTATTTAGGGCTGTATAGACAAAGTCCAACAGTTTGAATTGCACTTGGTCACACTCTAGAAGTTGATGTAGATTTTGCAGGCTAGGTTAATGAGTCCATTGTGGGATAACGTGATCAGAAGTCTTGCTGTTACATTTTCGGCCCAACTGAAGTTTATGAGTGGTTATCAAAGGCAGGCCCACATAAAACACATTAGAGTAATCTTTATGTGACCAAAGCATGGATATCTCCTATGGGAGGGTCATTCCTGTTCAAGAACTACTGCAGCTGATGTATCATTTGCAGCTTATAAGAGGTGCTTCAAGTAGACATGGATGCCACTTGGACTCCAAAGGCAAGAACATCCTGGGCTACAGCCCTGACATTTTAAGCAAAATGTGACTCTATCCAGCATAGTCAGAGAACCAGCTCTTGCATAGATTAAGTTCTCCCCACCTGTACAATACCCCTATCTTGTCACTCTTTCCATAATCCTGACACATATTTGTTTGACTCAGTTAAAAAGTAGAAATAGAGTGGGATTATCATCACATTGGCCCCTGGACAACTCGGGCAGTGGTTCAATTCATGTAGATATTAAATAGCCTGGGGAGTAAATAGTTGGAATGCAACTTTATTCTCCATATTTATTTTAGACTGCAGTGAGCTAGAACAGCAGCTGACAAGCCAACCCATATGTTGGCTGAAGCAAACATGCCAAGACGTGCTCTGTTTGTTTCTTTTTGCAGTTCAAATTTGGACCATTGAAGCTCACCTATACAATTCTAAGTGATTTAGGACAGTGCTCCCTTCTCTTGGGTGTTTTATTGAGAATTAGTCACAGTGTTTAAAGGGAACTTCATACCGAGGTATGATATCCTAGATTTAAACAGCTATTGGTTGCTTACCTAGTCAATCTCACAGAAAGAAGAATCCAGAATATTCCTGAATAATTTGTTTGCTTCAGATTTACCTAACATTTCCATACACTCTAATTAGTTCTGCAGAAGTTTGAATTTAATGATTATTTTTCCTCCTCCTCTTCTTTTTACTGCGTTGGGCTTTTGCTTCTGATGTGGAATTGCTTCATATGCATTTATTACCCTTAACTTTTTCTAATTACTTTGTGCTTTTGCCTCCAACAATTAAGGCATTTTTAAACTGCTCCCATGTTTGTAATGTAGTTGAGAGTCAAAGCCTTAATTTTCTGAAAATCTGCTCTCCTCTTGACCTTCCCATAACCTCTAACAACCAGTTGTCATAACCACTAGTATAAATGCACAGCTTGCTTTCTGCTCTTCAATAAATATGGGAAAGATAATTTCAAAGTCACAATATAAGCTAAACTTATCATTGTGCAACACATTTTGTTTGGCCTCTAGTTTTGTAATTAAAGTTAGAAACAACCTTTCTGGCTGACAAGACTAATCAAACCAGGCATTAAAGTCTGTCCTTCGTAGTCTTCCTCAGACTGATTTAGTTCCTTCCTGATGCTGAAACTCTGTGACTTGGCACATTGGATTTTACGCAGAAAACAAACAAGGCTCCTTTTTTTTTTTACACTTGCAAAGTATATGCTAAAAAACACGAATCCTTATGCAATCATTTTGCAAAATTACAGAAGAACAAATGGTATCTTTGAGAACTTGTGTACTCTGTGCCCTGTTGAACAAGAGCACAATCTGTGATGCCTAATGCAAATAACCTAGTTCTATTCTAGGAAGCGTCTGAAAGGAAGAACGGCAGTCTCAACATGAGTATCATTTGACGAGCTTGTGTAGCAGTATCCTATCTGAATCTAGAGCAGTGCTTGATTTCCAGGTATAGTAGTCCTGGGGCTCAAGCCTATCTGTGAGTTACAGCTTTTGCCAAACACAAAGATATAAGTTGGTTTTGAAGAATTCTTTACCAAGGTTGTTGCAACTGCTTGAAATGTATTTTCATGCTGCAGCATTCCAAAGCAGACTTTCACTTGATAAAGAGTTCTTTGAATCATTGTGGGAATCATACCAATTTTCTTCAGCTATCTATGTTTGCCAGCATTTCTGCTACTGTAATTAATCCTGTGGTTTTGACCCTTAGCATTTGCCCTGTAAAGCCCTGCTTCTTAACCATCATGGTCTGGCAACAGGCTGTGTGCTTTCTTTGTGGTGAGGAAAAGCATTCTGCGCATGTTTAGAGACACTGTTTTTTCTGTTATTATTTCACAAGCTACAGGACTTGGCCATATTGTTGTTGTTGTTTAGTCGTTTAGTCGTGTCCAACTCTTCGTGACCCCATGGACCAGAGCATACCAGGCACTCCTGTCTTCCACTGCCTCCCGCAGTTTCGTCAAACTCACGTTGGTAGCTTCAAGAACACTGTCCAACCATCTCGTCCTCTGTCGTCCCCTTCTTCTTGTGCCCTCAATCTTTCCCAACATCAGGGTCTTTTCCAGGGAGTCTTCTCTTCTCATGAGGTGGCCAAAGTATTGGAGCCTCAGCTTCAGGATCTGTCCTTCCAGTGAGCACTCAGGACTGATTTCCTTAAGAATGGATAGGTTTGATCTTCTTGCAGTCCATGGGCCATATTACTGGAAATCATATTCCCAAAAAACAAATCCTCGTCTAGTGAGTACTGCTTTTGGAAAGAAGAGAGGTACAGCAGGTTCTGTGTACAAATTGGTCTGTGTTTTATTATGGATAGACTGCTTCTGTATTTTTGTTTTTCTTAGTCAGTGAGTATAGGGTGCAGTTACTGTCACCAAGGCCATCAGCTTGCCATTTCTCAGATACATTTCATGCATGCAAGCTTTCCATAGGAATTTGGCTGGCCACACAGAGAACAGGATGCTGGACTGTATGGGCCCTTGGCCTGATCCAGAAGGGCACATCTTGTGTTCTTATCTGCTTCCTTTCATATTGCTGTTCTACTCCCACCTCTGTGCCTTCTGCCATGCTGCTCTCTGTGTTTGGAACACCCTCTATTTGATAGTTACTGTGCTCTGTTTTCTGAGCCATCCTACTATCCTCACATCCCACATCCTTACTTAGTACACTGCTACTGCTGCCTAGTTCTCTATTAACACATACTTGCCCTTTTATCCAGTCTTCCAGCAATCCTGGAAGAGGACCCATTCCTGCATATATGAGCTCTCTGACCTGACTCTTGCCCCAAACATGAAGACAGAGCTGTTACTTGCAAGTAGGAAGGAGGTTTTTATTCAGGCAAGTGACAATGCAGGCTAGGCAGCTAGGGCCAACCTAGGCAAGGTGAGGCAACTGCCTCAGATGGGCAGCAAATCCCAAAGTAGATCATCATTCCTCCTTTGTTCCTGATGTAGATCTTCACTCATTCCCTTCTTCCCTGGCAGAGGAGGCGCCATTTTGGGATTTTGCGTCAGGTAACAAAATGTCTTTGGCCAGCCCTGTGAACAGTAGACATAGTGCTTAAGACTCACTGTGCAGGAGTTCTGGAGCACAGAAAGAGGTTCAGAACCAGATGGAAGCAAAGAGCATCTCCTACAGAGTTTCCCTATCAAGATTGCAAGCACCTGCTCCGATCTATAAAGGCAGTGCCTGGTTCTAGGTGACAAGGCTGGACCCTCCTGTCCAGGTTGTTGTTCAGTCACAGATGTTTTGTGCTCAGCTTCCTGCCTCAGCTGATCAGAGCCCTCCCCTGAGGCACTCTGCCTTGCAGAAAGGTTGGAGGGGAGAACCAGCACCCCTTGTCCTTCTTCTAAAGCTACTAACGTGGGAAATGCCCCCTTCTTGAACCCAGGTTTCCACAATTCAACCCCCTCCTCTGTTTCTTCTTCCTCCTCCTGTGTCAGACTCTGCCAATCCAAGCCTGAGCTTGACAATGCTGCAGGGCTCATGACACTCTCCGCATGTATAGTTGTACGTGCAGGTTACTAATGAATGCCAAACAGATGTTTGTTGGTGTGTGCCAGTGTGTGTGCCAGTGGTGGTTGGCAGGGCTACTTCACTTGTCCCCCAAACTGCCTCCATGCATTCATTCAGTATGTGATAATGTGTATACCCCTCTTGCCTTGTGCCCCTGAAGTAGATTATAAGATCTCTAGGCTGGGAGCTGAATTAGTTTCTACATTCCATTTAGCTTCTTGCATGCTTAGTCACAAAATGAAAGTTAAGTTGCTGTGACAAGTGTCTTTTTCAAAGGCCTCTCTTAAGGTAGGCAGAGGTTATGAGACAAGGAGAGTGCTGTATTTCTAAATATATACTATTCTGGAATATTTGCAAATGAAATACAGTCATAACTCAGGTTACAGACGCTTCAGGTTGCGCGTTTTCGGGTTGCGCACTGTGGCAAACCCGGAAGTACCGGAACAGGTTACTTCCAGGTTTCTGCGCTCGCGCATGCACAGAAGTGCTAAATCACTCTTTGCGCATGTGCAGAAGTGCTGAATTGCGACCCGCACATGTGCAGACGCGGCACTGCGGGTTGCAAACGTGCCTCCCGCATGGATCATGTTCGCAACCCAAGCGTCCACTGTATTGAACAAACGATGTGACAACCTGAAAGTAACACGTGAGCTGAAGGGTGGTGGTCTGAGGAAATAGCAGGTCCCTTGCCTGCTGCAGGAGTGGGAACCTCAGGCCTTGGGAATGAACGTAATCCTCCAGGTCTCTCTGTCTGGCAGTTTGGGCTTTCCTTAAGCCATGCCCTCCCTCCAGGCTATGCCTGTCCCCGCACCTGCTCTGCAGTCCCCTTGAATGCTTTTACTGGGGTGGAGTGTGTTCTTAAACTATAGTAACAACTCTTGCTTGGAGTGTGTTCTTAAACTATAGTAACAACTCTTGCTTGCCTGCTTGAAAGATGGAGAAATGTGTGCATGTCTAGAAACTGCAGACATTTCCTTATTGGAATGTAGCCTACTGTATAAAGTGGCTCCTCCCAGTTTTGCTAGTCCTCCTAAAAAGAAAGTTAGAGGACAAAATGTGCAGGTACTTTCTAAGCAATTCGCTCTCAAAATTTGAAACATAGGAAACAAGAAAGTGTTACTTAAAAAAAAAAAAAAGGAAGAACCTTAATCCTATGTGGCTAAACAAATTAAGGCAGTTGTAGCTTTTCATAATACAAAGGTAGGCAAAGTGTTTTCTGATTCTCAAGGGTCCAAATGACAGCTTGCAAATGTTTTCAGATGCATGTTTCTGAATCCTTTTATATAGTGACAAATGTTTTTTTCATGACTGATGACTAATAGGCTGGCTAGACAGATAAATATATACTCTGTGACTCAATTTGTTTAAGGTAGTCAAGTGTTTTGAGGTAGTTTAAGGTAAGGTGTCACTTAACCTTCTTGACGTATCTGAACAAAATGAATCATTGTATCAATTATAGTTTCATGCACATAATTAAAGTTACAATTTTATGTTTGTGGTGAGTTTTTTTAAAGAAAACAACAACTCATATGTTACCTTATGAGTAGGTGTGTCATCTCGCTAACGTCTGAGAAGTGGGAATAACAAAATTTGTGGCAGTTCTTGTTAATTATGGAAGAGAATGTTAAACTTTTAAAAGAATCTAAACCTTCAAGTCTTTTGGGACAAACCCTGGAACACTATGTGTTGTCTGTGATCATCTTAGCTCAAAAGTTTGTATACTTTATGTATATTTCTGTTAAAATAAGCTGTCACTTAAAAAAAGATAATACAATATAGCAAAGCAAAGCAGTGTATCCATTAAAACATTAAACAACTAAATACCAATAGATGTTTCTGTATATGCAGATGTTTAAATGTTTACCATGCTAACATGCATTCCAGCCTCTTTCTGCAAACCTGAATTATCTTCATGACCTTTGCTTAGTATTTTCCTTTTGAAAAATATGTAACATGATAACTCTGAAGGACAATGGTCTGCTGATATAAGATAGAATTTTAGTGTGTCCTATTCCGAAGTAGCTTTTCTCTATTTCAAAGGCGTACAGAAATGAATTGGATCCACTGTGTTGTCTTGATAGTAAAATAGGGAAAAATATCATACCATTTAGAAAGGCAAATTTGTTGTAACTAATGTCAAGTACTGTATACAGCTTTGTGAGTACAGTGGTACCTCAGGTTACATACGCTTCAGCTTACAGACTCCGCTAACCCAGAAATATTACCTCGGGTTAAGAACTATGCTTCAGGATGAGAACAGAAATCATCCTCTGGCGGCGCGGCGGCAGCGGGAGGCCCCATTAGCTAAAGTGGTGCTTCAGGTTAAAAACAATTTCAGGTTAAGAACGGACCTCCGGAACGAATTAAGTACTTAACCCGAGGTACCACTGTAGTAATATTGGAATAAACTATTGTATTTAATGTGTTGAAATTATCCATTATGTTTGTTTAGAAACGTGTTCCTGCAATGGTACAGGTGACCATGCTTGTGGATTTTAAGCCCAAGGGAGATGCTGAAGTATTAAGGAGGTTGGTGTATGCCAGAAGACACACTGCCTCCTGTTCTTTCTCCTTTCTCTGCAAACATGCCTTCCACAGATGCCACCATTTGTTCTCTAGACTTTGTCCAGATATGATTATTACTATATGAGGCCATTGTCTTATTTTCTTCCTCTTCTTCAGCTAGGCCTGTGCTTTTGCTGGACCACTAACTTTGATGCTGCAGATTATTCTGACACCACCATTTCCTCCTCCGTCTTCTATTCTTTATTTTTAGATCAATTTAGTTGTGTTCTATTTGATGTGTTTTCTTTATGACTACTTTTGTTACCTCTGAAATTATGTGATTTTTTTTCATGTTGTCCATGACCTTGACCATGATTTTAACTATGGAAAAGCAGCATAAAAATAAATAAATAGAGATTTATGTATGTATGTATGTATTTTTCCTCAGAATGTGTCGCTGACTGGCACGGTGGAGATTATTTCTTACAAATATATACAGGGACAGTTTTTATTTCTGACACCTTCTTTGATCTGCACAAGTACTTCACTTTCACTTCCTGGAAGCCACTTGCACCTCAGAAACAAAGAGCTGAATTCTGAAAAGCAAGAGGGACCTGCAAAAAAGGGAGGGGGTAGAGGTTCTCCAATGTGGACTTCTCCATTTCATTCCCCTCCCCCTCCAACAGTTGGACAGCGTTTAATGGTCACGGAGCATGTTCAGTCATCATTAGACTCTGTTTGTGGAGGTGCGTGAGGGTTAGCTTTTTTTGTCTTCTAAAGATGTTTCGTACTTTTGCAAATCCTGGGATTTCACCAAGCCTCATAATATCTCCCTCTTTCATGTGGCTACATAATGATCAGCACTCCCTCATAGCATGAATGAAGAGATTGGTTTTATTTGAAGGTAATGCGGAACTTCTGATCATCCTTAGATTTGAACTCTGTCTTAGCTAAAAAGATGTTGCTCCTCCTGTGTTTTTTTTAAAAATAATAATAATTAATTTTGATGAAAGATGTTCCTAAATCATGGTGAGGTCAAAGCCTTTGCCTGGTCAACATCTTTGCAGTTACCTTGTTTATTTCAAAGACTTTTCACTAAGAATAAATGACTGAGAAAGTTGGGGTTAGAAAAGTAGGTCTGCTTGTTAAAAGATTAGACAGATAAGTACGATTTCCATGGGGGGTTTTGCTGGAAAGATCATTTCAATCCCTGTCCTATGAGAGCATTTGTGTGTAGCAATCAGCTAAATTAGACTGCCATATGGGTAAATGGTGCAAGATAAACCATTTTAAAATATTTGAATCTAGTTTTTTTAAAAAAATCCCATTCAAAGCATTCTTTGTAAAGGAGCCTATGCACTTAAGAAACAGCTGATTCATAGATGTTGCAATGGTGATGGTAGTAACTGAAGAATTCTTGGTTGTTGTTATTCTCCTTGGTTATATTTATTAATAACCTAACTGCCTAATTGTATATATGTTGCTTTTGAAGGATATGTGCTTCAGAGAGCAACGTATTTCGCCTTGCACCCCTCTCACCACAAAACCTTTTAAATATTTTCTGTGCAGCTTGCAAGACTAACAATGTGACCGTGCCTTATAAGCTTCTGAAGTGATTTATTTCCCACCATTTAAATAGTGGCACAAATGCACCCTGAAGGTTTTGTGTTTGCTAGTTATGTTAGAAGACAGTCACAAGCATTTTCACTGGCGAATCTGAAAAAAAGAAGGCAAAGAAGCTCAGACGTTAGGACGCAACGTAAGACAAAGACCCAGACAGAGTATAGAAAAACGTTTGCTTGGCGGAGGGTTGGGGGTATGATTTCTGAATAGGAAAGCACCTCCAAAGTTTGTAGGGGGAGGAACAGGAATCAATGACACAGAATGTAATTGTTGCAGGGACCTGATTGCCCTTTTAAGCAGTATTTAGATAGCTGATGCAGTTTTCACTGTTCATCCTGTGCTTTGAAAAATGATCCACTTACCCTATGAATTTACAAATAGAATCTTTGTATCTAGAAATGGATAGCACAGTTATTTAGAAACTAACACCACAGCTAACTATTTCTATATGTTATCTAGAAACGCAAATTCCTTATTGCTTCCTCTTCCTTCAGTGTATTTGATAATTTTTGCAGGTCGCTTTTGTGTAGCATTCTGTGGCTGCAATTCTAAGCAGTCTTAGTGGATTTCAGGCCTAACAGCCCAATCCTCACCATGAAATTACAAATGAATTCCGTGAGGCTTATTCCCAGCTATGATTCTACTGCAAGTACAGAAATCAGTACAGCGTGAGTACTAAAAGCCATAATTAATCAGTATGATCCCATTTCATAGTCACTTATCAATCTTTGGATTGTTTGGCAAAGTGTGACTAAATTCAATAATTTTTTGTACCTTAAAAATACCCCCACCAACCTCACACTATGGCAGGGGTTAATACTGAGAAATACGGTAATTAGAATTCTTTCAGTAGAGAATTTTGTCAACCCTCAAATGAGTCTTACTTCAAGTCCTTGTGTTTTGCAAATACTGTAGATGTTTGGCTGGAGAAACATCGTTAGCCTTGGAGGGTGAGGAAGTACAAACTGTTCCTCTGGAGGAAGTTGGTGCATTATAGTTACTGGCCAAATTAAGCCCCATGCTGTGTGTGTGTGTGTGTGTGTGTGTGTGAGAGAGAGAGAGAGAGAGAGAGAGAGAGAGATATGATGATGATGGATCACAACTCATTAGGCTAAGGGAGCTAGGTTCTCAGTGTTGTGAGAGTCAGCATATTGCAGGGGTAAGCTTTCTATTTGAAATGTACTAAAACTTGTACCGCTTCGCTTTTATTTTAAAGTACAGATTCCCCTGCCCCAACAGATAGAAATTTCCATCATTGACTTTTCCATGTCTAACTTTTATACTTATTTGTGAGAGAGAAATAAATTTTTTTATATCATCCTAGGTTTCATGACACTAGATTGTGAGAGATCGTTGTCACAAATGACAAGGTATTATTTCAATGGAAAATCTGGGGTCAAAAAAAGAGAGAGCTTTCTTTGTTAATGAGTATATACAGTATTTCAGAACTGCAAAGATTGTGGGCGATTAATCTCATATTGAGTCATTCTGCTTTTCTCTGCACACAATATCTTAATCTCCTTCATTTGTAATTTAGCTGGTATTGTTTGAAAACATTATCATCTGATGAGAAGCAGCAACAGATTAACATTGGTCAGTGGAGAGGGCTTTAGCTCATAGAGCCTTAGCATTATGGACTATTTTACTGAGTTGACAGAAATATGCAGTTTATGGTGTTTCCACAGGTGTAGCTGTGATTCCAGGGGAACCTGGTGAAACTGACAAGGCTTTCACCAGGGTTTTCTAGACTGAGGCAGAGGTAGAGGGAAGGACTTGTTAATTGCATTGTTCTATTCTCCGGCTGATAAGCAGCACTGATGAAATCGACAAGTTATTTTCCTGAAGCAAGTTTGACAAAGGCTTGAGAAATTGACATGTCAATATCACTAGCCTTCTCTGGAATCCAATCAGATGTTGTTGGAGCTGGAGAGATTGCATACTGTCAGCAAAGCCACTGCACATGCTTCAGCCCCTAGTGAGTCAATGGTTCTACACTCAGTTTGTGCATAAAGAAATATAGTACAGTTGTGCTGAAAATGTAATAAATTTTCTTAGCCTGTGAACAAAAATGGAATGAGAAGGGGAATACAAGGAGATACAAAAACCTTTTTTTTTAATGAATGTTTTCTGTATTATCAGAACTAAATAAGCAAATGGTGTAAAACCTGAACAAAACTGCTAGTAAGAAAGGAGCTGTAGTAGTTGGTCCTAATGTTTTGTTTTGTTTTGCCATGTAATGTTAGTATTTCAGAGCAGTTATTTCTACTGTATTTGCACTGGGTAACTGTTAAGCCACCCTTTGTAGAAAGCATGTTATGGTGTATCAGTTTACTATTCTGTTATGCAAGTTTCATAACCAATTTAAATGTCAACTCAGATTTCAGGGGAAACAAACAACTGGTTTCATTCTCGCTTCTATATTTTCACAATGACATTGAAATTGCACTGCGATGACACACACAAATTAAGAGTTACATTTTCTTGGTGGATGGTTGTAAATCATTCTGTGTTGCAGTGATACCTGGTCATGTGACAGTATAAAATAGACACTCTGCCAGACTTTGAATAACAGCAATAGGAAACTCTCAGAGATGACAACACCAATCTATATTATGATGAAAGTTTCTGTAGTCCATGAAAGCGTATGCAATCATCATTTGTTGGTTTTTGAGGTGCCACAAATCATTTTTCTGTTTTTGCTCATCTGGAAATGTTATGTTATAGTAATTCTACTTTTGATTTCCAGAAGCTATTGTTCTATAATGCTTATTATTATTATTATTAATTTGATGCTGATTCTGAGATTATTTCTTCTTCTTTCCTTTAGATATTCTTTCAGAATATCATACTGATATTCCTTGCATGCTTATACTTGGGAACTTTATACTTGTGATCTTGAAGTACTGGGCAACAAAACCACTACGTATTCCCCTTTCTACATTTGTGTATGCAATCTTTTCAGATGTGCGTAGGCAAACTATGCAATTTGTACATCACTTTTATCGCTCATTGCTTGTTTATTCAGTACATGATAACTTATCACTGACAGTGTAAATCACGGTAGTCAATGTTGTGCCCTCCTGATGTCCTTAGACTTCAATTCCCATAAGCCCGAGGCAGCATGGCTAACAGTTAGGGATTATGGAGGCTGTAGTCCAACAACATCTGTCCGTCAGCCTGTTAGCTACCCCTTCTATAAACTACCTCTTTTGAAAAGCATTTTGTTTGTTCCATCTGTGTTGTTTGATCTGTGATAGTATATCCGCACAGTCACTACTCATGCTGCACTTGATGGTACTCTGGCAAAATTCTGAAGTTCAAAGCACTTACCTTTTTTCAAGAACAATTTCAGCTAACAAAGATCTGGACTAGCTACAGCATTTTTTTAATATAAAAAAGTAAGTTCAGAATACGTTAAGGTTAAAAGTTCAAGCAAATGTCTTCTTGATTTAGTTAGGTTACAAAGATGAGAGAGTAAGGAAGGATTGTTCGTAATAGCTATGTTAAGACAGAGAGCACTGCATTTTGTAGGTTTTCAGGGCTATATGCTCTGCTTTGTTCAGCATGTTACAAAGGCAGGTGAGATAGGCCTAATTATTCGTTTTCTGTATTTCTTTAGTTCAGAATAAAATAGCACGTAGCAAAGATTGAAATTAAATGTTAGCAAGTGCAAAACATCAACAAAGCAACATAGCAACGATGTAGTGGCAGGGTTTTTTAAATGCAAACGTGTCTGCTCAGAAGTAAGTCTTACTTGGACTTGCATCCTAGTATGTTTATCCTAAATGTACATAAGAACACAGGAAGAGCCCTACAGGTTCAGGCCAGCAAGTCTAGCATTCTTTTCTCTGCAGTGACCAACAGATGCCTATGGGAAGACTGCAAGCAGGATCTGAACAGAACTGGGCTCCACCCACTTGTGGTTCCCAGCAGTTGTTGTTCCCAGCGGCTTGTATTCAGAGACATACAGTACTGCCCCTGACCTGACATTGGAGGTAAAACCTAGCCAATGTGGCTAGCAGCCATTGATAGCCTTATTCTCTGTGGGAGCAAAGCGATTATTTTCACAGTAACGAAATCAGGAAAGTGACTTCCTTCCTTTAATCAACTATTAGTTGAGCTTCAAGATAATCTGGTTCTTTAATCCTTCTTTTCCCTGTCTTGCATAAATTGCAACCACCATTTACATTAGTTGACCTCATTTTCAGCCCTTGGCTTCAAGTTGTTGCTGGGTTTTTCTGGGGCGGGGGTGTGTGTGTTTATATTTATAATTTTAAACAATACTGTGACATGAAACAGAAACACTGAAGTATAAAAAAGGAAAATGCTAGAAGTGATTAAAAAACAACATTATTGGGAAGCACAGTGTGGCATGGATAAAGCATAATGTTACAGATCTGGTGTAACAGAGTTTGGGGGGGGTGCATTGGCGCCCATAACTGCTAGATTTAGTGAATGTTATAAATTAGTAAATAGTAGAATTTATATACTATTTGGAGTTTTGTAGGGAAGATGGCAGGCCATTGAAAGATACAGGCTAAGCTACTTTCCCAGGTCAGGGCCTGTGGCGTTTGCCCTCCTAGGTGGGTCATAAGGAAAGGGTTAAATGAGTGTGAAGTGATTGGCCAGTGGGAACCCAAGGGGAGGAGTTAGAGTTAGTGTTGTTAAGGAGTCAGTTGGGAGTTGGAGAAGGAAGAGGGAGGATAGGTCTGTGGGTTGGTCTGGTTTCGATGTGAGAGAGTGGGAGAAACTGTTAGGAGGAGTCAGATAGATAGTGAGATAATCAGTTGGGAGTTATTAGGAAGGTATAGGTCAGTAAAGAAACTAAGATTAAGAAACTGACAAGAAAAATTATCTGAAACCATAAGCTTGTTAATGCTTATAAAATAAACTTTATTATTTGTTTTAATGTCTGGACTCAGTGTGTACCCGAGAGAAACGGGTTGGTGGCAGGGGGAAGTGATCATAGTGGTGGCACAGGGATCAATAGACCGTCAAACATCCGGGGACCCTGTGTGATCGCCACAGGACCTCACCTGGTATAGTTGTTGTTAAGATGCTGGAAGCAAATCATTAACTCATCAATGGAGGCTCTGGCGGTGAGGGGAGGAGGTTGCCAAGGTGGCAGGGTGTGGATGTTGTGTCACACAGGAAAAAATGTTGCCCTTTTAAAAAAACAGAGTTCTGGAAAGGGGGGGCGCGAGCAGAGAGATGGGGAAGAGCTGTTTTCTGCAAAGGCTGTTGGGCAGAAGAAGTGGGCAGAACTCCATGAGCTGCTGTCAAGGCCAGAACCACCTTGGGAGGGTGGCACAGAGGCATGGAGATGGCATGCAGGATGCCTTGGACTTCAGGGTTGCACTGCTCAGAGGAACAAGTGCCTCGTGAGATGATCTCTCTCCAAAGTAGGTAAAGGTAAAGGGACCCCTGACCATTAGGTCCAGTCATGGCCGACTCTGGGGTTGTGGCGCTCATCTCACTTTATTGGCCGAGGGAGCCAGCGTACAGCTTCCGGGTCATGTGGCCAGCATGACTAAGCCGCTTCTGGCAAACCAGAGCAGTACACGGAAATGCCTTTTTCCTTCCCGCCGGAGCGGTACCTATTTATCTACTTGCACTTTGACATGCTTTCGAACTGCTAGGTGGGCAGGAGCAGGGACCGAGCAACGGGAGCTCACCCTGTCGTGGGGATTCGAACCACCGACCTTCTGATCGGCAAGTCCTAGGCTCTGTGGTTTAACCCACAGTGCCACCTGCGTCTCCAAAGTAGACCCAGGTGTAAATATGTGTACAATAAACCATATTTCTTAAAGACACAACAGTCTCGGCCATACCTTGATTCCCGGTGGAAGCACAACCTTGGGTCAGCTCCTGGAACCCCCTGGAATCTTGCTGCCATTTGGCAGAGACTGGAGGTGGTGCAACCTTTGTAAAAATAGTTTCATAACCCAAAGTGCTGCTTTCAAGCATTTGCTGTTGCTTGAATTGTAAACAATGCGGTCATCATCCAGGTGATTAAACTTGAGTTTATAGCCTTCTCTCTGAGTATTACTCTTCACAAATAGCATGTTTCAGTTTCAGCTAGTGTTATTCATGCCCTTTGGCTGGACTTCCTGGGATATTATGGGACAGCTCCAGGGGTGTGGGGGGAATTGCTAATGGGACACTAAAATTAAACTGCTACTAGTGGTAGCAGTGGCTTGGCATTGTTTCCTTCATGAACTGTTTGATCTCTGACACCAGTTGCCAAAAGCAACCTAGAGAAGTTATTCCATTCCTGTCCTTTGACCAAGGCCTAGTATAGCCAAGTAGGCCCTTGTACCCTAGTCCCATAATTCACCCCCCATGCCAACCCACCAACCATTTCAGGTGAGTGGGCAGTGCTATTATCTCTTCAGTCATCATTTTCAGTCTGTGCCAGACCAATTCCCTTACTCCCTGTGTAGCCACTTAAACTGCATGATTATAAATCCACTCCCTGACTATTAATCACCAGTCACTCACCAGCAACTGCTGGAATACTCAAAGGTATTTTTTATGCAACAGTGCGCACAAGACAACATTTGAATCACATTCCCCACTTGAAGGTAGAATCCATTGAGTATAACTGGTAGGTATATTTAATTCCTAAGGCTTGCTTTACACACACACACACACACACACACACACACATACACTGTCTTCCAGTGAGGAACATTCTGCATAGGTTATCAACTTACTGTGTTAAACTGTAATAGGTCTAAACTGTCATTCGAATCATTGCACAGAAACCATATTTTTAATTGATGTTTTTATAGGAAACATAAAATTTCATCTGCCTGCTGAGAGCTGAGCAGAAGGCTTAGGTACCGTATTTTTCGCACCATAGGACGCACTTTTTCCCCTTCAAAAATGAAGGGGGAATGTGTGTGCGTCCTATGGAGCGAAGACAGCATAGCCCCGCGACCCTCTGCCGGCTGGAGAGGTGACGCACGGCTATGGCAGGAGCCTCTATAGCCGCGCGCCACCTCTCCAGCCGGGAGAGCGCGCTCGGGGCTAAAGAAGCCCCGCTTACCCTCTCCCAGCTGGAGAGGTGACACGCAGCTATTGCAGCAGCCTCTTTAGCCGCGCGCCATCTCTCCAGCCGGGAGAGCGCGCACGGGGCTAAAGAAGCCCCCCCGTGACCGTCTCCCGGCTGGAGAGGTGACATGCAGCTATGGCAGGAGCCTCTATAGCCGCGTGCCTTTGCGCTGCTCCCCGACCTGCTCTTTGGGGCTGGTGGTGGGCTTCCCCCCGCCAGCCCCAAAGAGCAGGTCGAAAGGAACCTGAAGCCTGGAGAGGGAGAGGGGTCGGTGCGCACCGACCCCTCTCCCTCTCCAGGCTTCCAAGGTAGCCGCCTGAAGGCGTCTGAACGCACCTTAAATGGCACCTTGTTTTAGAGGGGGAAAACAAGAGGGGGAAAATTCTCCCCCTCTCTGCGCAGCGCCTCCTGCCGCTTTGCTGAAGGGGCGCTGGGCAGAGATTTTTTTTTTCTTGTTCTCCCCCCTCTAAAACAAGGTGCGTCCTATTGTCCAGTGCGTCCTATGGTGCGAAAAATACGGTATCTTACTTTCTTCATGTTAGATCATTGCAAATATTGTAATATGTCAAAGAATCAATTTTCTAAACTTGTTAACAGTTTTTCTTGTGGAAGTCTAGTGAGGTTTTTAGACTGTTGGTTGGTTTCTATATACATTCAGTTTATTTTGTGCTAGAAACAGCAGCTTGATGCTAATCAATGTCTACCTGTTCACACACATGGCTTCTGTTAATGGATTTGTAGTTGTACGGTGGACTGACGATGAAGTGGTACATGTGCCTCTTGTTAGAGCCAGGAGAGACATTTTTTAGAATAATAAGTCTATTGGGAAAGGAAGGCTGCAGTACCTTTTAAGGTCTGTGTTGAGTAGGAGTTCTGGCAAGCAGAGCTTTTTAATCCCTATATAACAGGTTGCACCTGCCCTCTATATTGAGGTACAGAAAGCAGGTCTGCCTGTATAGTCGCTCACTGAAAGGTTTCTGAAATCAGAGTCCACATAAAATTTGATCAGAAAAGGTTTTTTTCTTCTTCAGATCTTCAGAAAGTAAGGAATAGTATTCTAAATCTTGTCAAAAGCCAATCTCATCCAGCAGCCTGCGCATGTCAATACAGTGGTACCTCGGGTTAAGTACTTAATTTGTTCCGGAGGTCCGTTCTTAACCTGAAACTGTTCTTAATCTGAAGCACCACTTTAGCTAATGGGGCCTCCCGCTGCTGCTGCGCCGCCGGAGCACAATTTCTGTTCTCATCCTGAAGCAAAGTTCTTAACCCAAGGTATTATTTCTGGGTTAGTGGAGTCTGTAACGTGAAGCGTATGTAAGCCGAGGTACCACTGTAGCCCAGTCCACATGTCACATTAAACCATAGTTAAAAACAATGGCTTAAAATGAATGCGTATCATGCTGCTCTTCGTTTTCCGCTCTTCCTCGGCTCTGGCTGCACCAGTTTGTTTCTCCCCAAGCACCACAAGTAAGCAAAAAAGAAAGCTTGATTGCCACTTGATTGGAGAGTGCTCCAAACAAACTGCTTCTGATGCAAGAGGTTTGGATGTCGCAACCAAGCCACACAATGGCTTGTTCCTTGGCAGGGGAGAGGAGCAGGAGTCGGGGACAGAGCAGAGTGGTACGTTTTTGGCATTGTGCACTAGCTCACTTCGAATTCACAGTAAATCATAGTTTGCTTTTAATTAAGTATAGTGTAATGTTACATGTGAACCACAACACTGAGAAGCTCACAAGTAGGGCAAGGTGGAGACAGACAGAGGTAATTAGGCACTGTATGAAGAAATGCTTCCCTTTGAATCTATGTCACTGGATGACTGAAGACCAGACTACATGTTTGCTTAAATACGTAGCAGGCAGCTATGTACTTTGTTTTTCCTAACTAATTACAGGGGTAGAAAATTCCCCCTCTTAGATTCCTAGCCATGCCAGGGAGCAGAGGGTGATCTCACTCAAACTGCAGTGTGGGAGTGATGAAGACATAAGCCTAACCTTCCTGCTCACCCCTAGGTTCTGTAACTCCTGTGGAAAACAACATAGTTATGTATTTAAATGTGTGTCTTGTTTGGCCCTTTTGGTGTTTGGGAGCATGGAAAGTAAATTATCTATGGAAGTCTAAATAAAGTGGTGCTGCTCGTTGAAAACAAACAAACAATTTTTGTTCTTTCCATCCTATGCATGGTGTATCTACCGCCTATGTCACCAGACAATGATGGGTTTCAAACAGCCCTGCATGTTTGGTCCATACAGTGGTACCTTGGGTTACATACGCTTCAGGTTACAGACTCCGCTAACCCAGAAATAGTGCTTCAGGTTAAGAACTTTGCTTCAAGATGAGAACAGAAATCGTGCTCTGGCGGTGCGGCAGCAGCAGGAGGCCCCATTAGCTAAAGTGGTGCTTCAGGTTAAGAACAGTTTCAGGTTAAGATTGGACCTCCGGAACAAATTAAATACTTAACCTGAGGTACCACTGTACTTGGTTTTTGCTCCACGTTTCTTCCTGGTAAGTAGTACAGTGGTACCCCAGGTTGAGAACTTAATTTGTTCTGGAGGTCCGTTCTTAACCTGAAACTGTTCTTAACCTGAGGTACCACTTTAGCTAATGGGGCCTCCTGCTGTCACGCACCGCCGCTGCGTGATTTCTATTCTCATCCTGAAGCAAAGTTCTTAACCCGAGGTACTATTTCTGGGTTAGCGGAGTCTGTAACCTGAAGAGCCTGTAAGCTGAAGCATCTGTAACCCTAGGTACCACTGTATTACAAGCACGTGAGAAGCCATCTCCTTTTGAATAACTGGCAGTGGGATGCAGTTCCTCTTCCTGAAGCTTTCTGATTAATTCAGTTCTCAGAACCTATGTAGAAAAAAAACAAATATTGTTTTTGCCGGAGAGATAATGGACAAAGGTTATTCTGATTGATGGGTGCAATCTACAGATATCCCAAACTTTGTTTCTATAAGGGTTTTTTGCTTTCCTGGACCTCCCTTCTATTTTAGCCTACCTGATTCCAGATAAGGGAACAGAATGAGCACCACATCACTGGCTCTAAGCTGTTCGTCTTTCCTTTGTTAATACTGAGATTGCAGCTGCCAAATGAGGTTTTCATGGCTTTGGAAGGCTAATTACGATAATATTTGAGAACGCTGTTAACAAATAGTGTTGAGGGTATTAAAAGCGATGCCTGTAGCTGAATTGGTTGTCCTCTGTAGTATAGGAATCTCTGAATCTTTTGGTCAAATGAGATACTTAATGAGTTTTTCGGTCACAGCACATTACATAAATTAGATGTTATGTAATAAAACAAAAGTACTTGCATACCATATGGACTTTTTATTTTGGAACCTGGAACAGACGATTTCATTTTTAATTTAATGGAAAATGAATAGTGAAACACAGTGGGTGATAGCCAACTTCCTGTCATTTTTAGGGTAGATAAATGGAAAACTATTAACTTAAGTTAGTCCTGAGAAGTTTTGATTTTGACAGGTGTACTCTGGCTATATAATTGTTAATGATATTATCTGGGGTATTACACATCTTATCAGTTTTGACATTCTGAAAATGAAATACTAATAAGTGACTTTTGAAAATGATAAAATGGCATACTGCTTAAGAGAGTTAAGGTAGGGCTTCTCAGATGCATTTTTGTAGAAAAATATTGTTTGTAATACATGTTTTTTCTAGAAAAAACAACACTTTTATAACATTTGTTTATACATATATGAGAAATTATATTTCACTTCCTGATAATATTTTATGTATAGCACACAGACCTAAGCCCTATTTAGATAATAATTGGTCCTACTAATTTTAGCTTCTGTTTGTAAGAACATGAATAAAATGGATCTCAACAAAGTAATTCTTTTTCTAAGAATCAAAGCAAAGCAAAGATCAATAATAAGACAGCATTGTACATATTTTTATGGGGACATGAGTAGAAATCCAATGCCACAGAGAGAAAGAAAATTAAGGACTAGGGCGGGGTCCACAATGATGTTTTCATTTTATCTGTGTGCACAATTTCCTGTTAACAGTCAGTGCTCTCTGTGTTTTGATCTTCTTGTACAAAACAATGCACAAGGAATAGAATTACAAGCATTTGCATGACTGATATGGAATTAACTTTTGTTGGCCCTTTCTGTTGCCACATTACTAGCCTAGTTTCATCAATGTTGGGACCTTTATTATGTATTATTATTTTATTATTGAAATAAATATTGGGGTGAATGTGACCCCTGTACCTGATAATACCATTTGCTAGGTTGCCTACAATCCGATAAATAGGATTTATTATAAATGTAATAATAAATAAAATATTCCCTCCAAGGAGCTCAAGGTGGAATAAACCATTCACTCACTTCCTTGTTTTATGTTCACAACAACTCTGCGAGGTAGGTTAGGCTGACCGACTGTGACTGGCCCAAAGTCAACCAGTGAGTTTCACTTCATTTCACTTCAGTGGTCTTAGGAATCTGTGGATGAGTTGAAAAGATATGGGGTAAAAAAAAAAGACCACCAAGCAGTCTGAGAACGAGACCAAGAAGAAAAACGTAACTATCACAATCTTGATCACAATATCCAGAGAGGCCATATTACCGTATTCTAGCCCTCAGGTTTGCTGTTCCTCTCAATATAGTTGATTAAAAGCAGCAGCTCCATCTGCTGGCACTTGACAGTCACTACGCACAGATTGCATTTTAATGCCTCTCAAATTCTACGTGCTTGCACATTTGGTATAGTTAAGGTTAATATAATCTTAATGATACCAAGTAGCATTCATATTTGTATAAAACTGGTCTCTGAATGAGAAAATGCATGCATTTCAACTGTAGGGGGTTTTTTAAGGGTGCTGGGAGAGGTAACCTACAGTTCCCATGATTCTTGGAGTATATCTGGGTGCCTTAAATATATGGTTGTGTAGGCAGCCCTATTGGGACGCAGGTGGCGCTGTGGGTTCAACCACAGAGCCTAGGGCTTGCCGATCAGAAGGTCAGCGGTTCAAATCCCCGTGACGGGGTGAGCTCCCGTTGCTCCGTCCCAGCTCCTGCCAACCTAGCAGTTCGAAAGCACATCAAAGTGCAAGTAGATAAATAGGTACCGCTCCAGCGGGAAGATAAACGGTGTTTCCGTGCGCTGCTCTGGTTTGCCAGAAGCGGCTTAGTCATGCTGGCCACATGACCCAGAAGCTGTACGCCGCCTCCCTCAGCCAATAAAGTGAGATGAGCGTCGCAACCCCAGAGTCATCGGCGACTGGACCTAATGGTCAGGGGTCCCTTTATCTTTACTTAGGCAGCCCTACTTGCAAACACTGGGAGCTTCCAGGCAAAAGCTTCTTCAGGAGCACAAAAAGTACACCAGGCAGCATCTCAGAAGTACATCCTACCCAGAAATGTTATATGATGTTAGTTAAGTGATAGTAGTACCCGTGCTTATTCTGCTAGTCAACAGGCAGCAATCAGAACAATCCCCAATGCTTGTAGGTATTAAGCATTCTGAATTGCGCTGCTGGGCATTTGCAAATACCCTGCCTAGACATGCCCATGCAGAATCCCAGGCTGTCTTACAGTCTTACAGAGCCAGTGTGGTGTAGTGGTTAAGAGCAGTAGTCTCATAATCTGGGGAACCGGGTTCGCGTCCCCGCGCCTCCACATGCAGCTGCTGGGTGACCTTGGGCTAGTCACACTTCTCTGAAGTCTCTCAGCCCCACTCACCTCACAGAGTGTTTGTTGTGGGGGAGGAAGGGAAAGGAGAATGTTAGTCGCTTTGAGACTCCTTAAAGGGAGTGAAAGGCGGGATATCAAATTCAAACTCTTCTTCTTCTTCTTATCATTTCAGTCACAGACACAGCAAAAATAATGTTTGAATATGTTTCTCCAAATAATGATTACATCTTACATTTCCAGCGACGCAAATACTGGGAACAGACTGTGTGTTGATGAAGCTGTTAGGGCACATCTGGAGCTGCCTCTTATCCTTCAATCTAATTTGCTAACTGTTGACTCGGGACACAGACGGCCAAAGCTGCTCCCCTGGGCAGCTCTTGGAAGCTGCATGAACATCACAGCAAGGATTAGCACAGGTTTTTTGTTTTTTTGTGACCTGGCTTGATCCTCTGCTACACTGTAAAGGAGATAATTCTGTGTGGGTCACCGGAACATACATTATGAGCACTGTGCATGGCATGAGCACATTGCACATTCTAGGGTGTGCACATTTCACGTTTGCTGATTGTGACAGTCCAGATGTGAAGCTGCTCTTGCATAATGCTTGTATATTCGTCTTAGAGTTTAATGAGTGTAATCTGCATAAAGCTATATGCTCTTTAGTTCATTGGAAACAACAAAAGATTTCAATGAGACTACTTCGTCTAATTTTCCTTCAACTGCATCATTATTTTCATTATCCTCGTTAACGCTTTCTCCCCTCATAGTAATCAAAAGGTACAGATAGATAATTAAATCTACAACAGATCTACATTTGCAAGCAAAATGTGAACAAAGATTTGGTCTTCACTGTAGAATACTTGGAAAAGAAATGTTAAGGCGTATGGAACACTTAGAACACTAGTCCTTCTGCTGATAACTCTTTTCAGGATAGCACATGCTGGGCAGATTTTAATAAGTTCAGTATTCAGTTTTGCTGTTTCATCACTTCTCTTTTACAATATACATCTGCAGCCTCTTCTGCAGCCAAAATCTGCATATAAAGGGTTTCTTACTCTCAGTATATAGGAAAATGGGAAGGGTTGGATAACAATAAGCAAATGACTCACTTGTGTACTGTCTGCATGATGGAATAATTTATAGAGTCGTGAAATGCTGTAGATATATATTCTTTCAAACTAAGAGTGATTATGTGTTAAGGAAGCTACAGCTGAGCAATGGCATTTGGGGAAGTTCCACATGACAATGTTAAGTTTATTTTCTCTCTGCATAGTGCTTTCCTTCCACACAGTGGGGTATATATGGAGAAGTATATGTGTGTAAATGATAGACCACAACTATTTCAGCTTTTAGCTAGAGGTATGTTACCAAAATTAGCTGCTGTGCATTCCTTCTTAGCACATCGTTCTATCCTGGAGAGTAGCATACAAAAAGGAGAAAAGAAGCTAAAACCACACAGAGATGCTCTTGTGTTGAAACAAAAGGAGAGCATGTTAGCTGGCTATCCAGGTACAAAGGGGAATTGCTGAAATATTAACTAGATATCATTAAAAATAACTAGCTGCTGGAATTTGGAGGAGAGGAAAGGATAATGGTCAGATTTTGACAAAGTAGTTGAACCTGACTCCCATTGTTTTCAATGTGTACTAAGTTCACCTAACTTAGCTCTGGGTCCACCCCAGATAAGTGTGGCACACCTTTTACTTATTCATGTTCACATACCTACAATGAATATTGTAATGGGAGATAGTTAACATTGTGCTCTGGTGAGTTGCTTTCTGACTAGCACCTCAAAAACAAATTATTATGTTAAGCATTTTAAAGCAACTGACAATGAAACAAAAAAAATATATATGAAACAACAAGCAGCCAGCAATTTTTAAAATAGCAGTTCACCAAAACTTTAAATTCAGTAACATGTTTTTAAAATGTAGTAGGTTTCACCTTATGATGATATAGGCACTTCACAGATCTGCCCAGGAAAGCTATTTCAAAGGTGAGAGGTTACCACTGAAGAAGCTAATTCCCCAGTTGCCATTCACCTCATCTCCTGAATATTGGGTTACCTGTAGACCAGTCTCAGAAGCAGATCTTTCGGGAAGATTTCTATTGAAGAAGGCAGTCCTTTAAAAATCCTGCTAACAAGCCATTTGGGGCTTTAAAGGTCAAGAACAGCCCTTTCAGTTGTGCCTGAAAACAGACTGGTAGCCTCTATAGATCTTTTAGCACAGGCAAGTTGTGCTGAATCTGGCCCATCCCAGCCTAACAATTTAGCTTCCATTTTCCATTTTCCCATCTGCTCTATCCACCAGAGCCTTTCTTTGCATGCAGGGAAAGTCACTGAAGGTTTAAGGCCAGTCGAAGCCATTCCCAGGATGTGGCCACTGTCACATGCCAATAGTTTCTAGGAGCCATAGGTGAGAGCTGAGTGCAGAAGGGACCAAAGATGGGCAAACTACCCCAGAAAAAGCACAATGTGTCCGTCCCCCCCACCAGAGGTACTACCCTTGCTCTAACACCCCATGGCATTAGTAGGTAATGTGATTCTGTGTGTATGTTGTTTCCCTCTAGCTAACACTATTTACACAGTACCAGCTTAACATATAATTGGTTGTTCTTTTTCTCAGTTTGGATTGAAGCTGGCGTGGGGAATAATGCATCAAAACACAGTATTTCATTTTTTTAAATGACAGATATGATTTGAATTACATGTAGATATGAATTACAACTAATGTTACGTGTACACTGCTTCTCAGGCCAGCAGTGGTAGTGCACTGGAAGCAGAGTGAATGGGGTAAGTTCGCAGCCTTAGATGAACTCTCCCCTGTTCCTTCCCTTGCCTTTTGTCCAGTTTTATGGCATGTCATAGGAAACCACAGAGCTTGGGGAGCAATTTACCTCTGTGAGGAAGAGAGATTCCATCGTTTAAAGTAGGGAGGAAGAGGGTCAGAACAGCAGCTGTTCAGGCTCATGTCTTGGTATATGCAAAATATTTTTAGAATACTTTTGTACTAAAGGAAATAAACATTTATGTAGGATTGTGAGCAGATCCACCCGGCCTTGGAAGTATGTACATTTTGTCCTGGGTAACATTGCTGATTAGATTTTGTATAAACATATTAGTTAGCCGACAATGTTAGTCTGGGTTTGCTATGAGTCGAGAGGGCTGAATTGTTTTAGGAAATGAGTGGCTCAGTGTTAACGTACAAGAGTTAAAATCATGAGGACATTTCTGCTTTTGGTGCTGAATTGCTGTGTGGCGTATTGCATGTCACTGTAATCACTCTGTGGTCTAACTCCCAGAATTCTTAAAATCCCTGTGGCAATACGTCAGACTATCGATTATACATTTGCAGTGTGTTGTACGCCTATTGAGTAACAGTTATAAAGTGTGACGGATGAACATGCAGATGAATTCAGAGTTGAGATTACTTTTTTACTGCTTTCAAAAAGCAAACCATATTGGATATTAGATCATTATTATGGAATAGATGCTGCTTTTATAAATATAAATATTATGCCCACATATATTATAAGAGCATCTTATAATTCATAATTCTTGTCAGTTGTTCATTGTTAGATCTGAGATAATATTGAAATGCTCCTGCTTAATTTGGATTGAATTTTGTTCAGCCGATGCATTTGTCATTTCATTAGCATGGCAGACCATTAATCTCATTCATCAAAACTGTCCTATACCGTGAACTGAGCGAGCAATAACATGTTCGGCTACTGCCTTCATTTTATTTTGCATGGATTGTTAAATTTTGTTGCAAGCTGTCTTGAGAATGAAGGCCAGGAGGTAGGATATAAATATTTGAAATAAACTAATAAATCTTTACTAAAATACCAACAGTGATATTCTTCCTTCCTGTTTGGAACATGGCCAGTCTCTAAGAAAATAGTTTCTTCTTAAAATCTGTTACCAAGGAATTCAGCCTCACTGTCATTTTAAGTATGCCTCTAGGCCAGGGTGGTCCAACACATGGCCCCTCAAGGCCCTTTTTGGTGCGTGCGTGTGCACACACACACACACACACACGGCCTTTGCGCTGCCTTCCCAAAGCTGAGTAAGCGAGCCGCTGGGCTTTGGGATTATGGTGTGTGTGTGTATGTATATAATCAGTCCCTTTGCTTTCTCTCATCAGCAGAGACTTCCAATTTAGTCTGGCTATTATGTGTGGTAAAAATTCATTCACGTTTAATTAAAAACACCTACCATAATTTGAATGCTAAGGCTGATGGTACACGTATCTTTTGTGATGAGCATGTTACATCTCATCTGCACTGCATATTACATCCTAGTTAGAATAATGTTGACCACAGCCTCGTCATGCATGTGCACAAACACTACATAAGAAGTGTTGTATAAGGGAACATTTTCATTTCTATGGGATTTGTTGTTGTTTTTTCTAGGCAGTCTTGAACAATTAAAATTATGTTTTGCTGCAATTAAGAATCAGGATAAGGATAATAATGATGATTACCTCCTTTATTGCATTGTGTGACTATGCTTATCAGGTCCAATGTGCAAAGTATCCAGTAGGTTATAACTTAAGATACAGTACTGCTGCCATGTACATTGCACTACAAACCAGGTTCTCTTATCATCTTAGCACTTTTCCACTTCATGACTGGATAGCTTTTCAGACTTAGGGTACAATTGAAGGTATATTACTTGCACTCAGGCTGTGTAAACACTATAAAGCACATTCAAAGCACATTGTTCCTTCCTCAAAGAATTCTAGGCACTGTCATTGCTGAAAATTGTAACTCAATGAGGGGGGTGAATTGCAGTGCCCAACATTCTTTGATTGAGAGTGTTTGCTTAAAGTGTGCTTTAAAGGTATAGCGTGTGTGCTGTCTCCAGAAGCATACTTACTATGTATTTGTCAGATGTACATAATATCCATGAGCTGTGAGGAACTAGCTCTGCTCATTTGCAGGGGAGGGAAATAATGTAGTATTGGATCAAATTGCTAGGAGTACCAGTTGAGCTACAGAATAAGAGGTCAAATAAGAAAGCAATGTGTTGCATTGGCTACTAAGTTGATAAAAAGAACTGAAGAATTTGCTTGGTCTGAAATTCAGGAACTGTTGCTCATCAAAATTAATATAGAGAGTGTAGTTAGGAAAATGGAGGATAATTTATTTGTGTATCAAACAAAAAACCTTATGGATTTTTTTAATCTGGAAGACATTTTGTGCTAAGTATGGTATTAACTTTATCACTTGATGCCAGTTTTGAGTAATAGGGCACTGTTTTGGTATGAGCAGCATAGGAAGGAATTGTTATATTCAATTGTGCTTACTCCCAGGCAAGTGTGTACAGTATAGGACTACAACATTAGATTCCTAATATTTACTATTTTAGGGGATTGTGTGGTGCTACCGATGTTTATACTAGTGTTCTCATGGCTGAATGAGCAGAACACTTATTTCCCCATTGGCCCAAGTTCTTGCATTGCAATAATGTTCCCACATCACAAATAATGTCATGCTTTGTGATCTTATATTAATTTCTTCTTAGAATTATTTATGAATTATTTCATAGAAAACTAAGGTTGAATTTTAATCTCTTATAGGTGGAAAGACATGATATGAATACCCTCAGCCTGCCTCTTAATATTCGCCGGGGAGGTTCGGACACCAACCTCAACTTCGATGTACCTGATGGTGTGTTTGAGTTTCACAAAGTAAAAGTCAGTGCAGACAGTTTGAGGCAAAAGATTCTGAAAGTTACGGAGCAGATCAAAATAGAACAAACAGCTCGGGATGGGAATGTGGCAGAGTATTTGAAGCTCGTGAACAGTGCGGACAAACAACAAGCAGGTCGAATTAAACAAGTATTTGAAAAGAAGAATCAAAAGTCTGCCCATTCTATAGCCCAGTTGCAGAAGAAATTGGAACAATATCACAGAAAGCTCAAAGAGATAGAACAAAATGGTTCCTCCAAAAGTACCAAGGATACTTCCAAAGACAGCCTGAAGGAAATCCAACATTCCCTGAAAGATGCCCATGGGAAATCTCGTACTACTGGCCAGAGCAATGAGAGCAGCAAAACAGGTGTTCCAGGAGTCTCCTTGACACCACCAGTGTTTGTTTTCAGCAAGTCCAGAGAGTTTGCAAACCTGATCCGGAATAAATTTGGTAGTGCTGACAATATTGCTCACTTAAAGAGCAGCCTGGATGATTTTAGGCCAGAAACTACTTCCAGGGCCTACGGCGGAAGTGCTACTATAGTGGCCAAGCCAAAATACACCAGTGATGATGAGTGCTCAAGTGCAACATCTGGCTCTGCGGACAGCAATGGAAACCAGTCCTTTGGCCATGGTGGAACAAATTCTCTGGAAAGCCATGGGAAACTATCAATTCTCTTTGAGGGACTGCGGGAAATAAAGGAAGCACAATCCCAGTTGGCAGATGACATTGAGAATTTAAAAGTACAATTCAAAAGAGAGTATGGCTTTATTTCTCAAACGCTGCAGGAGGAAAGGTACAGGTACGTTATTATGTTGGCCAGTTGAAACTGATTTTCACAGGTAGATGAGAATGAGGTGGTGTCAAAGCAATGCAACAAAGAGAAGAATGAACTAAATACCCTTGAACTCCACCCATGACAATGATCAGCTGCATGTACTACATAGGCACATGTTAACACTTCCCCATCATATATGCACTTGAAGAGGCTACCACATTTGCTGTTAGGGTAATGTGTGAAGTGTATTCCCAGAATTCTCAGCAGGCTTATCAGGTGAGCAGTCATGGGGTAAAAAAACTCTTGTCATGTTAGTTTCTATAATCACATGCAAAAACTTACAACTTAGTGAGAATGGCAGTAGTAGTAGTAATAATAATAATAATAATAATAATATAAAATTACTTTTTAAAAGGTTTACAATGTTCAGCTTGTATTCAAGGTAGTATACTTTTCTAATGCCAGTAGGGTTTCAGCGCAGGGAAACAAAAAGTTACCCTGATAAAGAATGGTGATGATGCAACCTACAAATAAGGAGGGAAGCACTTGAATTAGATTTCACATAAAAGCCAAGTAAATTTTGTTTTTTTTAAGGTATGAGCGATTAGAAGACCAGCTGAATGATCTAACAGACCTCCACCAGCACGAGACAGCCAACTTGAAGCAAGAACTTGCTAGTATTGAAGAAAAGGTGGCGTATCAGGCCTATGAACGGTCACGAGATGTTCAGGTACCAACTTTTGAAATTAAGTAACAGATTATTTTTTTGTTTCCAAAGAATTAGCCACTGTGGTCCAGTGATGAAAGCACAGGATTTTTTAGACTGAAAGAGCTGAGTTCCAATTTAAGACTAGATTTGGGCCTTTGGAGATGGAGAAGGAAGTCACTCATGCTTCCTATTCTTTATGTCTTTAAAAAGAACTTTTGCATCTCCCTCTCAAAGAAATACTGTGAATCCAATGCAGCTTTATTCAGATGACTAAGTCCCCACTGCATTCAATAAAGCTTATTCCCTTTCACGTTTAGGATTGCAGCCATAAACTCATAACCAGAGCTTTCACATCTAACCACTAATTTTTCACATTTATATCTGATGGAACTATAGTGTGGAAATGACATTGCTCTTGCAAGATAGGAACAACTGCAGTTCTCCATGGGAAAAATTATAACCTCCCTCACTAGGCTGTTGTGGGAATGAACAAAATAAGTATAGAAAAGTGCTATTGAAAGAATTGTTCACCAAGCTTTTAATCAGTCCGTGTAATAAGAGGATATGAGACTGAACATGAACACTGGCCGTTGCACAGTTCTCCTTCAAGGAGGAAAAAGACATCTATAATTCTGTGATTCTGTGTACTGTACATTTATGTATGGCTGGAGACAGGCAGGGGAAGAGTGCTCTTGTGTTCGAATCTGGTTGTCCACCGTGAGAACAGGATGCTGGACAAGATGGGCCATTGGCCTAATCCAGCTGCCTGTTCTAATGTTTTTGTGTTAATACATTTTCAACCTTGAGATGCATAGAATTATAGAATTGTAGAGTTCGCAATCAAAGAGTTGTAAATTGTTTTGCTAATTGATTTATGCACAGATGGGGGTAATGTCCTTAACCGATCAGATAGAATGAAAATGTATTTTATGTATGAAAGTGATGGTTCCTTAACTTTTCTTTCCCCCCTTCCCCTTCCTATTTTATACTGACAGGAAGCTTTGGAATCTTGCCAAACACGGGTCTCTAAGCTGGAGATTCATCAGCAAGAACAGCAAGCCCTGCAGTCAGAAACCGTTAATGCCAAAGTCTTGCTGGGGAAATGTATAAACGTAGTCTTGGCCTTCATGACCGTAATCCTAGTGTGCGTCTCCACCATAGCCAAGTTTATAGCTCCTATGATGAGAAGCCGTTTCCATATCATTTGCACCTTCTTCGCAGTAACTCTTCTTGCAATTTTATGCAAAAACTGGGATCACATTGTCTGTGCCATAGAAAAGATGATCATACCAAGATGAATCCACAATGCCCAGAGCATTTTTGTTTTTAAAAGAAGAAATACTTCTAAACAAACTACCAAATCTTTAATTTTGCAGTTTACCTGTGCAGACTAAATGAAGACTTTTCTATTGGGTATTAAAATGTGATGTTGATAACTCCTGGCAGTGTATTTCACCTCATCAGTCACCTTATACGAAATGAGGTGAATCTGTTATAGACTAATTACTTGTGTAAATCTTTCTGCCTTAATCTAATCTACTTTTTCTACGCTGCAGAAATCCTGAACAGTCAAGTCTTGAATACATGATCTTAACTAGACTGGGGTTTAGGAGAAGAATAGTATAAATAAGAAACAGCAATCCTAGTTGGGAGGTTGCATATTCATGAACAGTCACCTGCATCATTCCACTTTACATAGTAGCTACTGTTCCCTTATGAAGCATATGCAAACAGTAAGCTGAGATTTACACACCTTGGAGAAGTGCACATTTTTGGCATCTCCTGAAGACAGATATTTATAAGGTAGAAACTGTGATGGAGTTTATTATCTCTCTTGCCTGCTGCTGACATTGGCCCAATAAGTCAAAGAGGATTCTTACTTAAACCTTGCCCCAAAATTGTTTTTGCCTTACAGTTTAGTTTATATTAAATATTATATTCCATTCCACTTCTGTTTCATGATCTTAAATATATATACATAGCTGTCCCAACTGTTGAATAAATGAGGATCTGCCAATCATATGGTCCAGACATGGGTATTTATCTCTTTTTGATAAATCTATGTTGTCTAATGGGAACTACTTTTTGGCTGAAATGCAGTGATAGGAGTCGCTCATCACATCCCTTTAGAAACCTGCAGCTGTCTAGTGACTGATGTTGCCATGAGCAAATAAGAACAATAGCATGCAGTCCAAACAGTATAATCTTTTCGGCTTTTGTTTTCATTTTTCCTGTCCTTGGTTGTTGTTGTTTTTTTACTTTTAACCACTAAAATATATTGTCTGATGTATTTCTCTGGTGATAATTTGTGATGCTCTCCCAACATCTAGCTATAGCAGGGCAGTATTCTCAAATCAATGTCTTTAGCCTAAAATAATACCGCAATCACTGTGAAGTTTGTATTAAATAAAACTTCATGTATGAAAATACTTGTATAAGATATGTGAATAAATATGATTAGGAAGTGAAAAGGTGAGAAATACATTAGTGGTGCTTTTTTGTTTTGTTTAAAAAACAATGAAAAGGCATCTGCCAATTTAATTATCAGCACTGGTTGCAGAAGAATGTTGTAACAGTAATTTGCTTGAATTCTAAGGAATTTCCCTGTTGCACATGTCCCATTAATTTTAATGGGGTTCACACTAGAGAATGATGAAACTGTTAAGTTTCAGTTTCTCATGAGTTTCACATTTTTATAATTTTAAGTTTAGCTTGCTACATTTCTGCATCCATTTGCTATTTTATGTTTTGGTTATGCATTTTACAGTAATGCACATTTCCCCCTAATATATGCATTTTTGTGCACATCTTTGGGTTGGAGAACTGCGTCATGAAAATTAACAGAACTGTGAATTTTGAAAGCTACCTGTATTTAAATTCACGTACATTGTTTCAGGAAGTGTGAATAAGGTATGTTCACATTGGGCTCTTCCATACTGTAGTTTAATGGGAACAGTAAGTTTTCCTGTACTTTCATTAATTTTCCATTGTCCATATGATGTTCTCCTCCAAATCACTGACCTCCCTCAGTTTGGATTCTTTCATACCAGGGATGCTCCAAAAGGAGAGGGTGTGAGAAAATCTGGAGGAGGATAGACTGTGACTTGGAAGAGAATGCCATGTGGACAATGGAGAATTAATGGAGGTACAGGTAGGTTACTATTGACATTAAACAACGGCATGGATGAGTCCATTAAGATGTGAACCAAACCAGATTTCTCCCTCATCTCTACCTCACACAGGAGAAACTGTGCTCCAAGGGCACTTCCAGATGCAGGCATCTGCCTATGAATGTAATTGTGTAGAAGACTAGCACTGTGCTGTTGCCAGCCTGCTATAGTAAGAATCCTGCCTGTCATGGAAGGATCAGGGCTAGTGTTTACTTAGCAGTTTTAGTGCTAGGAAAGCAATAGTGGCAGCACTTGCGAGAATTGTATTTTGCTGAACAGTGAAGGCTTAGTAAAGGCTGTGCAGTTCTCCTGAGAAAAGCCCAGAGTTTGGAAAGCCCCCTTGAGGCTTGGCATAATTTCAGGAGCTAATTTGCTAACGATTTAAATACTGGTAAAGTTTGCACTTTAAAAATGGTTTTAAAAAATCAATATGTGCAATGTTTTGTTTTGTGTTTTTTTAAAAAAACAAAAACAAACGTGGAACTGAACTTGCTGACGACAAAGACTAAGACATCTGTATATACAGCATTGCTAACTATATCAGTAATCAAGAAGACAATGGAGACAACAGGCATATATTATTTTAAAATGTCCTCCGTTTTCCTATTTATTCCCCAATATTCCCTTATTGTTGCATTAAAATCTCTAATTTGAGGGAGGAAGAGTGTGGGTGAGTGTACTGGGTCTGTCCCCCTCCAATGTCAGAGCCTGTGGAGGCATTGACCTCCATGCCACAGAGGGAAGAACTTCTCAAGTGAAGAGTCTGGTCTTACACATGTAAACTCCCTGCATGGGATGTTGATGGTTCCTACAAGGAGCTTCACCCAATAGAAGAGGTCCCTCTGCAGATGTTTGCCTTCCCGATACATGGAAACAATGTTGGAAGTGCAGTTTATGGAATAGGGCCAACAGGCTTGCTCCCCTACTCCCCCTCATACAATTCAAGTATGAGACAGAATACCCAAATAAACTGAATTCTTTGCAAAAGATCCCAAAGTACCCCTATTTTTGGGGGGGTGGGGGAGACTAAACTGGGTGCCTTAATCTACATCATATCCTCTAAAAATTTCAGGATAATAGTATGTTCCTTTTAGGTTCTTTCCCCCAAACCTCCTTTGGACACATTTGGCTATTTTCTTTACCAGATACGTTAAAGGCCAGGTTCAGTGACCGATAGGGTTGCCATACGCCTGGAATTTCCCAGATATAGCTGCCATTTGGCCCTCTGGGCAGAAATCACTGAAGTGTCTGAGGAAATCTGGATGTATGGCAGTCCATGTCAGAAGTGTAGATTTTGGCGAACTTTGCCCCACCCCATCCCCAAATCTCAACAACTCAAATTCACGAGCGGACTTTCAAATTTCAGTAGCACCCTGTGCGAGGCAAAAATTTGGCAACTCCCCCATCTCTCAACTTCAGTTCTGCTCAGTTCGATACGTCATAGTTGTGATGCTGAGTAGCCTAGGCTCAGTGCCCAGTGCTGCCATGCTGCCCTAAATTCACCTCTGGTTCCACAAGTGGAAGCCAGTGCAAGGGGAGACACTAGCATAACAGGGCTTCCCCTCTCCTCCCTCAAATCTGCTCTGGAGAGCCGTGAGAACCCCCAAACAGCCTGCGGAGAGAAGATCATTCCTTGCCTGACAAAATGATCTCTTTAGCGTTATGTGGAATTCCACTGTAGGAGTTTATCTCCTATGTCCTCTTAATCATGAGTTGTTGCATCTTGCTTATGTATTTTAACCGTAGCTAAATTTGTTCCCAAAGTACCTTGCCTGAACAACAGCAAGTTTTTGCAGTAGCATATGTGCTGTTGTTTTAAAGCTAATGTGCCAACTGAGTAATTTCCCGACCCTCCCCAGCTCTGGCCAAGTGCGTTTCTTCTGGGTAATGGCATTTATTTTTCTTGGGACTTTGTCCTGAGATTACTTCCCTTCTGTTCAGGAGGATTTCCCTTGTTTTGATTACCAGCCCTTGTGACGCAGCTGTGGAACATCTTGCTTTTCCTTTTGTTCAACCATGCTTTCCCATCTTTATTCATATGAATAGAACTGTAAAGTATTGACAATTGGGATGTTCCAGACCGTGAACTAGACACTATGCTCCAGACTCAGAAAGTTTTCTCTGTTATACATCTGTTTGCATCAGGCAATTTAAAAAACTGTTTCTCCCTACCTGCAAACTACTAAGGATTCTCTTATATACTATTTAATTCTGACTCTAGTTTAGTATCCTTTTCTCTTTTTTACCCCCCTCATGTGCAACAGTCATTTTTTCTTAATGTATCACCCATTGCTGCAAATGAGTAATATCTTGTTTACACTCTCCTATTTTACATTTATAGTACTGCAGGCTGGCCTATTGAGATGATATGTAAAATATTGGGATACTTTACGTTTTACAGAATGTGGGATTCACTTGTTAGTAGCTTTACTATTTTGAAGAAGAAACAAAAAAGATCAAACTTTATACTGTTTCCTGTTTATTACTAATTTATGGTGCAGTCTTCTAAGTAATGATATAAACCACCATTCATCTCAGTGGAGCTTATGTAAGACCTGTTGAAATTAATGGAGCTTGTGCAATGCTTGACTCTACACAGAAGACACACTCTAGTGGGAATTTTCCCAATTTACATAGGAATGGGGATAATTCCAAAGGCTATCCAAGTGAGTAGCACATGTTATGTCCAAACAGTGTCTTTGTTTACTTGAAACTTTCTTTAGACTAGCTGACATCTCTGCATTTTCTGTTCCTGGTCCTATCTCAGTTCCATACCAAATAGCTAAGATAAATCCAACATTTAACAGCTCACATTATTTTAGATTTTGATGCCACCAAAACACCTTCCAAACTGCAGAACAGAATTATATTCCAAAAATCTATTATGTGGTCCAGAAAAATTAATCTTCAACATTTATCCAAATACACTGTCATTATTTCTGTGTCAGATGTAGCTTGCTGTATTTATATTGCTGCTGTAATTAGCTAGCATCTAAATGATAAAGCAGAAGAGTTTAGCAGTGCTGAACAGCAGCAGCAGGATGTACATTCAGGTTTGTAAGGAACAAAACCATCACTGTTAATTAACTCGGTGTATAATAATGATCTTGCCAGGTTTGTACAATGTCACAGCACTTAACTGAGATTGCACAGACTTGGTCCAGGGATTAAATGTAGCTGCCTAAAAATATTAGGTCACAACTTGCCAGCACAGTTCACAGAACCCTAAAGTCCCATTGTAAAATTAAAAAGCACTTGCAGACCTGGTTTTAATTTATTGCAATAAGGACATGCCTAGTTGAAACCAATGTGATCGTTCCAAATGTAGGAACAGAGGACTCCTGAGTCTGAGGTAAGCCACTGTAGGAAAGGGGTATAGATAGACATGCAAGACAATTGCTGGGTACCTGAAGAAATCCATTACCAGCTTTCTTCTAGACAACAACTTGGATGATGGAAAAAAGTGAGAGGTGGGAATCCAATAGAATTCATGCCCAGATACAGATTATAAGCAGAAGTTGGGAGCCATTGTAGCCAATACTGGCTTGGCTATGGGGAAGGTGCATTGCAATCTGAAGAGAGAGAGAGCAGAACATTTTTAAAGCATTAATATCTTAAAAAGGAAAAATACCTATTGCCCTTTGGCTGTTGTTTTTTTTAAATAGAATCTTCAGTTACTTTAAACTTTCCCAGGCCTTTTGCCGTAGCACTGATTTTGCTGGGCAGTTATACTGATGCCAGTGGAAGTCCCCCCAAGTATTATTGGAAATTGGTAAGGAGGCTTTGACGAGCACAAGGACCATAGCAGACCACTGAGCACAGTTGCCCCCTTCATTCCCCTCCCACCCCAAAAAACCCTCTGCAGTTTTTCATGAGCAACTTCTGCAACTGCAGAACATGTCAACGAAAGGCACAGATGAATAAGGTGGTTGTAACATTCAAGTTGTTAGAGGAATGCAATGCAGAATTTGAAATTCTGCTGTGTGCAGACCTTTCAGTGAAATTGATAATCCTCCTTAAGCCAAAATAATAGTATATAAATCGTTTTGTTTCAATTGACTGAAATGGGAATCACTTGATTTTTAATGGAGTGCTTGAATTTACACCTGATCCTAAGTATATTTATTTTGAAGAAAGTTCTAATGATGTCAGTAGCAAACCATTCCTCTTACAAACACAATCTATGCTGATTTGTTAATCAGATTTTCACTCAAACAAACAAACAAACAAACAAACCTGGAAGTTACTTTTCCAAAATATTAAAATAGGAATGACCGTACCATCATCAAATAATTAATCTACTATATTAGTAATTTGTTTGGTGGTATTGCAGTAACCATAACTGGCACAAAACTAGTTGGTTCTAATCAAATTTGTACACATCAAAACAATGATCTCTCTTAGAATGTCAGGTCCCACATTTTAGGATTCCTTCATAACAAAGCTTTGTTTTAGCCAAACTCAGCTTCTTTGTGGGTGTACTAGTCAGAGGTTCACAGAAACATCCAAGGAACCAAAGTGAATTAAGAGTATACTCCCTTGGAACTGCCTTTCGTATTCACTTTGTGACTTCTTGTTATCTTTATAAGACTTGTGTCTGCAAACATGCATGTGTTTGCACTCATATCCTGTTTATGTGTATGTGTAAAACTGTAATGTGTGATGCAGATCTGAGTCAAAAGATTTAACTGCTACAATTTTTCCCCACAACAGATCATGAATTCTCATTTACCTTATCATCACCATCATTATTTTGGCCTTGTATAGTGTCTTCTTCATGGAACACAAAGGTGCTTTTACTTTGTCAAATTCTCAATTATACTAGGTCTTGCTACTTCACTACTGAATATATTTATATATAATTTTAAAAATCCATACTTTATGTTCTAAATATAAATCATCAATGTATTTTATAAGACTGTTTAGCTTCTAGAAAGAATTTAATGCTAAGAGTTATATATTGCACTGTGTCAGTGTCTGCCTGGTTTGGTTATAAATGAAACGATGTGACTATAGAATAAGGATGTGCAAAGTAGAACTAAGCAGATAGCATGTTTACATGTAAGCTAATTCTGCATTAAAAATGATTATAGATTTCAGGCAGAACCTTTCAGGTTCCTGAAAAACTCATGGAACCTTTCATGTCTTGAGTTATCGTACAAATCTAGGTTTAGAATCTTTGTTCTCAGTATGAATTAAAGCACTGTACATACTGTTTGCATGGTGACTGGTTGAGCTGTCATGTAAGATTTTAATTTATTGCATATGTTTAGTGAATTAAGTTGTTCCTCAGACTTTTCCTTCCTCTTGTTTTTGTAAGTAATGCCAATTAGGCACTGTGGGGAAAGTCTACTTAAAAGTCTTCTGAACAATCCATTTTCACTGAATGACAATTTTGTCTCTGTATATGTAACATACAGTGTAACCATACCACTTACATTTTGTGTGGCACTGTGTAAATATAAATGTATTTTCATTCTTTATTGTGTTCTGTAGATTTCATAAGGTGATAATGACTGCCCCAAGGAGCCACCTTTAAAAAAAAACAAAATAAAGGTTTTTAAATTTAGTTATTATGCTGGGTTTATTTAAAATATGTCCACTATAAAGTAATTTTTTTTCTGTTTTCCGAATGACAATAACTGCCAATAAGAGAGGAAGATATATCAGTACATAGTGGGGGTGGGGGAGACACAAACATAATAGCAGAGAAGCAATTAAAGTAATGGAGTTGGCTGGGATGGCTCAAGACATTTTGTTTCCTGAGATGAAGGAAAGGATGGTGACTCCCCTAATCTATGTACAAAAGTTAACCAGACTGGCAGCTGAAACCAAGGAAGGCTGTGTTCACACTTCCATTTACTGTACACTCACTATCTTTCTAGTACAGTCATACCTCGGGTTGAAGTTGCTTCAGGTTGAGCACTTTTGGGTTGCGCTCCGCGGCGACCCGGAAGTAACGGAATGCGTTACTTCTGGGTTTTGCCACTTGCGCAGACGGTCATAAGGACATCATGCGCAGAAGCGGCGAATCGCGACCTGCGCAGACGCGGGTTGTGTTCACTTCAGGATGCGAATGGGGCTCCCGTTCGTATCCAGAGGTACCACTGTACTGGTTTCACATGACACTTTCACAATGTCATGTGAACATCCACGTTCACATGACATTTTCTAAAATGCCTATGTATCCTATACTTTGTTACTAAACACTACTGTTTGAATGCTGTTTCTCAAACTAGTTTCGCACCAGTTGGAGTCCTTAAGCCATTTCTAACTCATTTCTAGCAAAAGTGTTAACACCTTTGCATAGGGTGTTATGCTTTGTCACATGCCCACAGGTGAACAGTGGTACCTTGGGTTACAAATGCTTTGGGTTACAAACATTTTGGGTTACAAACTCCGCTAACCCGGAAGTAGTAACTCGGGTTGAGAACTTTGCCCCAGGATGAGAACAGAAATTGCGCACCAGTGGTGTGGCGGCATTTTCCCATTAGCGAAAGCACACCTCAGGTTAAGAATGGTTTCGGGTTAAGAACAGACCTCCGGAACGAATTAAGTTCGTAACTAGGGATACTACTGTATAAACAAATGGAAACTATTTGAAGTCAGTGCTGATGTGAACAGTTGGGAGGTGGGGGGAGTAGCTGTGGTCCCTTGTACATGGCACACTATCTGGCCACCATGGCTACTGGCAGATCTCCATGCACATTTCCCTCCAAAATATAGGGCATTTTCTATATGGACACATCATGGTAAACTCAGAAGAAACGGGTCTGTCGGTCTCACATTTTATGCAGGTTGAGATCAGGAGGATGGGCGTAGCCAAGGTGGAAGAGGGAAGGGCAGCTGTCCCCTCTAGAACAAGTAAAACAATAGAAATACTTAACTAGCCAACCAATCAGGTAGGTTCTGCCCCCACCTAACAAAAGTCCTGCCCTTACTAACAAAAATCCTGGCTACACCCATGATCAGGAGTAGGTTATCTTCAGACTCAACTAGATTTTAAAAAACCAAACACACCCTCAAATTCTTACAATTGCTCTCAAAATGGCTAGTTTGAGTGATCCACTGGTGTTTCTGAGAAGCAGTGCCCTCCATGCACCTGCTCAATGAATAGTGTAACAAACAAAAATCTGCCCTTATTCCCTTATGGGGAACACAAGAGCCCTTAATAGAGTCCTTTGTAGGTTCTCCATCGGTCGGAGAAAATAACAGGCTAACCAGAGAATATTGAGAAGCAAAGCAGCTCGTAAGCCTGTTCTTTATTGTACTGTTGCAACAGGGTGCTCTCCTCACACGCAGGAAAGGAGGAGGACCCAGAACAAAGGTGTACCTGCCCTTTATATTTTAAATTGCCCGCCCTTGAGTCCAAGACCACCCCCAGAAACATCATACATACATCACAAGAAGGGGTGTAACTCAAGACCACACCCCCCATACATCATAACTACATCACAGAAAGGGCTGTCTACAACATAAATTTGAGTGCATTGTTTATCTCCTGTCTGGCAGACCTGTTAATGGTCACTTGTTTGGATACCCTGGGGAGCCTGGCCAGTCTTTTGTATGACAAATAGTTCCTGAGCCAGGTCACAGGCTCACCCTATTCACAGACATACCCTTAAGGCAGGATTTGTGAACAAAAAGACAATGGGGAGGCTTTTCCATTTTCCTTCAACCTTGCAGAGAAATATTTGAGGTCAATTTGGGAGGGACAAAATGGTTTCAGCACTTTTTCTGTGGGGTTTCATACATGTGGTTTATATATGCCGTTATGAACATTTTATCTTCATATATGACCTTATTTTTTTTTATTTCAGTAGTTTGATCCCTACTAACATTGTATGGAAACAAAAATTTTTGACTGCACTATTCATGTTTGGGGAAACATTGCAGTATACTGTATAACTACCGTATTTTTTGCTCTATAAGACTCACTTTTTCCCTCCTAAAAAGTAAGGGGAAATGTGTGTGCGTCTTATGGAGTGAATGCAGGCTGCGCAGCTATCCCAGAAGCCAGAACAGCAAGAGGGATTGCTGCTTTCACTGCGCAGCGATCCCTCTTGCTGTTCTGGCTTCTGAGATTCAGAATATTTTTTTTCTTGTTTTCCTCCTCCAAAAACTAGGTGCGTCTTGTGGTCTGGTGCGTCTTATAGAGCGAAAAATACGGTAGATTCATTCCAAAACGACCTTTTCCATATCTGTGGCTAGGGGGACTAATTCTAACTACAAATCTGTATCTCTGATTAGTACAGAACAGGTGAATGGCGTGTGTTCTTCTTTTCATGAGATGTGAAAACGAGTTACGTTGCAGGATGAACCATGTACAGCTCTTTTGTTTTTCCTGACCACTTGAAACTTAGGAAAACGCTACCAAACGAGAACGAACAGCTTTGTTTCAAGTAAATTTAACAGCTTTGTGCCTGCTGGGAAAGAGCTCATTAATTCCATGGGGCTGACTCCTAGGAAAGCGGGGTCAGTCAGGAATGTACCCTAAAACTCGTTCCCCGCCCCCCACGCCTGAAGTATTGGTTCCCTCTCATCAAAGGTTAGTGCACTTCGTTTTTAAAGAACGCAAGAACCGCCTCCTCCGATTAGAACGGTCTCTACTTTGGGCGTAATCAAGCAGCGTTCCTGAGAAACGGACAAGCTAAGGGTTAACACGATTAGCCCCGCCCACTTTTGCCTTCGCGCGCCGCCTCCCGCCTCTTGCATCTATTGCATCGTGGCAACCACGCTTCCGCATTCCCGTGATGCCCCGGGGCTGGCGAAGATATTGTCCGGTGGGTTCCAGGCGCCAGCTGACAAAATGGAAAGGTAGGCGAGCATACGGGTCCCGGGAGGGCTCAGCGGAAAACGCGAGGGGCGGGGCGAGCGGAGCCGAAGCGCCATTTTTAAACAGCCGAGGCAACCGATGCCCGCCTGAGGTGGCGGGTAAGCGAGGAAGGGAAGGAGGCAGGGCTGGGCCGGCGGGGCAGGGCTGCTCCTGAGGCGGTTGGCGCTGCCCGTTTGCTTCGCGGTTCTCTTTCGACGTGGGTCGGTCAGCCGCTTTCCTTCGTGGGGGTTGGGGGGGGGGCTGGAGGCTTCCCTTCCCCGCCCGCCTTTTGCCTTCGCGACGGCCCTCTGAGGTAGGCCGGCTAAGGAAGACCGGCGTCTCCCCCCCAAAAAAACCCAGTCCCAGTGAGACGAAACACGGAATATTGTCATCTAGGGCTTTTTCTTTTCTTTCCTCGCTATCAGGAACTTTGTTCCCGCACCTCTCAGGTGGGCGCCATTGCCATTATAAGGTAGGCGTTCACGGTGAGTTTCTCTTTTTCTACAAAAAAAAAAAAAAAGCACTGTAAAGTAATGCCACTCTAGATAGTTTCACCGGCCAAAGGGATTTTTTTAAAAATACCGCCAAGGTGCTCGTAAGGTAATGCTGGCTAACCGCTCTAGTTCTGCTGCTCTTAAAAGTTGCGTGCAATGTAGCTGCACTGATTTAAGCAGCTCTCTAGAAATAACCGCTCACAGTTTTATAAGCATTTGGAAACTTAACCACAAGGGGTCAGTATAATCCAAATGGATTACTGTCTTCTATATTGCACAATTAGCATCTATCCTAATATTTATTCCGGTATCTTTTATCAAGGCTGTTAATAATAATAATAAAACACAAATAATAAAAGATATGGTTTGAAAAACGAATCTTTTAAAAACAGGGTGAGATCCAATGAGGAGACTTAGTCTCGCCCCCCCCATCTGTTTTGGGGAGCTGTGCACAGTAGGAGAAATCCCATTGTGCAAGCAGACTTACACTATTGGATGTCACCCAGTAATCATACAACAAATAAAACTTCACCTATACACACTAGATGTGTATTTAATTTTTCAGCATGTAACTTTATTGTAAGTATTAAAATTTGTGTTTCAAATCCATTGACCTTTTAATTGCAAGACATTTTCTAGCAACCCCAGCTCCTCAAATTTATTTAGTGGGCATGCTTTAAGCTCTGGTGTAAAGTTCTTTTTACTAGTTTAATGTTTGTGCTTAGTTTTTATTTATAGCCTATCCTGTACCAAAGCCTGAAGGCTTGTATTTTTACTATTAATTATTTTCTCTTCCTCAATAAGTTTAGGCATAATGTGTCAAATAAACCAAATACTAATTGTTTTACAAAACAATATTAGTCATATCGCATAGCTAAAACCATTGGTAGCTTCAGTTTAGTGCCTAGCAATGGCAGGGAAGATTTTAGCAAGGCATTCAATGCAGGCAAAGTGTTGAATATTATACTGGTTGTAACTTGCATCTGTCACAAAGTGGGATGCATTATCCTCAGAGGATATTGCACAGTTTGGCTGTCTTCTGTATAATCCTTCAGAGTAAACAGTCCTGTGGGAACAGAACTTTTGCACCCAAAGAAAAAAATGGTTTAGGTAATGGGGAAGTTTATGCAGTGCTTTCATAAATTAACTTTGTTTAATGTGGTTGATTTGAGAATGAAATCAGATTAAAACACACACACACTATATATATGTATTTTCAAAGATACCCTTGTCAGAGAAATAATGAAGCTTTTGAACATGTATTCAAAGCAGAGCCTTTTTAACCATGAATCCATTGACTACTAATTGGGTCCTTTTCTGTTTGTACAGGTAATTTGGCCTCAAGGGATTCCCTCAGGAGAGAAAGAGGTCTCTATGACGGTGGCAGGCTTGTGCTGACAGCTTTATTAACATTGTCATCTCATTAACATTCAGTCAGAATGGACACTTTTCCACATATCCTTTCATCAGTCGGTGGAAGTGGAGATCTTAGCTCACAAGCAGAAGTACAAAAACTGTTAAATGATGAAAGAATGCGGTGTGAACACCATAAAAACAATTACCAAACTCTTAAAGCAGAACATACAAGGTATAGTATGCTTTCTTTCTTTTTGATGTTGAGCTATTTAATTAAATGTTTTGATCATGAAAATAAAATGTAAGTTTTCTATAGCTAAACTAGTTGCAGTACTAATCAGATGTTAGACGAATAGTATTCAAGTTTAGCACACTGCTACAAACTTTTACTGGGGAGTGGGGGCCAGTTTGCAGGAACTTGATGACAACACGTGGATTTGCATGGTTATGTCGCAGCCACCAGGGATGGGTAGACAATTTTTGGCTGGTATTCCCTCCTCAATGTGGAAAAGGCACCATTGCCCAAAGATACACAATGCACCTTCACACAGTGACGTCCTTTTCTGTGCCCTGGTATTTCCTGAGGGGACATACTGGGTGGGCATGTGTGCTGTTGGACGTTGCCTTCAGGCAGTGGCAACCAGCTCTTCCATCTGCCCAACATTATTTCTTTGGCCGGTATGGGCAGTGTACTGTTGAAGCTTGGCAAAAGCACACAAACTATTTGCCAAATGGAGCAGCCTCCATGCAGTTCTGTTTCACTTTGCCATTGTATTGCTTCTGGTTTCTGTGAATTGGGCCTCCATTTCTTGGGATGTTGAGATTTCAGTTATTTAGGGAACAATTCTAACTCTTCTCTGCTTGGTAGGGCATTATGGAGTAGAAGGGTGGCAGATACAGCTCTCCTGCACAGAAGGTGGAGAATTGGCAGATTACTGTGCCAACCTGGAGGTGACCATCATGTGACTGTAGTAGGGCCTGCTTAGGATCCAACATATCCCAGGCCAGTTCAGCCCTGCCCCTAGAAAGTTCTGTTTTGAAGATTCCACTGGTTGCTGCCAGTGGGAATCCTGCTAATGGCACTTCCACATTTTTGGCAGGTGGAACTCTGTGCCAGATACAGGCTGCCAGGACTTGCACCCAATCCACTTCCCCCCAGCCCACCACAAAGTGGGGGTTGTATTGTTGTGCTAGTGTATTTAAAAATATGTACAATGTTGATTTTGTGTTTGTGTGTATTGGCATTTTCAGTATAAAAAAACTTTCTAACAGGAAGAAAACGTCAAAGCTGCCACTCAGAACACCTCCATGTTGTTGCTGCTCTTACTTCTTTCAATCTCTCCTTTTCTGTGCAGTCTTTTGGCACAACTCCCTATGTGTCATATTAGCTGTAATTAAGCCTAAGTATGTGTAACTGAAATGAACTGATATGCTTCCCCTGTTTATCCTACTTCCCCTTTCCTCTCCTTTCTCTGTTATCTTCAATGTGCCAAGATACAGATCAGTAAATTGAAAAGCAGATTCATTGTAAAATGATTTTTTTCAGGCTTCAGAATGAATATACAAAATCACAAAATGAGCTCAAACAGTTGTTACGTGAAAAGCAGACAGTTCATGATAAATTTCAGTGTCTGCTCGGTGAATTCCGAGATGAATTGTTGGATAAATCAAGAGAAGTAGAGGAGTTAAAGAAGCAGGTGCGGCCACAATTCTTTCTTTTAAGTTACGTTATTCATACACAGTGTCTTAATCTACATTGCTAATTATGTCTGGTGTTCTTGTTAAACTGTGACTGGTATCTAAAGAATTGCAGTTGGGGGTATAGTTCTTACTTTTCTTACCACATATTTGTATTGTGGTAGTACTGCTGCTGTGACTCACCTTAGATCAGCCATGACCTGATAGTGAGTCCCAGCCCACTGGCTGAAGACCAGTGGCTTCGATCATGTAGGAGTACTTTGTGACTGTTTTTTCTCTTCATTCAAAATATCTCCATGCCATACTCTGCTCAGTTTGAAAAATAAATTTGACATGAGGCATGGGAGCTGCCATTTCAAAAGATGTTTAAAGACCCCTTTGACTCATGTAACCTGTTGTCTGGAACATGACGTGCACTTTTACTACAGTCGTACCTTGGAAGCTGAACGCCTTGGCACTTGTACATTTTGGCTGACGAATGCTGCAAACCCGGAAGTAAGTGTTCCAGTTTGCAAACATTCTTTGGAAGCTGAACATCCAGTGTGGATTTCGATTGGCTGCAGGAGTTTCCTGGAGCCAATCGAAAGCTGCGCCTTGGTTTCCAAACATTTTGGAAGTTGAACAGACTTCCGGAACGGATTCCGTTCAGCTTACAAGGTATGACTGTAATGGCTTGCAGGGAGCATCTGATCCATTAGATGATTTTGCCCAGCTTAAATTGTTTTTCTCAGTTGATTGGAGGAAGGGCAGGGTGTGTGAAATATAATCTGTCAAGAAATTTTATCTCTCCTGGAATATTGTACACTCTTATTTTTCTTCTTTGGCGATCACTCGTAGCCGAGTAAGATTGTCTTCCATGAGCATGGTCTTAACAGCGAGTCCGTAAGTGACTGTGGAGGCCAATTCTAGATCCAAACGTCCTTCCACAGTGGGGACATAGGTTTCCAGACAGGACATTAAGAAGGAGTGATACTGCATTTACTTATTTGTGTACATAGTTTATATCCAATTTCTTCTACATAGATATATGCTCTTAAAGTGGCTAAAAGAGTTGTAAGAATTGAAGTACAATATAAAGTCATAAATAAAGCATGCAAACTAAAACAGCAATAGCCAATTTAAGTAGAAGATAAAATCATTCATGTCTAAGTAAAAAAATGCTTAAATTAGTAGTCCTAAAATGCCCAGAAAACCATGAATTGCACTTAAATTATAATAATGAGATGTTTTTGGGAGGGCATTCCAAAGCTGTGACGGGTCACTGCTAAAAAAAATATGCCTTTCTAAATATTTCATCCATATTAAAATGTTTCCCTATCACATGTTCATGAATTTGAGAATATTAGTTATTAATAACTTAATTCCACTCTTCTTTCAAGCAGCTCACGGCAGCTATGGAGTTTATTTATTTAATTATTTTTTACACCTCTTTATATTTCATAGAAATCTCTTAAGTGGTTTCTCTCTCTCCCCCACCCCCCAACATTTATCTTAATAACAACCATATGACTTACAGTAGGTTGAGAGACAAGTGCCCAAGGTCATCCAGTCAGTTTCATGACTTGAGTGGGGATTTGTACCTGAGTCTCCATAGTCCTAGTTATTCATACTGTGTCTCAACACTGAATTTTTATTAGTTAGGTAGACTGTATACTATAACAAATATGCATCTACCTTTGATCTGTGTTAGGAATTGTGCAGTGCCGTTTTATACATGTCTATTCACAAGCCAGCTGCATTGAGCTGAACATACCTTACTTCCAGGTATGTTTAGGACTGTAGATTTAGTTTGTATTTTCCTTTGGTTGAGTCATTTTGGCAGTTGCCCAGTGATGAAAACCTTGTTGTAATAGCAGGGTTCAAACAGATCCTATATGTTTTTATTGTTGCCAGTTCCAGTACTTTAGGAATATATGCAGCATAACAGGATAATATTGGAGTGTTTCTATCCTTAGGTGGGGGAACTCCAGATCTTTTAAGTGGCGGCATAATCTTCATAGAGACAAATGATGAAACAGTTGCTTTCTTTTTATGTGTTTCTTCGGACATGTAGGTAATTACTCCACAGAAGTTAGAGTTGCTTAAAACAGAAATAAGAGACAACATAGAAGCACCTCTGAAAGAGAATCTTCGAAAGCTAGATAAAGTAAGTAGAAACAAAGTTTTCTATGAAATGAAAGTTTTATATCCAGCCTTGTCTTCAAAGTATAAAAATATTTTTGGTTAGCTAGCTCCATAATTAGTTACAATTTTTCTAAGCAAAATATATTTTCCTATCTACTGTTACTTATATTTGATGGACAGGAGAGGTCAGTGTTTTTCTTCTTTCTGATAACATTTAAATGCAAGCTAGTTAAATAAGAAGGTGAGCTTAAAGACCCATGGATCGAAGTTATCTTGCCATGAAGCATAACAGTTTGTTTTAATTCAGCTTACCTGGTTGAACACAACAGCAAGCAAATGTCTGTAAAAGTGAAATTAAATTCTGATAAAGTTCTCTCCCTGGCTAGATAGGAGAGGGAAAGTGTAGTGTGTAAGCCTGTTTTGCTCAGGCACATTCTGGCTCACCTATGTCATGTTAAACTGGGTTAATGTTCCATGCAAATGCAACCATGCAATGGCTCCTGTTTTGTGATTAAAGAGGCTGGAGATAGGATCTTACCCACTGCACTATTAAGCTTTTGGACCCACGAGAGTCACAGAGACTGGTACAACCCTTCAGTGACTAAAGGTAACAATAAGAGAAAGAACAGGATTCTCTTGACAGTGGCTCAAGGCTATCTCAACTAGGGCTGGGCGATATCTGGTTTTCAACATAACGATATATTACCAGTTAAACATAGTGATATTTTGCTATATCACAATATGCAAAATAAGGCTGGAGGTGAACATGGCAATGTCCTGGCAGCTGCTACTACTTATGGGTCTAACTCTGAAACTGAATTTTTTTTACTGAACATATTGTTACAACTGTTATGCTATAGTACTACTGTACCAATAGTAGCACAGTTTCTGTAAAATCAAAGTTGTAATTAGTAAAGTAGTAGCATAGATATCAAAGCTTCCCTAAAAATTTAATTACATTACTAAACAAGAAAAAGCAGATTCAGTGTCACACTTTTAGATATTCAGATATCCTTGGTTGAAAAACCCAGTGTTTTTTGCCGACTGGTGGCTGCTGCTTCACAAAAACAAATGCACCACATACACCACCAACGGATGTGTGTGGGGGGAGACACACATAGACACTCGCACACTCACAAGCAGTACACACATCCAAATGGAGGGGGGAATGACAGAAGATGGTCAAATGCCAAAGCAAGGTGTTTGTTTTTACTAACCCCCGTTTGTTTTTACTGGGGGGAAAGGGCTCCAGAATTCTGAACCTTGCAGGCTTTCCCTAAGTCAACTACCAGCCTGGCGCCTTTAAGCAAGAGCCTTGAGAGAAGAAGTCCCTGCTCGCCGGCTGGATGGCTGGGGAGACAGAGAGCTAACCATTTCTCAAAGTTCCATTTGGCGATATCTGCTTCACGATACTTAACTCAGCCTGTAGTAATTTGTAGTGAATTGCTCCTCCTGCATAAGACAGGGAAGGTTGACTGATAGTGACTGCTAACCGGTTTTCAAAGCTTTGTTTGGTGATATCAGCTGGGCGATATTTGAGTCAGCCTGCTGTAGTGATTTGTAGCTATTTCTTGTTGCTGCCGGAGGCAGGGAAGAGCTGACCGAGGTGGAGTTAGCAAGTGCTGCACACACAGGAAGAAGCATCGGCTTCCTGGTTTTTCCAATATTGTGGTTTTTTTAATACCACACAAACAATATGTGATAAATTGCAAAGTCATTTAAAAAACTGTTTGATATATTGATTTATAGCACAGACCTAATCTCAACTGTTCTCCACTTCCTGGCAGTATGACTCCACTGCCGCAATGGTCACTGGCAAGGAGCATTCACCGTTGCTTCTGGAGCTTAAGCCAACCAATAGTATTATTGTATTTCTTTTGATGCAACTGTAAATGTAGCCATCAAAAACAATTAACAATTGCTGACCTGTTTTCAGTTTACACCTGATACTTACTAAACATCTTGTGTGCTCATTTTTTTCTGCATGGGTTTGTATTTTTTATTCACTTTGATTCAGTCACATATGTTCTTCTTAATTAGGAAGCAGAAAAATGGAGAACAGAATATAACAAACTTCGCTATGAACATACTTTCCTTAAATCAGAGTTTGAGCATCAGAAAGAAGAACATGCCCATATTTTAGAAGAGAACAAATTAAAATATGAATCTGAGGTAAGGACGAATATTTTAATATAAGAAAAACCATAACATTTGAATATGAATTTAATCAACTGTAATAAATTTGAACCCTGCCTAAAGCGTAATCAGTCAGGCCTTCTGCTTCATGAATGTCTTAAGAAAAAGGATGAAATATGCAGTTTACCATATGTTAACTTTAAAGTAAGTCTTGTTGCATTCAGCCAAATTACTCCCAAGTAAATGTGTGTAGGACTGCAGCCTTACAGTTGTGATAATGAACTAATTGCATATTTCATTGTTCTACTGTTCTTAATCAAGTGAAAACATCTTAGAAAACATGTTGATATTTTTCCTGACTAAAAAATTACCTCAGGTGTGTTATTGGTTCCAGTTTTATGGGGGACACATTTCTGTCACTTTAATTTTTCTGTGAGAAACATGGCCTATAAAACATAGTGCTACTTTTACCAATGTATTGCTTATTTTGAATGAAATGAAAATGTGTTTTCATTTTAGAACAAATATATTTACTTCTATGTGCTTTTCTAGTACTTCTGGGCTTATCAACATAACGTTATATTTAAATACACTTTGACCAATTCCAAGCACAGGAACATGGTTTGTGCGAGGTGGGTTCTCATTCCCTCCCTCCCGTCTGCATACATGGTTGTGTGTGCACCTGGTGCAAGGAATCATTTAATCTTTTGGGTTTTCTGAAGTCACACTCAGACTGGAGTGGGCCCATAGTGTTGTCTGTTCAATTACTCATAGATAACGAGACTTGGCAAAGATAAAGAAGAATTGCATAATCAGCTGCTTAATATTGATCCTACAAGAGATGGCAAGCGTGTGGAAGCACTATTAAGAGAAAAGGCTCAACTAGTTCAGAAATTAAAGGGTTTTGAAGCAGAAGTAGCAGAACTAAGAGCTCAGAGGGAGAACTCTGGTATGCAAGCAGAAAATGTGCAAAGAATACAGGTGCGACAGTTAACTGAGATGCAAGCTACAACACGATCCTTGGAGGTAGGAGATTCTGATTGTCTCCCTACAAGACATAGTAAAGGTGTACACTGTGTGTTAACTTAAACAATGAGAAACTCACATCAAGCCATCAATTATCTTGATTCTTCCTAATCAGATTTACATTTCCCTAATAGTAATAAGATTACTTCTTTGCAAAGTAGTTCTGAAAAATATGATAGATTTATCTACAAAGTGGTTTGAGTCATGATATTTGGAATAATCATTGTGGAGTCTACAGGTTTGAACTTTTTACATGAGATTAAAAGTAGAAGGATATTTTACTCTGGTAAACAAACCTGTCTGTAAAAACAATAAATAAATATATAAGCTGAATAATATACTAAGGTCCAAAACATTCAATAAGCAAATTCTACAAATGGGTCCGGCAACAATATCTTATACAGCTGTTCAAACTTATTAGGAGACTAGAGGTTGTGAGGGGGCATTTACAGGAAGGTAAGTTTTTTGGTTTTTTTTTAAAAAAACCCACCTCCCTATTCTAATCACCCCTCGCCAGATCACCATATTTTTCCACCTATAAGACGCCCCCATATATAAGACTCAGGGACTCGGATTTAAGAAAATGGGGGGAGATGGCCCAGAGTATAAAATGCCCCCTAATTTTTGACATTATTTTTTAGGTAAAAAACCTAGTCTTATACAGGGAAAAATATAAGCTGTTTGCGGCTTGAGTAGACCAATTTCCTCTTCCCCCACCTTCAGTTTCCTATTTTCTTTTTCTTCAAAGGATCCCCTAGCATTGTGTGTGTCCAGGAAGTTCACAGGTTATTGTCAGGCTTTAAATGTAACTTGCATATTCTGTGAAGCTGGGGAGATGACTGGGTAAATAGAAACCACTTCCTTATTTTTTATGACCCTGTTTTGCTTGCCAGCTGATAGCAAATTTATATGGCTGAGTGCCAATTAGAGAGAATAAATGGGGTCTGCAGGGCAATGCTGCAGTGCTATCCCCACCCACAAAAGCAGTTCCATGATAATGGCTTCAGACAGGACCACAATACCTCAAGAAATGCGTCTTATATGAACTGACCCGGACCCTGAAATCATTATCTGAGGCCCTTCTTTGGGTGCCTTCCCCACATAAGGTCTGGAGGGTGGCAACACAAGAACAGGCCTTTTCTGTGGTGGCTCCTTGTTTGTAGAATGCTTTCCCCAAGGAGCCTCACCTAGCACCTTCATTACATATCTTTAGGCGGCAGGTGAAAATGTTTCTCTTCAACTAGGCATTTGGCTGATTAGCATTCTGTGCCCTTTTAAATGTCTTTGTGGGAGATGATCATTGGTTTGTTTTGGTTTTTAATTATGCATTTTGTGTTTTCATTTTGTATTTTTAAGCTGTGAACCTCCCTGTGATCTTCAGATGAAGGACAGTATACAAATTTTAAAAATAAAATAGGTGCACGAGCTTTATATTCCTGTTCAGGTCTGAGAGGGAGAGAGGCTGTTTTAGGAAGGTAGATGGGAGAAAGGACATTCCCTTCCCCCTTTCTGCTGCAGTGCTCCATGTTGCTGAAGAGCTGCCAGCCCCAAACCTGAGCATTTTATAACTATGCAATATCGAGATGTAGTTCTGGTGCTTGAACTAGCCCTAGCTTCCAAGGGAAGCTATTTAACTTCAGAGCAAATAAGCTAACCATCTAAAATATGTTAATGTAAGTAAAATGACCCACAGATCTCCAAAAAGATTTGAGACTTCACATGCTTACTTACTAGAAGTAATGGTACTGATTTTATTGGCCTCTTGAAACCAGTGCATCAGTCCCAGCCAGGTGGCGAGGTTTTGAGTGAAGGAACCTTACTTTTGTGCAAATAGGTTTAGAACTCTGCTTCAGGATTCATTTCTGTGAAGCAATTTAAGATTTCCTTTCTTAATTTTAAGGCTGAAAAACAATCCCTTAAGCTGCAGCTTGAACGCATTGAAAAGGAACTGCAGATGAGCAGTGAGCAAAATACGCTCTTAAGAAGCAAGCTACATAAAGCTGAACGAGAGATCAGTGCCTTGACAACTAAAGTAAGTATTTTGATGCTGTCAAGACAGTTTTTTTGGAGATGTTACCAGAACCATTATCACTAATTGTATCTTTGGAGACAAATTGTCTATTACACGGCTTTATTTCTCTCCTTTTTCATAATTCAGTGTTTGAAAAGCCATGTTCTTATTGTCCTTGGATTTTTCTGTTGGCATGAAAACATAGCATTTTGTTTTTGGCACTGTTCCCTAAAGCAGTAATGACATCCACAAATCACATTTAATAACACTTACTGTTGTGAAGATAGGAGGTTGTCTTATGCCACATCAGACTGTAGGTTGGTCTAGCCCAGCCCTAATCAACTCTGAGAACTAGTTACTTGAGGTAGCAAACTGGAGAGAGAACTTCTGGCCTAATCTTTTCCTTGGCATGCTTGTTCTCTGTGTGGAGGATAAATGTGCTGCGAGATTTTAATCATGTACAGACTGAAATGATAGTCCAGAAGCAGTTTTACTGTGACCAGGTAACATGGCTGCATGGGCATTAGCACTTGCATGAGTGGAAGTTCCTTGCATGTGAAAGTGGGATCAGTGACTTTTTAAAAAATCCACCTTGGTTTTTAAGATGTAAGGCATGCCTTCTCAATAGGTATATAAACAAGAAATTGCTGGATCAAGTTAATCTAAATAGCCAGTACTTTCGCTTGCGATCTCAAGATTCTCACTCTTTAAATGTTAGTGGGCTTTTATTTCTTGGATGGGGAGAATTGTAGTTTCATGTTCTCAGCCTGAAGCTTGTGCCAAATCTCACCTGTGATAACAGCCTATTTCTTAGAAAGCACCTTCGCCCACCCCCCCCATCTCAATTCTGTTTGGGAAAGGGGAAAAAATAAGATGTCTTGCAGCGAGTCTAAGCTGCCTAAAGAGAAGGGGTGGAGATGGGATCCAGATTAAGATAGTAGTGCTTAAGTCACAATGGGACTTGATTTTAGTGGGAACTAAGTGCAATTGACTTTGTCTGGATCCAACCAAGGACAAGTAGAAAAATGCAAGTAGAAGCAAGAGGTTATGGAGACATGGGTTAATGGAACCTGATATATTCAGGGTCAAAGACTGTGGCAACAGAGAAAAAGTACTGGGGGGGAGTAGCTGGTAAAGTGAATGGAAATATTTGCTTTCATATTATGTTGTGTATTTTGCTTTGCCAAATTTCATATTGTTTCCTGTTCTGGTGGAGCCACTTTAAACCTGATACTTACCACAATATAGAGATAAACAGCATTAATAGCTGCTGAGTGTCATGCGCCCAGAAAGTGGCTTTCAAATATTTACATATTTTGAGCCTAAAATAAGTATATTCCCAAATAATTTCTTACGTTAGAGCAGGACACTTCCCCTGCAGCTATGTAAATGGCTTAGAGAAATTGTTCCTCATATTATTCTGTTTTCTTCCTTCCTTGAGGGCAAAATAGCAACTATGTTTTAAAGCACAGAAGTACGAAAACAGAAACTGGGTAACCACAAGATGACTGTTGGAGATTGTAGAAATGATAAACTGTGATCTTTCATCTTAACGGCCTTCTATGTACGCTGATACCTGCAGCAGTAGCTATTATTAAAGAAGCCAGGGATCCATATGATAGAGAATGGAGCTGCAACTTCTTCAGTGTGGAATAAGTCTTATTGTGTGAATTAACATTAAGTATAAAGGAAGTATAATAGGGATGCGGGTGGCGCTGTGGGTTAAACCACAGAGCCTAGGACTTGCCGATCAGAAGGTCGGCACTTTGAATCCCCGTGACGGGATGAGCTCCCGTTGCTCGGTCCCAGCTCCTGCCCACCTAGCAGTTCGAAAGCACATCAAAGTGCAAGTAGATAAATAGATACCACTCCTGCGGGAAGGTAAATGGCATTTCCGTGCGCTGTTCTGGTTCACCAGAAGCGGCTTAGTCATGCTGGTCACATGACCCGGAAGCTTTACGCCGGCTCCCTTGGCCAATAAAGCGAGATGAGCGCACTGTAATCTTGAAATGTCACTGCCATTTAATGTGGACAGTTCTGAGCTAGATGTAGCAGTGGTCTGACTTGGTTTAAGGCAGCTTCATATGATCCTGATCAGCAGTGATACAAAAACTAACATTTTTAACTAGAATAACCATTGATGACAGATAGACCAAGAAGGGATGTGATCAAACCTTGTGATGTGTAAATGACAAATGGAAGTTTCCTTTTTACTTTAAGAAAATCAGTGTCTTAACTGTAGTTGCTTAATCAAAGACTAATTCTTAAAACTTGTGTAGCTTCTACACTGGCGGTTGTGATTACATTTGACATTGAAAAGCGCTTTCTCCTACTGCTTAATTCTCAACAACCCTGTAATTACTGTACCAGGAAAGTTTAAACTAGAATTTCGGTTCATTTCAGACAATGATTGTCTTCAATGTTTTGATTTTTCTATTGAAAAACATTGTTACTTGCAAGGCAGGAAGACAGCTGCTTCGGTTTTACATTGTGTTGGGTTTGTGACGAAGCACGTTGAAATTTCTTCTCCAAGGTTAGCTATTTGCAAGTGACATATAGGAGATAGATGATCTGCCATAATACTGAGCCAATTATACCAGGCCAGTGATTTTAATGGCATAGTTAAGACTAGCACTTCTCTAGCATGAAGGCTTATGTTGTCAAGGTGACAGATTGCATCACAGAACATTGAACTCAGTAAAAAGAGCAAGTTGCCAAATTGTGTGCATCCTCTGTGTGTCTGTTTTAAAATCTCTTAAAACACTGTAGATGTTTTAGACATCTGAATGCTGGCTTTTAAGGATGCTCTTTTATGTTAACACCTTAATGATAGTAGTACAGGCAGGTCCCAGTTTCTGAACAAAATGTGTTCCCAGGAAATCACTTGTTAGAAAGCATTCGCATAACAAGCTGACGATTTCCATTCTTTGCTATGGAAATATTTCTAATCTGTGGTGTCTCTCCCTGTTCTGCTGTGGTTACTTCCTAAAATGGCTGCTGCCAGCTAGCAGAAGAGAAACAAAGGAAAAATTGAATTGTCCAGTCTCTCTCTTGATTTGTCCACTCTCCCTCCTTGCACCACCACCACGGTTTCTGCCTGAAAATGGCTGCTGCCGACCAGCAAAGCACAAACAAAGGAAGTAGACAAACGGCCTGCTTGGATATCTGAATCAGCCGTTCACATAGTGAGGTTTGAGCATAATTATGTTCAGATAACTGAATTTGTTTTGATAGCAGTATCTGCAGGTATTGTATCCCAACTGATCAGCACAGCTTGGAATGGATTGAGTGCATTTCTCAGCAGTGCTCATAAATGAATGAAAAACTTAGTATTCCCACATAGCTGTATAGTATTTTTATTAGAAATGAGGTTGACAGTTTCATTTAAACATTGACCTAAATGCTTAAGCCACTTGGAGCTAATTTGCATGGCTCCAGGAAATAGGTTTTTCATGTGAAATTGGTTTGCATGTGTCTATGTGCACAAGCATGTGCATGCAAGCAAGCCCTGGTTCAGACAAAAAGTTTTCATGTGCAGAGGTGTCTTGTTACAGGTTGTATATATGTATCAGGTGTACATGTGTATCAGTTATTACCTAGTCTTCAGTTCTTATTAATATCTGTTGCAAGTTACATAATAGCAGATTGCAGTATTCATTAATATTTGTTTGAAATTTTATCTAAGAATTCTCAAATAATATTTGTGTGTGCAAAAGAGAGATGGAGACCCAGCTCCTGTCAAATTGGGTTTAAGGAAGTTGCTGATCAGATGAATGCAGTCTGTTACAGGTACATGACACTAGATTCCCCTATTTGGTCGGACATTGATGAACATAACCTGAAAGCTTTTATGGTCTATTTTTAATTTCCCCCCCTGTAATTCCATACTTTGGGAATTAATCTATTATCTTTAATATACTACCTTTCTACCAAGGCACCCAAGATGCCTGAAAGAATATAGTGTTGGGGTCTGACAGACCTCTATAGGGATGGTGTTCCATTGTATGAGTGCCGCTGTTGGAAAGGCTCTGCTCCTAGTGATTTCCCTGCCACGTCTCATTTGGCGATGACACCCAGAGCAGACTGTGTATTTTAAATGGTTACCATTTTAAAAATATTTTTCATAAATCATTTCAGCTACCATATTTCTAGCTCGGGGAACTTCCTCCTATGGAAGTAGGAGAAAACCTCAGAATCTTTCATCCAGAAGAAGATAGGAGGGATTCTTGTATGATTTTATCCTCCTTGAGCAGAAAAACTGTTCTGATCAAAACTGGAAATTGATAAAACATTATCTTCTATAGGTTGAAGAACTTAAGCATTCACACAAGTTAGAAATAACAAACATCAAGCTGGAAGCGGCAAGAGCTAGGACTGAGATAGAAAGAGAAAGAAACAAGATTCAAAGTGAAATAGATGGTAAAACTTTATTACTTCAGTGATTTGTTATTGCCACCAATTATAGATACAGATTTTTGTCTTTGAGAAAAATTTAGAACAGTCCAGTAAGTACTGTCGTGCAGCCATATCCCTTTCACTGGGATATTTTCATTTTAATGTGTCACTTTCAATAAGCTGCCATGGTTTTTGTCCAACATGTAGCCCCACTGCACCCAGCTATGTGCTCATATACCTGTAAGCTGACATAACAGAAGTAATCACGGATATAATTAGTGTAATTCTTAAATTCAGTGGGGGCTTTTCGCCATAACTGTCATAGCTTTGTGAATATTTAATTTTTAATGTGATCTTTTTCTGGGGTTGGAGGGATATTGTAGCATTTTAATGATAAAGTAAAACATGAATATATTCTCATATTGCAATAATTGTGTGAACCCTCTCTTAAATGAGAATTGTCATCTTGTAACTATCCATTCATCATTATTTATACTTAGATGCTCCCATTAATGCCAGTAGAAATAGCGTCTAATTTTAATTCTGTAAATGCATGTGGAATGCATTTCTGGTGAAGTTTGAACACATTTAAATGTCACTGATTTTCCCACAGGTGAAAGTTAAACAGAAACTTAACCTTCCTTCTGAAACTTGTGGGACATAGGCTGCAATCCTGTGTGCGTGTACCTGGGAGTAAATTTCACTGAACCCAGTGGGATTTACTTCTGAGTAAATATTCATTGAAGGTTCTTAGCCTAATTCTATAATACTTCCCTAAAGCTACACTGCTTTAAGTAGTGGGAAAGTTGTGGGCAAAGTTGTACTTGAATGTAGGAAAAATGAATGGTGGCTTACGTGAGTGAGCAACAGATTCAGTTTTATCAGCTTCTGTGTAGTGATTTTCAGAGCTTTCAAATACTGTAAATGTTTAAAAACAGGTTTACACTCAGATAATGAAATACGTAAGAAAACACTTGAGCAGCACAAGATGCTTTTAATAGAAAAGGATCGTGAATTAGTACGCAAAGTACAAGCTGCAGAAGAAGAAGGCTTCCAAAAACTTGCAGCATTACAGGAGGAAAAGTAAGTATGTTCTTGTATGTTTTCTTCTCTTGCTCAAAAAGAGTTTAAAATTGTAGCAACTTCCCTGCCTATGAATATAGTCGTTGTGCATTATGTTCCAGCTATAAAATTGCTGCTGCTAGTTGCTATTGCTACAGTGGACAGGGTGTTTTAAATGCATCTCACAATGCTTCAGTATCCTGAAATCACTCTTGCCCTGTCCAAGGAAGCTGCTGAATTAGTTGTGCCTGGCTATGAAATCTGTAGACGGGAGCTTGTGCTGTTTCTGCACTAATCATGGAACACTGAAGCTATACCAGCCGAGTAGAAATGTTCTCTCTCACATATATATGTTTATATATGTTTGTTTGTGATATGATTTAAAAAACAAAAATCTGTTTTTCACAGCTCTTAAACACTCCATAATGTTTCAGGTTAGAACTTGAAGCCAGATTATCTGAACTGGAGAAAATCAAAGTGGAGCAAGATACTCAGAGGCAGTTGGAAAAGGATGAGTACAAAGAGAAGTTATCTGCTCTGCAGGTGGCAGAAGAATCCAGCAGAAGGGAAATCAAGGATCTTAGGTAATTTGTAGAGGTTTTAATTCTATTTAGGAATTGGAGTTTTTAACACTTTATCAGAAAGTGTTATTGCCTGCTGAACAAAGCCCTTGACACTTCACTGCTTGTGTCTAAGCTGGGCAGAAGTTTTTGTTTCTCCAGAAATGGGTTTATAGAAATAGGTATTTAATTGGTAGACCCTTGTTTTGCACCATTTCTTTGCCAGCTGAAGCATGTTGTTGCCTAAAGCTATTCTTGAAACTTCTACATTTGTTCACAATTACACAATATGTGCACAATACGCTATAAAATACAGTGAAGAAACTGATAACTATTGTATTAGATTTTTGGGGGGATTATATCTTATACAAACATATATCTCTAAAAATTGTTTGGAACCAGTCCTCAATACATGCATTGTTACTCCCATTTATTTCCTCAACATCCTTTCTCTCCTGCCCTTCAAGTTTGTCTTTCCAGTTTCAATATTCTCTAAACATTCTATCTGTTAAGAACTTTGTCTTGTGAACTTTTTATATATTCAACCATGAATTCATACCCATTTACACTCTGATGCACACAACACAGAGAAAATCAAATGAGTCAGACAAGGTCACAAGGAAAAGGAAAGGAGAGATTAAAAGAAAAGTGGGAAATTCAAGTCAAGCATAGCAGCAGGTGGTCTTCAGTTTTGTGGCCTTTTAAACTTATCTGTCAAAAATGTCTATACCTCTTCTTTGTATAGTCAAATCCATTTAACTCTTAGTGTCCAGGTATCAATGTATGTTTTTTATACTATATTTCCAATATGTAATAATTGCCTTAATTTAAATGCCAGTTTTACCGTTCTAATCTTAAGCATTTTGTACCTTCTTTAAGTTTGAAAGAGCTGGGATGTTTCATAATATCATCACTCCATAAGACCACTTTCCACATTTTCCTAGGACCGACTTAGCATGCTTAGCCAGTTCTCAAAATTCAGCAGTTACTGGACATTTTCATTATATATGTTTCAAAATGTTTCCCTGGCCCCCACACTTCCAACAGCTATCAATAGTAATCCACCATTTATTAAAACATTCCATTGGATGCTCAGTGCATTCTGTGTAGAATATTCTGCTGAATTCATCTTAAGTATATATCCAAGCCTGAGAGAGAGACAGTCTTCTCACATTCATAAGCTATTCTGGTAACCTCTTTTCACAGAAGAGCAGGATAAAAATTATTTCAGTGATAAATATAATGTTAATGCTGGGGAGTCTCTTTCCAAAATGCTGGAAATTAGTTTTTCATTTAATTCCATAGTTCCACTCTTGTGTCAGATTTTGTTTAATTTAAAAATGTCCATCTAGTGTAGACCTTTTAAAAATCACAAATCCCACTTTGTATTCATTTATAGGCTAAAGATTCAACAGCAAACTATTCATTCTGAGGAGCTTGAAAAAGAGAGAAGTGAAAATGCTAATCTAAAGGGGGTAAGGATCCAACATCATGTTCTGTCATCTTCTCAAGATAGATCACGTTACTTTCCTTCTTTAATTGTAGCAGATTGTATTGAAACCAGCATATGATAACAGGTGTGCTTGTCAGTAGTGTCTGGCATGCAGATGTGCATTGCATCTGAACAGACTTGTTTCATTATCATGCCAAGTAGCTGTTGTCTTATTCTTTATGAATCTCTCCTGTTCCTTTTTAAAGTGACTATCATCACATCTTATGGCAGTGAATTTTGGAAGTTAGCTATTTATATGCTGTGTGAAGAAGTACTTTCTTTGCTCCAACATGTCTGCCAAACACTTAACACTGGGTGACTAGAGTTGTTTTCCTGTGGGACTAATTTGTATAGGTGACTCCTACTTGCTCCAGGCCATGCTAGATTGTCTTTAATGCACCTTCTGTGGAAGGCACTAACTTACCTCCAGTTCTGCTCTGAGAAAACAACTTCCACAGCTTATTTAATATGCGAACTTGAAGCTGTGTTGCATATCACTGAAAAATAATACAATACTTTTAAGAGATGCAAAAATGGCACACAGGGGAAGAATAAGAAATGGCACAAACATGGCACATGCGGGGAGGGGTGCAGGAGAGCAGGAAAAAATGACCAGCAGCCTTCATGAGAGTGTTTGGGTGCAGAAGAGGTGGTTGGAGAGGGTGATTAGAGGAAGCAGAGAGACTTATGGAGAGGGTTGGAGAAACAATGGAGGCTTTTCAAGTGGTGCTCAGGGTGGCTTTTTAAACTGACTGCAAGTAGCCACTCATTTGCAGACGTCTGCAGTAAATGCACAGGTGTTGAGGGAGTAGGATCTATGGCACATTGGGTTGGATCCTGTAGTATGGCTCCACTTCCTATTGTTCACATGTAACTGCTACAGTTGAGTGATGTGTACATAGGGCTTATATGCTGTTTGGTGGGACTTCTAGAGCTTTGATAAATGATTTCATCAATCATTTTTATGTTTCTTTTGCAGCGCATTCAAGACTTGCAACTCCAAGTGGCTTCTCTGTCACAGTCGGAGAATAACTTGCTAGTTTCCAATCAGAAACTGAAGGAAATGGTGGAGAGATTAAAACATGAATGTCAGAATGCGAGAAGTCAAGCAGAAAGGGCTCAGTTAGATTCAGAGAAGTATGATTTCATTTTTAATATTTTGCTACTGTTGTCTCAAGAAAGTAAAGTTCTGTGGAGAGTAAATGGCCCCAGATGTTTATCTTGGGTTCAGTTGCCTATATTGTGAATTTTCTCTATTATGATAGATTTGAAATGTGAATTATGTCTTGGTTTCACTACTTATTTGATAGCACTGATAGCCTGGATGCAATCCCATGTACACTAATGTGGAAGTAAGCCTAATTAAGCACAACATGCATAGGAATGTGCTGCACATTAAGATGATATACATAATGTTGCCATAAAAACACATGGACTGTCTAGGTAGAATTGTGACATAAGGATTTATTAACTAATTATGTCTTTTCTGTAGCAGGAAAGTAATTTACCTTGTTCCATTAAGTGTGAATGTAGCCTGTACATATAGCCATGTACTTAGTTACCTCTTAATCTATCATCTGCCTCTCACAGCAACTCAATAAATACAATACAGTACGATCACATCTTGCACGCAATTAACTTGCACAATTGTAGTCTTGCATGGTTGAAAGTTGGCTGGTTGAAACTGCTTTTGCATTGGGCTTTCCTGGTGCAGAAAGAGCTTTTAAAATCTCTGGATGCTTGCTGGGCTCTGGGATGCTCTTGCAAGAGCTCACAGGAACTCAGGCAGCTCTGTGAGATCTCAGAAGAGCATTCCAGAGCCTGGTAAATGATGGTCAATTTTCTCTCACAGGACTCACAGGAGCCTTTAATTACTTCTACTAACTAATTTATAAGCCCATATAGAAGTACCCCAACATACAGTTTTGTAAATGCTGATTTAGCACTTGACATCCTGCAAGTTTCAGATCGCCTTTCCCATTGTTTATGGAATTGTAAGAAACATACCTTCTAGGTACACCTGGATTTCATTTAGCCATGTGAGATATACTCAGCGCATTCATGAATGCGGTGATTAACTGTGGATTTGATATGCAAGAGCAACCATTGCTTTTTTTTCCCCCTCCAGAAATTTGGAAGACAAACATGTCGAATGGCTAGAAGAAAAACATAAACTTATTCAGCGTATTACAGAGGTAGAACAGAAGTATAACCAGATGAAAGAAAAATTGCACCGGGCAGCAGTTGCTCAGAAAAAGGCATGTCACTTACAACATATATCTGATGGAAACTTTCATTCTGGGTTAGCTAAAATTATGCTTCTATAACAGGATTCTAATTGTAGCCAACATAATGTTTGTAATTTATAAAACAAAATATTGACCTCTATTGCTAAAAGCTTTTGTGTTTTAAATGGCAAAAAAAAGCTGTGATAGCATCGAGAAATAACCCTAGTTGTGACCATCTACCGGTAATTTTTGTTTGTGGATAGATATTAACAGCTACACACCAAAGCTAATTAGATTTTTAAAATATGTAGCTATATTTTTTTCCTGTGGAAAAATGCAAGTGTTGCAGAAATATTTTCACAGCTTTGCAGAGTACCAGCAACCTTTCTTTCCCTCTCCCCCTTCATACCAAATAAATTAACAGGGAATTTCAGTGACTGAGGAGAGAAAGAAGCACAAGGCTTTGTCCCACTACTTGATGTCCTAGTAGGATGTGTTGCTCTTTCTGTTCCTCTTTCCAAAACATACCTTTTCAGTCAGGGTCTCTGCATCATTCCTGCTAGCCTTTCCCAATATACAAATGATGTTTGTAATAAAATGACAATAATGTTGTCTCTCTTTTGGTAATCATAGTTAACTCCAAATGGATATGTCCCCGCCCCCCATAAAAACACCAATTTCACAAATGCTTCCTCCTTTATACTTGATTATTTTTCTTATTGTAACCAGGTTGGTGTGCTCAGTATTAAGTACCTCCATCCCAATGAATATATGTACCTAATTTGAGAATTTGGGGATAAGACTCCAATTAGAGCATATGGGTTAGAAAATGATATGATGCATTGGAGGTCAACAATCAAATGAATGTTTGTTTCTCTAACTATACATAGTATTTGCCCTATTTGCAGAGGAAGACACTTAATGACAAAAAGCAAAAGAAGTTACTGGAGAAGATAGAGCTGTTGGAAGCCAAGAGAGAAGAACTGGAAACAGAAAACCAGGTGTTAAATAGGTACACTGAGATCTTGCTTGCTCTTGAATTTTGTTATGTTTCAGAGACAGAATGACTGTCGTCATTACTTAAGGTTTAACATTGCTTCCGAAATAAATTTTTTGCTGCATCACTTGAGATGGCATTGGTGGTAAAGTTTGCATGTTTGAAGACAGTGTCCTGTTTGTTTCACGTCTTAACTATTTTAGGCAGAATGTTCCTTTTGAAGAACATATTCGCCTTCAGAAAAGACTAAAGGATTTGCAGCGGAGACATAACGAATTCCGCAGGTTAATTCTGTTTCCCAACATCCCAGTGCTGAATCAAGTAGGCTTATTGTCTTCAACTCCGATACCTGGAGCAGAGGCATCCTTCCCTTTCTTGCCGGTAGGTGCAAAGTTACATAGGCATTCTCAAAGAGATGGTTTAAGGTGGCAAGAAAATGAGCTTGTAAAACAGAAAGAAGTGTTGAAAGCTTAAAATTCAAAGCAGGTTTCTGAAAGTTTTGGATATGAGAAAATATATAAAACAGCCCCCTGTGGTGGGCTAGACCCAGAATTCAAAGAATTACCTTAAGCAAAGCCAGTAAGTTTTTACTTCATTGCTTTAAACATCAGAGTTCTGTGTTCTATTTATAAAAAAATGCTTCGGGAAGACTTTTGCTTTCAAAAGCTGTTTGCCATATGACATGGATATCTGCTGTTTGAGAAACAGAATCCCAACACCCTCTCATTTGGATTATGAACTATTTTATACACAGGTTATATACTGTATAGGTTTCATTTTAAAAAAAATTCTGAAAGCCACATTCTTTTGACTTATTTAGATATTTTTGTATGGCTCACTAAGTAAACAGAAGCCGGAAAGGCACAAGCACAACATCAGATTGCAATGAAAGTGTTAGTCATAGAATATCTCTCTAAATGTTAAACATAATGGGTTGCTTCTTAATTTCAAGGAGGAGCAGCATCAAAAAGAGCTTTCCCTGCTTCGCAAGCGCTTGGAAGAACTAGAAACCACCCAGAGGAAACAGCTGCAGGAGCTTGAGGCCTCTACTGAACGAGCTCGGTCAGTAATAAGCACGGACTCAAACTCTGATAGACATAAGCTTGTTGAAGAGTATGGTCTACCAGCTGGGGATGCCAAATAAACACTTGACTCTAAAGCATCATATACTTTTTGTCCTTTGCCAAAAACACACCCAGAAGTGCCTTGAAGTAGAGGATAGTCTATATCATTTTCTATATTTTTAATTAATTGTTTTTTAAAAGCAACAACAGCAGTAGAATTCAAGAAAAAAATGTGTGGTTTTTTTGTGTGTGTGTGTGCGCGCGCGCTCTTCTAGTTTGGATTATAGGAGGAGATCCATCATGTTGCACTAAATATTTTTTTCTAACAAGACTTTTCTCAAGTCACTTAGGGAGTGCAGTAGCTGTGTGGAAAATCCCCCTTTCCAGTTTGATCATGAAGTTCTCCATCTTTCATCAGTACTGTGAGCTTAAGACTGGCACCATGTAATTAACAAGACTGAAACAACCCAAAACATAATTGGTTGAACCCTAACAACCCGAACAACTAAAGGCCGGTAAAATTCTGGGAATATGATCTCTGCCTTTATAAAGTACTTTATTATCTGCACTTTAATATGATTATAAAGGATATCAGAAGTAACAATCAATATTTTAAAATGATTATGAATTATGAATATATGCTTTTTACCTTTATACAGAGAGATGTGTGCGGTGCAAAACAATTTTTGTTAACAAAAAAGTGAACAAATCTATTTATTATAATATATTTTTGTAAAATCTACTTCCTTGTTGTGTGTTATTTACTTGCAGCAGTGGTGTAAGAGCACTGATTTTCTTATTTTAATATAGGGGTAGATAAATATAGGTGTAGATAATTAAAATATAGGGGTTTTTTTTTCCTACCTAGGTGCCCTTGATTACCATGCAAATAATTAAAAATGCACCTAGTTTCTTTTCTTCGTGCAACAGTAAAAATACTTTTGTGATGGCATATGTGTTGGAAGTTGCTCAGAGTTTCATGCTGTTCACCTAATGCCAACCAATTTTGGGTTCTGTGTCTAATGGGGAACAAGCCATGCAGAAGAACGGTCATTTTTCTGGTGGTTCTAGATATTATTTCATATCTGAAATAATCTCCTACTGTTTTGGAGACAGACTCAACACTGACTGTAGATGAACTATGGTGGCTCTGCCCCTTCCTGCTGTAATCTAGACAACTCTTGTCAAGCAGTCTTGCATGACAATTCATTAAATTAGTTTTCACAAGCAGTTTGGTTAATCTTAACACTATCAGGTAATCACAGAGAATCCAAAAGCTATGGTTATTGTTTTGGGCTGTGGTAAATTTTTTGCTATGTCTTGAGTAATTTGGGTATAGGGAAGAAGTAGAAGATTTCCTCAACAAACTGATGTCTGGTGGATGAAGAGATCACCTCAATTCCTGAGTAAAAGGAAGTAAAAGGAATATTCACAGGTAATCTCTGATCCCTTCACATGTTGTCTGTAACTTTAATATCAAAGTGCCATGTATGTTGAACTGCAAATATTAGAAGGCAGTTATAAGGTCTAGAAAGCATGCAAGGTATACTTAATGCACCAGGATATATTATTTTAGAACAACTGTGTCACTATACTTGTTTGGCTCTGAATAAGGCTGGGCCTTCTTTCTCAGGTTATGCATATAAATAGCATATAAATAGGGAGTTCTTTCCCAACTGAAATCTTAAGTCAGACCATGGCTTTGTATAGAATACCAGCCAGATTCCAGAAATAAAAAGGCAAAGCCACATGACCTGGAAATTCCAGAAATAGCAGGCCTAACAATGCTAAGGATGTGTTATGTCTCATATTGTAAACGACATTCTGTGTAGCAATTTGATGGTAACACCACTAGATGCTTTACACTTAAGTAATATAGAGGCCTAGCATGAGCTGATATGAAATGCTTATACACTTCCAAGGTAGCAAAGGGGCAGCAATATTACCAACTTGTCATTGTGCCACATAGCTTGGGACCTGCATGTTCATTGTATACAGATTCCAGAGTCTGTATTTCACTCTGATTCTTTTGGTACAACAGAACAATCATGCTGGTGGCTGCCAAACCTAGAGCATAACCAAATGGGTCCACTAGTCACTTGGTGAGGGCCACATTTTGATGTGTACTATCATTTCACAGGGTTTCAAGTTTCAAGCCTTACATGGCAAGATCTTCACAGTGGCCAAAAGAGGTGCTATATCACCCAGCCTCTCTCAGAAATGGCTGTTCAGCTACATGGAAGAATTTGGCTTCAGTCAGTGATTCCCTCCTTTGCAATTTGGCAATCTGGTAGGGGAAGAAGAGAGAATATGTGTAGTATAACCTTCTCCTGAAACTCCCAGTACTCTTCCAGAGCTGCCACAACTGAAGGGAAGGAAGGACAAAACAAGCCTTAGGCTAGTGGGACTTCTCTTGCTAATGGCAATGATCCGCATTAGCAACTACAGTATTCAAAAATTGTGATATAAACCTCCGGCTGAGAGACCAGAGAGGAATGGAGAAAAGGTCATTTCATGCCACTCTAGCTGAGTAGAGGTACACTGTTATTTTCCTTTTGTAAAGCAGGGGTTTTGCTATAAAAGTCTGACATGGGTTCTCACTTTGAGTTGCTTTTGAGTTTTAATTATATATACACTTCAAGTTAAACAAAAAGACAAGTTAGCAAAGTAAACAACAAATACTTTGTATTTGAAATAAACATCTCATGTAAATATCCAATGTATTTTTCATCAATGCATTTTTATACAAATGTCATTTTCATAGAAGAGGAGTTATTAGATGTATCATGATCAGACGAAATATTTACCTGCATACGTCTGAAAATAAGTTTTGATTGTTTTACGCAGTTTACAATAAGTGTTATAATATCCTTTCATCTGCAGATTGTCACAAATATTTCGTTTCACTATTTAGTTCCTCTGACTGATGCAAGATACTACGGTTATCAAGCCAATCAAAGGTTCTACGAGCAACAACACAGCTTGACACCTACATTAGTTTCATAAGCTAAGGTAGAGGTTAATATCAGAGGTGCACTTTACAAAGCAGTTCCGTCATGAAAAAATACCTGCATTGTTCCTGGTAAGACAACTATCCTATAGTGTTGAACACTGTTTGTGAGTCTTCCCATTCATTTGTATTGCCTGCAGAAGTGACCTGCTAATTTGCTTCCCAATGCCAAGATAGTTGTATTAATTTCATTGATTGTCACAGTCTGCACTTCTAGCATTTCTAACCTGCCAACTCGGCATAACACTTTATGCTTCTGCTAAAATGGACGGTGGGCCATGAAAGCTTGTGTGTTAGTCTTTAAGGTGACCAAAGACTACTGTAGCTCCCCCAGCTGGAAAACGTGATGCATGTACTTGCAAAGCTATGTAGAATTTATTTTGATAATCCTTCCATTTATCTACCATTTAAAAAAATATAAACAACTGCAGGTACAAAATAAATCAGAGCAACCTTTTCTGCCTCAGAAGAAGAGTCATTTAAAAATACCTTAATACTTCATGGTCCCTGAGTTTGTTTTGAAACATCTATTGTCTATGCAGGGGGAAGAAATGTTTAGAACATACATAATGCTGGACACAGCTATAGCAGTTGAAAATTCCAGTGGGATGTGAGCCAGCCAATCCATTCTGCATGCTTCTCCACAAGAAGGTATGAAAACTGTCCCATATCATTCCACGTTGGTTACAAACTATTTTCTTGGAAAGCTGCAAATGACCTCAGCAGGCTGGGCCTCCTAGATCCAGTGGTTATGCTTCTTAAGGCTGCCGCACCCAAGCATCTGGAACATACTGCATGTTTGTGCTCATGTGGAACTTAGAGAAGGAGGCTGTCTCAGTTCAGTGAGGTAAGGAAATTATTTTGGCAAAGTGGGCCTTTGGAGCACTGTGCTGAAAATGAAATGTAAGCACGTTGTTTTTATAGATTTGTGGCTCAGGGCCTTTTTTAAAAAAGCCGGAAAACAACAACAAAAAAACCCACATCAAAAGTGGTTAAAATACTGACAAAATTACTTAATGTAAGATGTTCCCTGGTGCATCAGACAAGGCCTCTATTGAGTGCAGCATCTTGCTCCCCACAGTGGCTTTGATCTGGCAAGGGAAATCTGCACATGGCAGCAAGCTTCCAGTCCTATGCACACGGCTGCATATTTACATCAACAATGTAATGTTTATCCAGACTTCTCTGAGATGCGTCTTCGGTGCAGCTAGGGATGCTCATTCCCATCTGGACTTACAGTTGCTGCAGACTACTAATGCTTGAGGAGAACTTGATGCTTTGAATGCAGTAGCAGTTTTTAAAGTTCATACTAGCTTAGTAAGGGAGCAGTTGATTCATCTGAAATCCACTTGCATTTTTTCTTTTCGTCAGCTAAGGCTTTTATATACAGCAGCTGCTTCTGTGCTTCTTCCAGCCCTCGTTCTTTCTCCAATTTATTCAGTATCTATGGAAACAAAAGAAATGTGTGCAGCCTTATTTTAACACATTTTTTCAGTGTCACAGTAGCTCTGCTTGAGCAAACCACGTTCCTTCTAATGCCAGCCTATGCAACTTGTTGTTTGTAAGTTTATTGTCAATCACAAGATAAAACACTTCCACTGACAAGAGCTATCTAAATTAAAAACCACAAACATTTAGCAAATGCAAGCCCAAATTTATGTAATGGTAGCAGCACAATATGAAAGTAAGCATATCCATGTACAACAGTCATGAGGAAAGATACAGCCAAAATAGGAAAGCTGTCCCGTCCCCCAGTGGCATAACAAAGTCAAAGCAGAAATTTGTATCTATAAAATGACCACATCCTTTATTCCAAAGCCACAGACTGAAACATTTTCAGCAGCTGTAAGAATGGGGTGTGATTTTAAGGGGCATGTTTATACTAAGATGATTAATCAGTCACACTTTGAAAGCGATGAAATGGGGAGAGGAGTGGCCCAGTTATATGTGGCATCAAAAGTGTTTAGAATTTGGATGAGTAAACGGGTATTTATGACAATAAACTTTAGTGAGACTTGGTCACTCCTTTTTTTTTATCGTATTGCTTAACTTGGATAAAGGTTCCTGTTTCAGGTCCTACCAGGTACCCCTTCCTCTGTTCTCATCAGATTATCCTTAATTAACTTTTCAGCTCTGACTAGCCTGACACAACTCATTAAGCCACTACCCCTGACATGCGGGATAGTTTGTGCATTATTAAAATTGCCATAAGTAAGTTTTATTTTACCTTACATAATTTGACAGTACCGTGGTATCTCAGGTTAAGTACTTAATTCATTCTGGAGGTTCATTCTTAACCTGAAGCACCACTTTAGCTAATGGGGCCTCCCGCTGCCGCTGCACAATTTCTGTTCTCATCCTGAAGCAAAGTTCTTAACTTGAGGTACTATTTCTGGGTTAGCGGAGTCTGTAACCTGAAGCGTATGTAACCCGAGGTACCACTGTAGATTTTTTTTTTAAACCCACTGATTAACAGCAATATGCCTATATATATATGTAAATAGAGCACATTATAATAAATGGGTTTAAATATAATATACAAGCTGAACTGTTCTACAATTAAAACATTCAAGTAACTTTTAAATAGTAAAAAGACATGCCTTATATGCAGTGGTAGTCCTTGGGGTCTCAAATTTCAGCAACAACCTGTGCAATGCCAAAAGTTGGCAAGCTCAATCACCTCCTGCCTTCCATTCTACATAGTTTTAGTGATCTTGAAGCTCTATGCCCAGTGTGACTGAACTAGCCGCACTCCCCTAAATCGGCCTACGATATATGGCTTATTAGGATGTAATGTCAAACTGTGGCTTGGTTCATATGTGGTCCTGTATGCTTTCTACTTCACCCCACTTCCTTTGTGGCAATACATAGTTTGTTGCTACTTCCAAATTATTGTTTATACTTTCCCTGCAAGTGAGAATTGCAAACCATGGTTTGATCAAGTTTTGCAGTTCTGTTTTGTAGGGGAAGTGCAATACATAGTTTTCTATTCCATCTGCAATGTGAGCACTTTCTCCTCTTGTACACTGATTTGTTTCCTTTTGTGTCAAACCTGAGGCCTGCTCATGTACGTGAACCAAGCTGTATATTTAGGTCCTGATCAAAAAGTACATGTGCACTGTACATTGCTCATAAAGTGGCCTGAATGTTTACAGACTTCCTCAGTCAACCACTCAGAAGTTTTGCAGCCCCAGGCACAGTGTAGTATAAGGGCATACTACTAAACATTTTGGTAACTAGAGAAAGAGAGGGAGTGAAAAGAAGAGGAACTTACATCATCGTAATATCTTGCTATGTAGTGGTAAATTTTAGTCAAGGCTGCAGACTCATTAAATTCATTTTCATGTTTCTGTGAGGGGAAAAGGAAAACTGGTGAAACAATGCTAATAGCATATGAAATAGTTAATAATGACATGGCTTGCAGACAACATTGAGCCAAACCATGGCTGCATGCAAGCAAGCAGATGTATGGCTTTCTGGAGTGAAGATCACAGCCACTGTGATACTCTACTGGGCCTGCTACTGCACAGGTGTTATGTCCCAATCTAGGCTCATGGTATTATCTACTGGTTTGGACATAAACACTGTGCCAAACTATGGCTTAATGCCTCAGTAGCATTGTGGGAGAAACACAGTGGCCACAATCTTTGCTCTAGGAACTCATGTGTCTGGCTTAGCACTAGGTGTGAACTGGGTTAATAAATATGCAGGGTGAGGGAGAAACATTACTAGTGTCTGCAGGGCACCACTGGGATGTTTCTCATTCAAGAGGCCAGTTCTTCCTTTACAGCCAAGGCACAGCATGCCGTCATACCATCTGCATATGTGGGCAGAAACAATGAAAAGATACCTTAGATTCCTGAGTTAAAAATTCTTCTAGCTCCGAAGTGGACAATGAAGGTAAATCCCTAACTGCTTTATAGAAAGCTTTAACCTCTTCTTTGTAAAGTGGAATATCTTTCGCGTAGAGAAGTTTGTTTGTTGGTGCTTCCTTTAAAAAAGAAAACAAAAGACAACTATTGTTATAAATGGTCACAGCTATGCTGCAATTTTTTTTTTTGGATTCCTGTGAAAATTCAGTTAATTTCTATACACTATCTTTCAATATAAATAATGTCAGGCTGCCTTACAGTGTCAAACAATTAAAGCACAGAATAAAATGGCAGGTTTACAGCATTATAACTGTACAGCAGTTCAGATTTTAAAGGCCCCTTTTTGGTAGTGAGGGTTAGAATTATAGTGTTATAGTTATTATCATTTTTCTAACAAAAATGGTTTCTGAATGCTGCAATGGATTGTGATAGTTTGTTTTAGTTACATTTTTGGTGGTGTACCTTTTTATTACAGTATGATTTGGTGATGGCCCCTTGGCTAAGCAAGAAGGATATTTAAGGCCAGGGAGAATAAAAAGGTCTGGCACTGAAAGACAACCATCTGTGGGGTGAACACCAAGAAGGGCAACTTCCCATTTATCACCAGCTCAGTCAGACAGCTGGGTCCCTTGAAAGAAGGTTACCCACAGTGTATGGATAGGTGCATGTAGAGTAATGAAGACTATGCCTCATGTTTTGTTCTCTGTTGTCATTTTCTTTTTTAATATTGCAGGTGTTGAATAGGAGGGTGCTAAAAAAGGCTTCCAAATTAAAACTGCATTAGCCATATACAGTGAGACGCCATGCCTGTGACAAGCCTCCTGTTCTTATAGTCCCAGGCGGGCAGCAAAGAACAGGAGGTTTATCCAAGCACTTAGTAAGCCACAATTCATGGCTGGTAGTGGTCTCTGTTCAGCCTTGTAGGTTACATAACTTTTGACCCACTTTTGGTACGGCAACCAAAAGAAAAAGAAACACTACAAGAAAACAGTGTTGTTGGGTTTTCAAGGTGTCACAGAAATGCGTCATTCAAGAAACCACTTTATTGCACCAGTTCATTACAAGTCAATAAAGGGAAGCCTCTGGGTAGCTTTGAGGTTTCTACCACAGCCACTTGCTCAGATGCAAAGGGAACTGCATCTTTGGATCAAATTTTAAACTTTAAACAGGGTTAAGCATTAAAATATAACAGAGCACAGCAGTTGCTTTTTTATGAGCAGTGTTGTGGAAGCCTGAAAGATAAATCTAGCACTTCTGAAATTTCCTTTATTATTTCCATTCTGACTTTTTTTGTGCACTAACCTAAAAAAACTTTAAAATAGGAATTATGTTTCCAGTGTGCAAATCAGACAGTTGGTTCCATTATCGGGTGTGTGTGTGTTAAATTTAAACTACTTGATCTCCCACAGCTTCGTCTATTAAGTGAACCTGATGCAGCAAGGATTGTAATACACACAACTCCAGATGCCAGATATGGGCTCATTAACTATGTAACTCCCTTTAGTGTGCACGGATCTAATCCCACAAAGCACTCTGAATGTGAAAACCTGCACACTGAAGTTCTTGCAAGTTCAGGGCATGCATGTGAAGTGGAGTGAATGTTGAATTACAGAAGAATGGTCTGGAGTAAAATGATTGCCTTCAGTAGGGACAGTACTGTGGAAAAAATGGTTTGGAAGGTATCGCCTAAGGAAAGGGTGTGTAAAACATGAAATCGAGATACTACCTTTCCCAGTTGTTGCTCTGATAGAGAAAAGGCATCCATAAACGCTTGTGCAATTACTGACAAACAGCCATCAAGATGTGGAGTCTTTTTAATATCAAAAACAAATTGAGGGTTCTTCAGTATATTCACCCAGAAGCGAAGAGGAAGACTGGCAAGAGAAAAGGCAAACTTCAAATTAATAATGTTTCAGGAAAAGTTTATTAATCCCACTAAAAGTAATTTAACATCAGTGCTTCATGCAAGTTAGCAGCCTAATAAATAATCATGTCCTCAGTTGATAGTATAGTCCCAATGTGCCCTTCACTGCTGAACATACTGCCAGTTCATGCATTATTATGTTTGAGTTTTGCATGAAGCACATTTGTAAATATATACCTGTTAGTTTTCCATATATGGACCACATCAGGGTCTGTAATTTTCTTATTTTCAGCCTGAGCATCCAAGAAGTCAAAAAAATACTTGACAGCAACTGGGGCTTTATTGTTTGGTAAAGTCCAAATGCTCCTAAACAGCTCTTCAACAACTGAGTGAATTGCAACCTTTGAAAGAAATAAGAAGGCAATGGTTTTATTGCTTAGACAAAACAACGAGCTCCATCTATCAAGGACAATTTGTGCAACAAGAATGGAGCTGAACACTCTTCAGTCACCCATTCAAGACTGGCACCATCACAATGTATAAAAGCCATTTCTCAGTGTTCTCTTATACTTCAGATCCATCTGAATGGAAGGGCAGCTCTGAATGCATCTGTACGCAATAATTCTCTTTTCATGTAAATGAATGGGGAAGCCCAGTTGAGCTGCATGTGCCAAGAAGAAAAAAAGAGCTATAGGTGGTCACTATAGGTTCTACAATGTCATTCCATGTTTTTAAGTCACATCAGTTATCTTTGTGAAGCTTCTTAATCTTATCTTTTCTGGCCTAGCCTTAAATAAAGTTCAGCACTTACCTTTGTAGAAAGAAGTTTAGTAAGATACATTTCCTTCACTTTAAATTTTTGTTTTCCTTTGTGTTTCGTACCCTGTGTATCTTTGGCTGCTTCGGAATCTGGTAATATCTGTAAGAAAGGTATACACAAATGTGCATGCAGATGCATGGGTTAAGGGAGGCAATAATATATAACAAAAACATCTAGTTGTCCGATATTGCTGACTTACCAGATGGCAATAGTCGTTTGGGTATTCCCCATCTGAGAAACATGCTTAAAGGGGGAAAGAGAGAATGAATGAAATGCACACAGTGAAAGGGATTAAGCAGTTGCCAAGAAAGGACATCCAGGTAATCCATGTTTAATTATATTCCTGTGCAGGACCCTGAGGTTGTGTAATTGCCACCCTGTGCTCCTTTGGGAGGAAGGGCGGGATATAAATGTAATAACTACACAACGTAATTCCCACCACTCTGTGCAGTAAGAAGACAGGCCAAATAAATTAACTGTATCATTGGCTTTACTGCTCCCTTTTGCCAGCTTCTGTCACAAAATATCATCCCAGCCCTCTGGGAGCAGGAAAAAAAGCAGAATGAAACATCTGCTGTAGCATTCTGTTGCCTTCGTGAAACCAACCCTGCATCAATCCGAACTATGAGGCTGATTTCACAATGTGCAAAATTACAAATTTCTCTTGTGCCTTGTCTACTTTGGCCTTAAAAATGGAATCTCCATATTCTCTGCAAACATACGAAAAAGGGTAATATTATCTTTATGACCTACATATAAGCTTCTCTGAAGCATCCGGTTGTATGCTTAATGCGCTTTTAGACTAATTGGAGTTTATTCCAAAATGGGGAGCCTGTGGATGTAGAAATCAGTCTCAGCCAGCATGGTCAATGGTTCAAGGTGTGGGGGGGGGAGTTGTGGCCCAATAACATCTGGAGGGCCACAGGTTCCCCATCCTTGTGAGTTTCTTCAACTTATTCTTTTTATAGATCATAAAACTGGACCCTTCGCATAAACGGCTGCTTCAGAACTATGGTTCAAATGGTCTGCTATATACTCATAGCTCTATAAAACCCATTACAGTGGGGGCGGGAAACCTGTGGCTGTTTGTATGTCGCTGAACTACAACTTCTGCCATCCCTGACCATTGGCCTTTCTGGCTGCAGCTGGTGGGCATTGCAGTCCAACAACCTATGGAAGGGTCCCCCATCCTGCCATCACAATGATATATATCAGGCTTGTATTGGTTTCAGTACCTGATAGATCCGTTTTTTTCTTTAAAATTTTAATAGTTGCTCCATCTGAAATCTGAAAAGGAAATAAAACAGCTTTTGTAATATGCATTTTTTTCAAAAACTACACAGTTCCTCAAAGTTCACATGATCCACTGCATGTGACTGGTTACTTTATTCCCAGCTAGCACAGTCCCATACACAGCACAGGTCAAAGAATGCATTATGTTCTGTGTTCATTTCCCCACTCTGAGGCTTCCTAAGTGCAAAGTTAGAGTAGCCATAGGGTTTTTTCTATTCTGATGCAGCCAGCCAGCCATGCTATAAAGGCTGACGTTCCTAAAGAGCCTTATATTTTGGGATGTGTGCAGTACTTTTTTTTAATGTAATGTGACATGCTTATCTGAAAGCACATGTATCATAATGACTGTTCACATGTTCTGCTAAGGCATAAACTGGTCACATTCCACTATGCATGAGCTATGTGCTGAAAGCATGCAGTCCAGGTTTTCCCATTAATCAAGTGGGACAAAAAACCTTGGAATGGCTGGATTAAGAGTTCCAACCAAAACAGTGCTCAAAGGCTGTTAAAACCATAAACATTCTGGTGAGCCAGGCTGTTATCTATATAATGGGTCCAAAAGTAATCCAGCTGATAGCTGCAGTGCTCAGCAGCTGAATGCTGTGTGTTTGAAAACAGTGCTTCCCTATTGCTACTCAGTTACTGAAATGACTTGCACAGAATAGGATGCCTTCCAAAAATGGGGAAAAGTGAAACTGCAGCAGCCGGCCCAGTGTAAAGCTTATCCTTTGCCAACAGAATCCTGCAGTTACACCAAGATTTAGGAAGTGCAAGAAAAATAGATTTTGTTCAACTGATGAAGTGTTTGATGACCTGAAACGGGAAATTTACAAAAACTGAAAGACGAAGAACAGGAAAAACTGGGTTTGTTTTTCTCTTTTACTATCAGATTATTTATTTATCCATCCAGCCAAATATTACCAAGGCCAAATGGCAGTGTCTCTTCCAAATCACAGGCAGCTGTGACTGAAATCTTTTTAACTGGAGATGGTCGTGATTAAAACTGGAACCTTATGCATGACCGCATAATCTTTACTACTGAGCTATAGGGCTTTCCCCAAATACAAATAAAAGAACACGTAGCACAGCCAAGCAGAGGCAAAATGAAGATAGCAAAAACAAAGTAAAGATAGCTCCAAATAAAATCTAATCTCTCAAGGGGCACAGGGCTAACAAAAGGGTAAATAAAAATTTAAGTACAAGAATATACGTTGTGTATTTTGTGGGTGAGTACTTGAGATGAATTCAACCGAATTTATGGGGAAAGAGCATGGCAACAAATTTCACTTCCCTCTGTGATGAAGTGCTAAACGTCATTGACAAAGTGTAAAAGGGAATATATTATTCCAGGACTTCAGAAAGGCTTTGAAAACATCTCAGATTACACAATCATAAATTAAAGGGAACATAGGAGAGATTTTGTCATTTTTGTGTACTTGGCAAGACACATGGAAAGGCAATGAGTAGATGCAACTCATAGGAAGCTGCCTTATACTGAGGCAGACCAATGGTCCATCTAGCTCAGTACTGTCTACACTGATTGGTAGTGGCTTTCCAGAGTTTCAGGCAGGGAAATCTCCCAGCCCTACCTGGAGAGGCCAGGGATTGAGCTTGGTACCTTCTGCATGCTAAGCAGATGTTCCAGCACCAATCTCCTTCCCCAAACCACAGTAGGAAAGAACACGGTAACACAAAGTTCTGCCTCAGACTCAGTTAATTCTAGTGACCCCAATCCAACTAAGAGCAGCTATAACTAAGAATGCTGAACTTGGTGGGACTTGGACTTGTGCTGCAAATACAATTGAAACCATTTCAGTAACTTGATTGTGACCAATTAAGTCCCTTTGATTATGCTGGAAACTGTTTAGGAACAAGTTTAAAAGGCTTAACTTTTGACTGGTCATTATTTTGATGACATCTACGTTTGGCATGCAAAGGTTTCCTTTTTTCTCATTTTGGATTTACTGTTTATAAACACTCAGTACTAATGCTTTTTCAACCAAATGTGCATGGAAATGTAGCTAGGCTAACAGTGCAATCCTGTGTCTCACAAGTACTATGGGATTTGCTCCCAGGAAAGAATGTACAGGACTGCAGCTTAAGTGACTTCCTATAGACCCACATCAAGTATGTGATGGCATTGGCAAGAGAATCCTGGTCCAGTCTTTCAACTAGACCATATGACAACTTTTAGATTCAGTATTTGAGAAGATCATGGAAGATCATAGAATTTTAGAGTTGGAAGGGACAACAAGGGTTATCTAATCCAATTCCCTGCAATGTGGAGATATTTTGTCCAACATGGGGCTTGAACCCATGAACTTGAGATCAAGAGTCTCATGCTCTACCGTCTGGGCTATCCCAGATTGTCTTTACAAAAGAGAGATCTTCAAATTATTAAGGATTTTTGTTCTTACCGCATAATGTCGTATGGTGTTCAGCTTGGTAATTCCATTTTCCAGAATCTCAGAGGAACTATCTATGTCCAAAAGTTCGGTTGTTTGTGCACCTGACTGAAGAGCTGCCAAACAATTAAAACAGTTGCAATTCAAACATATTCTGTGCTTTGATTCTGAGATGCCACCAGTGGCTTGCGAGGCAACCCTATCATATTTTGCCAGTCTGTTAAAATTCTCATAAGAGGTCAAGATGCTAAAAGTACTTGCATTGATGATGCTGGGTTTGTGAACCATTTGAAACCATATTCCATTCCTTCATGGCCACATCAGCTTCTGTATCACAATAGGGTTTTGTGAGCAGCTATTGAGGTGGATCACTACTACCAGTGCTGTACTGGTTCTTCCCAATGGATCATTCTGCTTCAGCTAATACTGCAGCAACAGAGACTGTGATACTGTGCTTGCCAAGCATTTAATTTGCCCAGTCCTCAATAGGTTGCTATATATTATATAAGCTAACTGTAATCCACAAATGACAGAATTTATTTAGTTAAAACAGATTGGTTTTAATGAATTCATAGTAATTTGTGGGTCTCATCTGTTAACAGCAGAGAAATCTTCATTTGTGGTTTTTCAAAAACCCATTATTAAATTCTGTTCTCAGAGTAAACAAAGGAAAATAAATGTGAGATTATAAATTTATAACAAAAATAGGGCAGTGGCAATGCCTTACCCAAGGCCATTTCGTTGAGCTGAAGATCATAAAGAGAGCCATTCTTGTTCAGAAAGGCTTGCAAGATCTTCTCTTTGGCTTGCCCAATGGTGTCACAATCCAGGACATTAACTTGAATTGTCTGAAAAGTGCCTTCACACTCACTTTGTGGGATATTTTCAAAGACAACATTTAATTCCTGAAAGAGAACAAATGTTTAAACACAATGTAATTTACAACCCAGATTTAAAGCACATAAAAACCCTTGGTGAATAAAAAGATAACCACCTGCCACTGAAAAGACCTTCTAGCTGGTGCCAAGGAAGTCTTTCTGAAGAGCCTATTTCATAGCCGAGGTGCCACCACTGAAAAAGCACTCTCCTTGACAGCCACCTGACTCACTTCGCTTGGAGCAGGGCCTCCAAAGATTATCTTAGTGTTCAAGCAGTGATATGTAAACCACCTGTATGCAAATCATTATCATCTGTGTTAGCAAATCTTGTATTATGTCAGAGGAAATTAATATAGATCTTTCAAAAACGTGTTTTCACACTTCACAGTTACTCAATCCCAACTGAACTAATGTGCTAAGTTTGGGCCACAGACAGCAGAGTTTAATCTCATACCCAAAAACAAGCTGAGTGGACTCAGGCAAGTCAGTAACCTGATCTAGTCATAATGCTAAAGCATAGTTTTCATGTATGAAATAACTGTCTCATATCTATTCTGATGCAGGCATGAAATTGTAAGTATCTGCTTCCAGATAAATAAATGACACAGTATTTTATTTATTTGAACTGGTGTTTTTAGGTATGGCCTAATAAGCTAGGATCAGAAATCACAATTTTATCTTTGGTTGTTTGGACAAACTATAGATTAAGCTACAGTTTGTCATGGTTCTGATAATAAGATAAACTATGGATATTTGGAAACAGAAGTGTTTCTGATCTTGCACCCATACTGGGAAAGTTGAGGTGAGAGTGTATTAGCTTGAAGCTTGTTAACTGTAGCCAGTATCTCTCAGCCTCATCCATCTCTAAAAACTCAGTGACCTATCTCAGGAATTATAGATGGTGTAGAAAGCATTCTGGCATTTTTTCTCTCCCTCTCATAACACTAGAATCTGTTATGAATGTCAGTCTATGAAGAACCACAATACGACCGTAGACTATCTATGTGAGACCACTTCTTGATCTAGAATTCCACCCCTGCTTAGTCATATAGTTTCTACCATACAAGACTTGTTGGTTTCATTTGCTGGACACACAATTAACAAGACATACCACTGTATTGAATTCAGTTACTTGCCACAGTAACCAGTCTTCATTTAGTGTGTTCAAGGCCTTGCAGGTTATTACATCCACAGGGCCTCTGTTTATCCTTTGATTTAGGGTTGTCACAAGCATATAGAATGGATCCCCAAATGTCTCCTAAGAAACATAATGAAACACAATGTTATTGAAGAAGAAGAGTTTGGATTTGATATCCCACTTTATCACTACCCAAAGGAGTCTCAAAGCGACTAACATTCTCCTTTCCCTTCCTCCCCCACAACAAACACTCTGTGAGGTGAGTGGGACAGAGAGACTTCAGAGAAGTGTGACTGGCCCAAGGTCACCCAGCAGCTGCATGTGGAGGAGCGGGGACGCGAACCCGGTTCACCAGATTACGAGTCTACCGCTCTTAACTACTACACCACACTGGCTTATAGTTATACCCTCCTTTCTTTGCATTTCTCTATGCATTACAACTTATTTGTTAAACAGGAGAAACCAGAAAAACTGCCCTGCTTAAAGTCTGCTGCAAATAATATGCATTTCCATGTAGGGAAAGACATGAACCCCACATATAGATTGCATGCTCATCTATTTCTTCACATCTACATATAATGTATGTGTAATGGGAAGCGGCAGCCAGCTGCAAGATGCAGTTATGCATACATTTAGTGGAAGAGATACATGTGCAATTGTCACAAAATATGTTCTACCTGTATGTTTCACATTTTTGCCTATGTACATGTGGCTTCTCTAAAAAAATATGAAGCAATGTTTGAAATGGTAGATGCCACAGATGAACCCGGAAAGGCCTCTTCCTTCTCTAAACAGCTCATTTTCCTACTCCTCATCTTTTACCCCGAATATTTATGAGTGCTCAAATGTGGGGTTCCCATTCATTTAATGATTCAAAATAAAACCTGTTCATGCAAATGTATTCCACTGAACTGAAGGGGACTCTTCGAGCGCATGCATGTTACTAAGTACTGAACAAACTGCTAGGCAAGAAAGCTGCTGTACATGCACATCACAAGTGGTTCCTTCTGCATGAAAACAAGCAAGTATAATGAAAAGATACAATACTTGCCCGAAGAAAACCGGAGAGGCAAACAGACATCCAGTTTGTCAGCAGTTTTTCTACCACTGACTCTGTACGCCTTAGCAGCAGCTTCGGTTGTATATTGCTAGACTGTTCCATCAAATCCCTTGTCAAGACCTCTAGAATATGGGTTAAGTAGACTAGGTTTGTTTGTAGTGCGATCGTCAAGAATGATGCAAACAAGCATCTGTTTATAAAGAGAATAATAAATTTAATGCCAAAAAGAGGAAGAACTTGAATATAAGCTAATATGTAATTCTGCCTACATCATTACCTAAGTAATAGCAATACTAACTCGATTTATATGCTGCCACACTCATCCTGGCAGCTGTCACATAAAGTTGAAGGAAATACCAGCACTTCCAAAATAAAATAAAATAGAACTACTAAGAAAACCTGGAGAACAATAAAATGGAGGATACAAAATGCACGATCGCTTGTTAACATAAGGCAGTGAGTATAAATGGTCCACATGACAAAGCTCCAGGAGTAGGTCTCAAATTAAACCAAGACTTGTACTGTCCATAGACCTAAGAACCAAAATGCCACAGTTGTAAACTCTGTCCATCACTCTACAGGTAACCAAAGAAAAGGACATATGGCAGGAACACTGTAGTTATTTTCTAGACCAGCCTTCCCCAATCTTGGGTCTGCAGATATTTTATTGGACTACAACTCCCATCATCCCTGACCACTGGTCCTGCTAGCTAGGGATGATGGGAGCTGTATTTCAACAATATCTGCAGACCCAAGGTTGGGAAAGGCTGGTCTAGACCATTAAACACTGTGCTGCCAACTTTTTGTATTATTTCAAGTGAAGGAAAATGATTGCTGGAAGCTCCTATGAGATGAATAAGTAACTTGTGTAAATTATGCAGCTAAAAAAGGTAACCTCCAGTTATCTTCAATACCTGGAATTTCACTTCAGTGGAGATGAATCCTTAACTTGGCCTGCCACTTCAACCATCAAAACACCCCAACCCCACAATTGCAAGGGTTGGAGAGGAGTGAGTTAATTATCTTACTGGGTGCCCCTTTGTATTAGCATTGCCTTAGCTGTCCCCAGTTTTGGTTTCTAGCTATTCCATCCACTCAATCTTCCAAGTCGTTTAATCCAATAAAGCCCAGAATGTCTATTAGTATTCACAAAACAGAATAACTAACACCAATGAATATGTTGATTGCATTCTTCAGAAGAGTGCCTTATCTTAGTGCAATTTGGTCTGCATATTCTGTTTCAATATTCTAAGTTACTGAACTCTTAGCAAGATTCCAATATGTTTCTTTCTATTTCAAGGTAATTACACAGACATAACAGTGAAAGTACCTCTGTAAGAATCAGATACAGGTTGTATTCAACCATGTTTTATTCAGAGTAGATTCACTGAACTAATGAACATGACTAAGGCAGCTCCATTAATTTCAATAAGTACTCTGAACCAAAACTTCATTGCTTACCACCTATATTTTCTTTCCAGAAGTTTGACTAATGAGATTTTTTGGAGCAGTGTGAGGGATCAAAGTCAACAGAAACACAACATCTCTATATGTGCAGGTTGTTCTTTCATGTTTCTACAACTTGAAGAATCTAAGTTCTGTAGCATACCTGTCTTTTACAGAGAAGGTTTTCTGTTTTTCAAGCGTATGAATCAGAGTAACAAGAAAATGCTTGTTACAAATTAAGGCGTACAATGCTGTAATGCTTTCATCCTTCTGCTCAGGATTTCTGCTCTGAAATACATGAATTGTATGTCTGTTTCTTTGTTTTTAATATGTTGTTCGTTTTATTTTAAATTATAGCTGCAAGCATCAAATACAAAAAAAAAATGTTGTTGAATAATAAAAAAAAAAGATCTTCAGGCAGGCAAGGTAATATTATTTTAACCAACCATTGCTAGGAACTGCTAGGACAGGGATGGGTTGTCTCTCTCCAAAGGATGTTGGATGCCAACTCCAATCAGCTCCAATGGGCATGGTCAGTGCTCAGGGAGATGGAATTGTAGTCCAACAACATCTGGAGGGCCACAGCTTCACCATCCCTGTTAGCAGGTTTTTAAGATTCACTGTATTCTTTGTTCTCTGAAAAAGAAGTGTGTGAGGATTTCAAACTTCATTAACTCCCGTACAGCAAGGATTTATAAGTATCCCTATCAATAACAGCTCAGGGCAGGTAGCTATGAAGACTGTGCAGTGGATTCAGTTTTGTCCCGAGGCAAATTGGGCCTATTTGGAGGGACCTGAGCATCAACTCGGGTTCAGACAGACATGGATCACTATGAGTTGGGCGGCTCAGAGTGATCTGATCTGTGACTGTCAGGGGACAGACAGGTAAGAATTGTGGGAAAACCTTCCTTTCAACCTGGCTCTTCTGTCCCCAGACTGCCCCCTGAGCGTGCAATCCTAGGGGAAAGGCACTCCTGGTCTTCGTAGGAGGAAAGGCACAAGGACAACTTCCCCCATCCGTCTCCCGGATACATGTTTAATTAGTGGTTTAAAACCCTAATTAAACATTAGTTCTGCCTGTGAACGTATTTGAGAATGGATCTGGGGAGGGGTAGCGTTCCCCAGGTTGACAGATTCTTACAATTCCCGAGCAATGCTGGGCACAAGGCTGCCAGTGAAATATAGCTTGCCACCTGCCATGCTAATGAACATAATAAACACATCCTGTGAACTGTGCACATCTCTGTATGGAAATTAGTTACAGCATTCAGATTTGTTTTTTCTTATTTATAAAAGTTATCTGTTGCATTCTCTGTATAGAAATTCAAAGCAAGATGCAGCATAAAATGACAACAGAAATGCGCTAGAAACACTAAAAGAATCATACTACCCAGTTTTCATTTCTGTTAAACCAGTTGCCTCCTTTGTAAGAGAACTAAAATTATATGTAAAACACTTACAAGGGGTTCGCTGGAGTCTTCAATCAAGATAAACGATGTGCCTCCGGTCTAAAGTAACAGATTGACAACTATGATGTTGACAGAAGATTGCAAAACAAAAGATTGCAAAATAGATAAAGCATTCAAACAAAAAGCAGTGGTTTGGATTGGTCCATATGGTGAAGCTGCATGCACACAATAACCAAATGATTTTTCACAGGAAGACCTTCGCATAAACTGCCCCATATTTTTAAAAGCAAACTGGATTCACGTAATAATTTTCTGGGTTGATGTCAACTTCGGTGAACTTTTTAGTAGAATGTCACAGTACCTGAGGTGACCTGGCAGCAAAACAACATGCCCTGAAAATACTTTGATGAATGGCATCTCCCCTCTGCTCCTGTGAACTGTTCTGGGGTTCTCCTAACCCTTCAGAGTGGATTTTGGGAAGGTGCAGGGGCACATGGGGCAAAGAGAGGAAAGTCCCATTGCAGTAGTGTGAGTCTTTGTGCTGGCTTCCACTAGCACACTGAGTTAGCTGAGTTCAACCTCAAAAATCCCACAAAAGCTCAACAGCAACAAAAACAACCAAACCCCAAATCTTAAAATCAGCAAGGTTTATTCTGTCAAGCGCTGCCCTTTTATTATAAAGGTCATTCAACTGTATGCAAAGCCATGACACGTTTACAACTTGGGCGATTTCAATTACTGCAAAAGGTTTATAACAAATATATAAGCAGTCATTTACCTCCGGGAAGGAAGTTCGAATAAGAAAGTGTTTGTAGTCAAGGAAGGGGATGGTTCCAAAACTATCAACCACATCCAATTTTTCCATCTGTAGCTCTACAAAGCCTGCAAGAAACAAAGATCCCCTGCAGTGCTGGTTTTTTGTAATATAACATTATCTTAATTACAGCTTTCAAAGTGATATTGGAAAGTAGCTATCATGAGACAGTTTTCATAGTATACATTTATCTCTGTACTCATTTTTAATGCAATGGGAAATGTTGATCGCATATGATTTTTAATAGTTATTTATTCATAAAAATAGCAGAGCAGTTTACAACAATTATATATAAAATCTTACAGTAAAAGTCATATAAGAATGTTAAAAGCAGAAATTAGCTAACTGCTATGGAAAGATGTATTCTTAGCTGCTTGCGTAAACCTGATGGAACCGGAAAGTTTTCAGAGTTGGAACAAAAGGTGCCTGCTGAATCTCTATGGGCAGAGCATTCCACAATACTGGGCAAATGCCACTAAAGGCACTTAAATAAATATCCCATTTACCTGCACTGTTGAACATAATGTAGCGGTACAAAGAAGGGGCGCTGGCAGTAGTAAATGGCAGCTGCACAGAGGTCAAATTGGGGCCTAGATTCTTACCAGGGGCAGTTGTGGGGCGGCAGTGGAGGGAGAGACACAACACTCTTAGTTATGTCAGTTTGTGCCCATACTAGGTGCCACTGGCTAATCAATACCTGCACACATGGTGCTGACCCAGCCACTTTCTGCTTCCAACATCACTGCATTATATTCCGCTCGAAAGCAGCTGATCTGTCTTCCCCTTGGCTTCTAGAGAATGATGGCAGCCAATTACTACCATCTGCCGCACCACACAGGCCATCCCTGATATAACCTCATGCTATCTCAGAACTGCTAATATTAACATGAAGAAGGAATTCTGTGTGTTATGACTATGGGAAATCACAGAATGGTGATCAACTTGAAGGAATACATGCACTTGATAGATCACGAGGCGCCTCATCCACAAAAGAGCTCTAAAAAAAATTAAAACCCTCACCTTCACGTATTTCTTTGCGGAGTTCACATTCCAGAAGCTCCAGGTGTTCACTCAGTTTACGGTTCAACTGCTTGGATTTTCTTTGGGTCACGAAAATTGCAACTGGGGGAAAAATTGATACAGTCATACCTCGGGATAAATACGCTTCAGGTTGAGCGCTTTTGGGTTGCACTCCACGGCGACCCAGAAGTAACAGAGCACATTACTTCTGGGTTTCGTCGCTTGCGCATGCACAGACGGTCAAAATGACGTCACGCGCATGCGTAGAAGCAGCGAAACACGGCACGCGCAGACGTGCTGTTGTGTCTTACATTCTGTTTGGGATGCGAACGGAGCTCCGGAATGGATCCCCATTCGCATCCCGAGGTAGCACTGTACTCAATAAAAAGCAGAAATAAGAACCATCAAATATACTATGCATTCTTTTTATCAAAACAAAGGGCAAAAACAGGAATCTGCAGTACTTTGAAAACAGCTGTGTCTCAGAATAGTCACCAAAAGGTAGTAGTGACTGCCACCATACAACACATTGTTACAAAGAAGTTGGTTGCCCCAGTGTGGGTACTGGTTGCTGATGTTATTAGTTCTGTGCAAGAACTGTAAACTTGCATGTGTTGGCTACTAAACCCCCCTCCCTCCTCCTCCTCCTCCTCCTCCACCACCACAAAACAAAGGCAGAAAGTCTCATCCACCACAGATTGCTGTGTCAGGACTGCTGGGTCTTTCACTTAACAAACCACCCCACTGACCACCATTGCATGTGCTTACTGGTTTTTAACAGATGGAAAACTGGACACATGAATAGTGCTACTTACCAGCAATGACTACGGGGATTAACAAAAGAAGGGTCAAATATGAATAGTTGTGTGCTTCTTTTGGAACTTCTTGCTTAAAGTTTCCCACCTTGACCTAGTGGATTGGGGAGGGGGAAATGAATATGTAAGAAAGACTTATATTGATATGTAGTTCTTGACCCTCCTCGCTGGGTTGTTTTCCTTCTTCCGTGGCTGGAAAAAACAGCACACTGCAGCTGAGCTAATACTATGTGTTGAAATCAATAGAGGAAACCATAGACACTGTTACCTCTCCTTCTAGCACTCCATTCGCAGCTCCAAGCATGACTGAAATAACAATGACTGAGCTGCTATATATAGAAGCGATGCAGGAAAGAAGGAAACTCAACAGTGCTATCTAACCCAAGATTAAATCAATTGTACAACACAAGGGAAAACGGGAGAACACAAAAACAATGCTCAACATTACCAATCTGCTCCCCACAAAAGACTCAGGGAAAACTAAGATGCACAAATATTTGCCCCATATTAATTTTGGAGCTATATCTTTGGGATTTTTTAATGTAAAATCAAATCATATGGTTTTCTACCAGCACTTCTGTTTCTAACTTATAGTTACTGTAAGATCATGTTGAAGGAGTATAACACATCAGTATTTGTGCCTGGCATCTGGTTACCTATATTTTGCACTGCATATTTATCATACAAGTATTGATATAGAAAAATATAATGCCCAAGCGTACCTGTTTTCACACAGTTTTGATCCCCTTTGTTCTTTAGTTTAATTGATTTTATATTTGATTCTTGAAAACTGGGCTTTTCTGCCTTTGATGAGCTGTGTGCATGTGCACACACACACACACACCCTTGATACAGCAGGGTGGGGGGACTCTAGCCCAAATGCATTCCCTCATGGGGGAACTTTTGGAGGTCATAAACACTCCCCACCCAGGTTAGTTTAAGTCTCAGTTTGGATTGATGAATCCCTAAGAAATTTACGTTGGTGTCACAAATATTACCAAAGTAAGAGAATCAAAGCAAACTAATCTACTTATTGGGAGGCATATTTTGAAGAGAGAGAAAACATATGCAATACAGGGCCAGACATTACAAGCAAGTGTCGGGAGAGAATGTACCTCTTCTAATGCGGTGATAGTTGACCTTCAGCCCATGGATATTCGTTAATCAGTAACAGGCTATAGAAACTACATCTCACTAACAGGGCTATGGCCAGATGGTTCAGGGGCTCCAATTTTACTAGGGTAGCCCTCAGCCTTGTTGAAACTAAAATACCCAGACCACCTTTGACTCGCTCCCCCCCCCTTTGTTGCTTAGTGATCCTGAGAGGCAGAACGGCGAAAAGCCATTAACATCTATTTCACTTGTACTCCAAGTCTCCTGTAAAAATACAATGTCATAACCTTGGGTGAACTTAACAAAGGACGTGTCAGATGCCTTTTTAGGCCAGCTTGTGATATTCCATGTTAGAAAACTAAAGTTGCACTTGGCTTTACTGAAGTCTAATCTTTGTCAGTTGTTTTCCGACGAATGTTTGGAGTTTACCGTTTTTTGTGGCAACTGGCTGTCCTTTATTCTGATGGTATCTTTACATGAAGAGTCACCCAGGTGTTCAATAATTTCGGACGGTGGATGTAGGGTGCTCACATTTGCTTTGCGAGACATCCTCTGGAGGATGTTCTGTCTGAATGACCCATGGGTCAGTCAGATCTGACTCATAGCTTTGTGCTGATACTCTCTTAATTAAGCAAGAAATGAAGTTAAGGTATTGTCCTTATCGTTGCTAACTGCTATTTGGTAACTGTAAATGTCATACTGAGAATAATATTAATTAAAGAATTGAAAATTTTGGTTAAGACTATAAAGTACTTACGTTTCTTTGTTTATTTAATCCCATGGCAGTATTTTCTTCTTTGTTTTATGTTAGATTAAATAGTATATTCACATGTAATAAGAAAAAATATAGAGTCCATAAGCTTTTACTCACATAAACCTTCACACTGGATGTATCGATATTGTCATCGGACGTCTGTTGGGCTCTGCAGTAGATAGTGCTGCGACTTTCAGTTTGCGAAATATTTTGAACAGTGAAAGTTACGTTTAGCAATTTCTCACCAGCCATGCAGGACATAAAAACGTCAATCTCACGTTTAGAAATATTTAACCCATCTTTTTTTTTCTGGAAAGAGATGAGAAAATACTATGAAGTGTGAAAGATGCACCAAATTCAAAGAATTTAGCATATGAATGTTTAAAATAGAAGATTTGTGTTTTCTCTTTATAAAACCCAAACCAGCATCTTACATGTATTTTTAACTCCAAGACAGGATGCATATCAGTTGTCAGTTCATAGTGAATAAATTCAGGGTCAGGTTCATATCGAAATTCAATGCAAGATATATTTTTCGTTTCAACTTTTAGAACAACTTTTACATTACTTTTCTCAGTATTAACAGCTGGTGTTGTAAAATTACACTCAGATCTGTCACTGCGGCATGTAAATTTCTAGAAAAAGAAAAAGGGGGAAGGGGGGAAAATGAGAAAACTATAAAGCACTGCCAAATTGTATACAGTGGTAACTCGGGTTACATACGCTTCAGGTTACAGACTCCGCTAACCCAGAAATAGTACCTCGGGTTAAGAACTTTGCTTCAGGATGAGAACAGAAATCGTACGGCAGCAGCGGGAAGCCCCATTAGCTAAAGTGGTACCTCAGGTTAAGAACAGTTTCAGTTAAGAACAGACCTTCAGAACGAATTAAGTTCTTAACTCGAGGTACCACTGTATAGTACAAATTGTTAAATTGTAGCCAATATGTTGGCTGCAATTCTATGCACAGTTATGATGCTTACATCACAGAATTCCATGGAATTTAACTTAATATTTTCATATACAGTGGTACCTTGGTTTGCATACGTTTTGGATTACAAACCCATCAAACCCAGAAGTGCATGTCTCGGTTTGCAACCTTTTTTTGGATTACAACCCATTTATCTTGGATTACGAACAAATTTTTCTTGGAGGCCCCTATTGGTGAAACTGCACCTTGGGTTACAACCTGTTTTGGTTTACAAACGGACCTCCGGAATGGATTATGGTTGTAAACCAATGTACCACTGCACACAATATTCCTTAAGTAGGGTTGCCATATTTTGTTGCGCTTTTTGGGGGGGAAACCTCCCCCCAAAATAGTGATTTTAAGCTTTTGGAGCTGTTTACGCTGATTCCCCCCCCCCATTCCATTGCCATACAGCCGGGTTTTCCCCTAACATTTTGCCAATTTGGCAAAACTCCCTCCTGACACCATTTTTACACCCAGAAACCAGGAAATGTCTAGAATTTTTCTGACATATGGCAAGCCTACATTAAGACACTTTGTGCTGGACTCAAGGGGTCACTTGTGTGAATGGAAGGGCTCTTTCCATTCACAGAAGCAACTGAGATCCAATGGAGCCTCTCCAACAGAATGTAGGTCAGCTGTTTTCACCAATCCCCGCCCCCCCCGTCCTTCCCCATTTCTCATGCTGTTCTGGACAGTCACCCAACACTCTGGAGATGGTTTTCAGAACTGGGGCAGGGAGGAGGAACTGGCTTCCTCCAGCATGACTGGAACTCCACTAAGCGGAAGTCTGAATTCAAACCCTAGGGTGGAGTACAGTCCTTAAAATGCTTACTCCTACAATAAGCTCATCTATTTCTGCAGAGTAAGCAGTCTAAAAGCTTCAGCTTACTTGCATTTAAAGCTATAAATACCAATCACATCACAATCCACTAGACAATTGGACTAAGGCCCATAAACTTTGGTGATAATACACTCGTGTAAAAATCTGGTATTTAGTATAAAATCCCAACAATTATATGTGTGTCTGTTTTTTTAGCTTTTACACATGTGCAGGCATGGGTCCCCAAACAAACTTTCTCTCACAGGTTAAGTTCAGAATAAAGCATTCTAGCTAACCAACTGTATGACAATTCTAATTTTTTTTATTTGAACAATTGAATTCCTTTCTGCAGAACTTGGATATTTGATACAGATTGTGTACAGCCTTGCATTTTCTTTTACTCCCTGAAAAGGAATCCTATGCTTGATAAATGGGGCAAGCCTGTAATGTTACGCAGGGGTAGACAGATTTCCCCTGTTCAGTCTCTAATGATATAAATATTGCAATACAGTGGTACCTCAGGTTACAGACGCTTCAGGTTACAGACGCTTCAGGTTAGACTCCGCTAACCCAGAAATAGTACCTCGGGTTAAGAACTTTGCTTCAGGATGAGAACAGAAATTGCGCGCTGGCGGCAGCAGGAGGCCCCATTAGCTAAAGTGGTACCTCAGGTTAAGAACAGTTTCAGGTTAAGAACGGACCTCTAGAACGAATTAAGTACCTAACCAGAGGTACCACTGTAATTGGCTATTGTTTGCTCTTCTTCCACAGCTTTGTTTCTTCCCATCCACTATGCCTCATGCACCAAAAATCATGTACATTAAAACAATGCACTTTGGGGGGGGGTGTGATTTGAGCATGCTAGTATTCCCTGGAAGCTCCAGTTGAACCTAATCTTTCCACTGACTTGCTAATGTTCATTACACTCCCCATTTAGCTGAACACAAGCAAGCATGAGAGGGCTTTATAATGGGAGCTAGATATACACACTAGCAAGCCAGTCATTTGAAAGTTGAGATAAAACTGAAGCTGTGAAGGAATTCAAGTGAAATTGTGGCGCAACTGCTCCCCTGGAGCCTTCTCTATAGCATTCTTGGCAGCAGGATTTTTTTATTCACTCAGCCTTTTTAATTGCGTTATAAATCCATGCCGTTTTACGCGTGCTCTCCCCTGTAACAATTTTTTATTTGCTGCCTTTTATTGTTTTTTTGTTGTTGCTGCAGTTAATCATTATAACATTGTACTTTCATCATTGTACTTTGTTTGTTTGTAAGCAGCCCAGGAAATATTTATTGATCAGCAAAGCTATATAAGTTCAAATGATAACAGCAGCAAAAAAAAAAAAAAGAAGGTAATCAAATTGGCAAAAACCCAAAGACTCTCGAAAATAAGAGAGCCTTTATCCTTCATTGGAAGCCCCAAAGGGAGGGGGTGGGAAAGGGAAAGGGAAGCAAGTTCCAGCAATATTATCTACTGAAAAAGAATACGAATAATACAGGACCAAAACATCATGACACTTTTCAGGAAGGCACTCATTTACCTTTTATGGCAGTTTGCAGAATTGTGGCACTTATAATTAATATAGCCAACATTTTGGGGGGGGGGGAGGGGAGGGGAGTTCACAACACTTACTGCCAAGTTTTGTCCCCCTCCATCTAAAACAGAAACCATTTCTGTGACATTTAGATGTCTCCCACGTATAGTCATGTTGCGACCTCCACTGCAAAAAAAGGGAAAGGAAATAAGCTTGGAACTTGGGTCTACTTCAAATTTAAAAAAAACAAACAAGTTTGCAGCTCAGAAAACTTTCTACCTCACAGTAAATCAAAAACTACAAATAAAAATAATCATCAAGTTTGCAGCTCAGAAGACATTTTGTTGTTGTTGTTTAGCCGTGTCCAACTCTTCGTGACCCCATGGACCAGAAAACGCCAGGCACTCCTGCCTACCACTGCCTCCTGCAGTTAGGTAAAGGTAGAGGGACCCCTGACCATTAGGTCCAGTCGTGACCGACTCTGGGGCTGCGGCGCTCATCTCGCTTTATTGGCCGAGGGAGCCGGCGTACAGCTTCCGGGTCATGTGGCCAGCATGACTAAACTGCTTCTGGCGAACCAGAGCAGTGCATGGAAATGCCGTTTACCTTCCCACTGGAGCGGTACCTATTTATCTACTTGCACTTTGACGTGCTTTCGAACTGCTAGGTTGACAGGAGTGGGACCGAACAACGGGAGCTCACCCCGTCGCGGGGATTCGAACCGCCAACCTTCTGATCGGCAAGTCCTAGGTTCTGTGGTTTAACCCACAGCGCCACCCACGTCCCAAAGCTCCTTCTCTTACCCCACAGTAAATAAAAAACTACTATTCTCAGTGAATGACTGCAAAGCAAATTTATTCACAAACACAAATGTCAATCTCAAGCCTGGCTTAAGGAATGAGTATTTGTGTGTCATGTGTATGATCCTACAGTACACTGCCTTCTCTTGACAAAATTCCTATCCATACTGATTGTGATTGTTCACCTCTTTTCGGAGTCTGCCTAGCATGACATGTAAGCAATGTAATCTCCAGTAGGATCTCTTCACATATTTCAGTAGGATTTAAAGCTAACAACTATAGACCACTGGTTTTCATTGTTCTACTTAGGTTTCCAATACACACACTGCATATATAAGAATGTTTAGCTCTTACAATTCTACTACAAGGTTTGAATGGACTCTTAGCATAACGACTACCATCTGTCTTCCCTTTCCCTAGTGGACTTCTTCAGCAGTGGTTCTGAAATGGTATGGGAGTGGTGATGGCTGGGATGAATGACTGACTGACTGACTGACTGACTGAATGAATCTTTATTTGCATCAGCCACCAGCCATAGCAATAAAACAAAATGCAGTATACAGAGGATAAAGGTAAACAGTTAATTACACAAAATGCATTTTGGGGGTTTGGATCAATAGTCAAATAACGAATCTTATTCTAATTGCCTTGTAACTTTTGCTGTTACCGGTTCATCTTGATCTGCCAAGAGAATGGGCACTGTAACAGTGGCTGGGCGACCCAGAATGGACAATAATAGAGGGGTGATGGCTGGAAGCTGTGGTCCTTGAGGTATTGCAGTCCTGAGCCATTTAAGGGTTTATAGCACCAGCACTTTGAATTGGGCCCAGAAACTAATTGGTAGCCAATGCAGTCGGACCAGGATTGATGTAATGTGCTCAAACTGTCTTGCCTCAGTGACTAACCTATTTAGTGAGCTGAATTCTGTACTAGCTGAATTTTCCAAACTAGAGAGGCAGTCCTACCTATAATGCATTGCAGTAATCTAACCTAGAGGTTAACAGAGCAGTTAGGCTGTTCCTGTTGAGATAAGGGTACAGCTGGACTCTTTAACTTGGCCTTTGACTGACTGACATCTAATGCCCTTCTAAAATGTGTTGTGGAAGGGGGGGATTAATGGGTTGTCTTTGTTTTTATTTTATGTTTTTATATTATGTATGTCGTGTTTTTTTCAATTGTAATTTTATGTTGTGAACCACCCTGAGACCTATGAGTACTGGGGGGTATACAGTGGTGCCTCGCAAGACGAAATTAATCCATTCCGCGAGTCTCTTCGTCTTGCGGTTTTTTCATCTTGCGAAGCACGGCTATTAGCGGCTTAGCGGCTATTAACGGCTTAGCGGCTTTAAGAAAAAGGAAACAAACTTGCAAGAACTCGCAAGACGTTTCGTCTTGCGAAGCAAGCCCATAGGGAAATTCGTCTTGCGGAATGACTCAAAAAACGGAAAACTCTTTCGTCTAGCGAGTTTTTCGTCTTGCGAGGCATTCGTCTTGCGGGGCACCACTGTACAAATGTAAATGAATGAATGAATGCTGAGCTGATGGGTGTATTGGTATGGCACCATGAACAGCTGATCTCAATGCCCAGCCACACCCTATAAAACTGAAGGATCTACAAGTGACAATAAGGTCTGTTATGATACTACGTTAACTATTTCACAGTCATATTCAATGTACTACTTTTTATAAGAAGTAAAATAATTTAAGATTACCTCTTCCAGGTGACATTTGGAAATATTCCAGTACATGCAGGGAGAGAGACGTAAGACAGTGTCACAGGGAGTGAACACGGAAAGCCAATTTTCTTTATACATATGCTCTTGGCTTCTTTGCGACTTGGTGGTAAACAGAATTTCATGTGTGTGCGATTTAACACTTTAGTGACAAATATTCTGAAAAGAAGAACAACATCTCTCAAATTCTCCCCAAACCCAAATGCTGTTTAATTTTAAAGCAGTTTGCAAGCCAACTCTCACTGGAACTCAATATTAACAACATATGGAGCCCAAGGATTCAATCAAAATTCATATTGTAATGTGATTTAGAAGAGGAAGAAAGCATCTTAAGAACTAACATTGCTTTTAATTCCATTCACAGATGTAGAAAATTAAAAAATAAGAATAAGAGTAATCTAGTGAAGGGAAACAGAGATTAGACTATCTACCAAGGAATAGGAGGACAACCTAAAACAACTGGGATTATTACAGTGATTACTAAAGTTTCACTTTTGGAACTAATGCAACCAAAGAGCACATTAGTGCAGTGTGAATAAGCAAGTATAAATCACACAGTTAAAAGGCTCCATCTTGATTATATAGTTTAATCACGAGTCCAAACATTTCCAGGATAAATGTCTATGCGGTACAGGTGCATGTTAATTCAAAGATAAAATAATTGATTGTATTTTTACTCACTCCTCTGATTTGCAGCTACTGGTTCCAGTCATTTCCATCAAAACATCTGCATTTGAAAAGTTTTCTCCTCTGACTAGTACTTCACTGCTGCCTAATGTTGATATCCACATTGGTTCAATGGACGTAATGTGCATGGGCTGTTAGAAACAGAGTAAAACAAGATTTCAATATCCAGTCATGCACTTATAAACATGTTTAACTTGTACCTTTCTTGTTAATGGGTAGATATTAAGTGTTGTTCCATGCTCCGTAATTTCCACTGGTTTTCATATTCTTCAGGATGGAATATAAAAACCAAAGATAGAAGGGCATAACCAAATCCACAAGCGCCTATGGCCTGGTGGAGACATAAGTCTACAGTATATTGGCCCAGATGAGCGATAGGAAGGAATGGATGGGATGAAATGAATGGGTACAAGCACTGGCGGAGGAAGAGGAGTGCCGGGGGAGCACGCAGCCCCTGGCAGCGAGATCCCGGTGGAGTGCCATCGCAGCTACCCCCCTGCCCACGCTGGGCGCCACACCCCTGCAGGCAACATGCCCCGCCCCCCGGTGCCAGAGCATGAAACTCCACCACTGGGTACAAAAAGACTGTTGGGTGATTGCACATATGGGGACTACATGTTTATATCAGTTTTGGGCAGTGTGAATGTATAGGTTAATGATTTTTCGGTGACTGTATTATGTGATTTTTATAATATTATTTGAGATCTTTTAATGATATGTCATTATGCTACATTTGGATGTTTTTGTATATGATTTGCTTTTGTGGTTCTTATTTATGTTTACATTTAATTATGCTAATTAAAATGTGGAATTGTTTTTTATGGTATTGGTAGTATTGTTTTGAATATGGAATTTGTATTTTTGTATTTTTTTATATTGATTGCTTATGGTTGAAATTTGTAAACTGCTTAAGATTTTTTTGTGTGTGAATATAAACTGGTGTATAAGCTAGCTAAAATAAATTATTGCCCCTACAAACTGTGGTCAAAGAGCTAGCCTTGGTAACCCATGAATTTCTCCTCTCAACCCTTGTCAGCCTTGGCAGTATTGTTCTGCCCGGACACTGAGGTCCAGCACTGAGGGCCTTCTGGCGGTTCCCTCGCTGTGAGAAGCCAAGTTACAGGGAACCAGGCAGAGGGCCTTATCGGTAGTGGCACCTGCCCTGTGGAACGCCCTCCCACCAGATGTCAAAGAGAAAAATAACTACCAAACTTTTAGAAGACATCTATAGGCAGCCCTGTTTAGGGAAGCTTTTAATGTTTAATAGGTTATTGTATTTTAGGGTTTTGTTGGAAGCCGCCCAGAGTGGCTAGGGGTACCCAGCCAGATGGGCGGGGTATAAATAATAATTTATTATGATGATGATGATGATGATGATGATGATGATGTTTAGTGTCACATATGTGCCCTAGTTAATGCCAACCACAGTTCCCATGAATCTGAATAACCCAGATAGTAACAATGTAGGTGTAATGATAAAACACACCTAAGGCAAGCAAAAAATGGGCAGGATAACATTCCAGAGAGAAGAGGAGGACCGTGTATGACTGACATGCTTTGGGTTGCATATAGCTAGCATTACTTATGTGTTGGTGCTAAAAATCCAAAGAACAACAATAATTTGGAAATGTTTATTAAAACACATTCACATCTATATCTATCTGTGAACATATATTCCACAGAGTTTCAAAAGTACTGCCATTCCCCCAGGGCGTATGCACACATACACTAAAAACAACAACAACAACAACCCCAAGAAATTAAATGGAGGCTCTGATTCCTCCATTAAACAGAGTGGGAAATCCTAAAAGACAGATTTCTATGAGAACACAAAAACACTCATACCCACAAAATAGCATTGCAATAAAATCACAATGAGAATAATATAGGCACTGCACAAATCATAGCACAAATTTAATGGTATACTTGGATACAATGTAACAATCCTTCATAGCAATATCTATAATTAATGTTTCTAAGTTGCATGAGCCCTCTTTTGAACGACACAAAAAGTTTATAAATTATTAGTTTGGTTCTTTGTTTCTTCCTTCATGAGTCTTTTAATCCGAATATTTCATCTATATTTCAAAAGGACTCAGCAACAGTAGCTAACCTTGATGTTAGCTGCTAAATTACATTTGCTGCTGAAAAGCTAAAGCTACCAACAGGAAGTCCAATCTGATATGTGTCTATTGATATGCATCTCTCACAAACGTTAACACTGCTGAATATGTTTGGTTTTCATAAGAATTAGCAAAACAGCAAACTAAATATTACAATATTCTTTTGTAAGCTCCTCTAGGCAGGGGACTATATTCGTATATGAACACAGATGGCTTTGGACTTCTGTTTCCTGAACTGCAAGTCCCACCTAATTCCACAAAACAATTTAGGTTTGAAACTGAGAAGAATTTAAAATGCACAGTGCTCTAAACAGCAGAGGGGAGAAAAGTGCTATCTGAAGTTTTAAAAAGTAAACAATTTTACTGGGAATGCACAGGCCTATGGGAAAACTTCAGAAAGTTCTTTGGATACTAATAATGTGATAACGTTAAGCAAAAAAAATTATATTTATGGATTAAGATTAGATACATTTTCATTGACCTCACTGTTATTTTGGTATAAAAAGAGAACTAAAGATACTGAATCATGCTTAAAATGAAGTGGTATGGTAGTAAATGGCTGCTCAGCCCTTTCCCAGGTAGGTGGCAGTTGCGGCCCCTCGCTCTCTGCCACCATCCCCAGCAACCAGATCGCAGGTGCTTGCCAGCCATTTGTGAATTCCCCTGGCTAGCAGGAGCACAGCGTGGGACTTCCCTCTGGAAAGCTAGCTTCAAATGGGCCACTCAGAGGCCCCCACCTGATGGTCAATGCCTTGCTGGCTGGCTGCTGCCATGCCTGGTCACGCAGCAACACTTAGAAAAACCGGCTGCATTTGCCACCGTATTAACTAGAAACCTGAAGTACTATGGGAGTACCAAGTGGGATGAGGCAAGCAGTTGATAAGTCTTCTGCCAGCAAACTAGGGAGGGAAACCATTTTCAGTGAGTCTCCCATACCCAACAGCCCCCCTTCCTTGTTCCTGTGGTGGAAATTTTACCATCCAGCTCAGAGATTAGTTCGATTAAACCCACCAGTTCCCCCCATTTCTTTTTGAGAATACTAAGGAAAATCCATCTTCCGCAGAAACTGCTGCTTGCCTTCTATCACTGTGCCATTGAGAGCGTGCTCACTTATGGCTTATGTGTGTGGTACGGAAGCTGTACTACCCAGGACAGGATGGGGTTGTGCAGGGTTGTTAAGGCAGCAGAGAGCATTGTTGGCTGCCCACTCTCCACCTTAGAGCAGATTTATGCCACAAGGTGCCATAGGAAGGCACTGGACATAGTAAAAGATCCATCGCATCCTGGTCACTGTCTCTTCGAGCTCTTGCCGTCGGGACGGAAATACAGGACGATGAAGACAAGAACGAGCCGTCTTAAGAACAGCTTCTTCTCCAGAGCGATCTCGGCCCTGAATGGGAAGCCCGGACTTTGAAAGTCATCTAATCTCCCTTGCTGTATTATACTGTATTGATTAATTAGTGTTTTTATGGAGCAGTCAAGTAATTTCGTTGTCCCCGAAGGGGGCAATGACAATAAAGATATTATTATTATTATTATTATTATTATTATTATTATTATTATTATTATTATTAAAAGAAGCAGTTCAGTTTTAATTCACTCCACCCAACACAACATTTGCTTCTACAGTTTCAGCACCATCTAATGCATAATGGCTTATCAGTTTAGCGCAGGAAAGAAATCTGATTTGGTGGTGGGTGGAAGAGAACAAGGAAATAGACACTTTCAATAATAATATGTTTAAGTCAGATTGAAACTGTGGTGATTGCCTAAAAATACACAAACCAAGAATTGCAAAACTTAATTTATACTTTTCAGTACTAATAATATAGTCAACTCACTAGCATATTGCAATGTAGTTCTTCCCTCAAACAACAGTGTGCTCTTTGGGCAACACCTGTGCTATCCAATAAAGTTTAACGGAAAACACAGTTACAGTTACACAGAAAATCAAAACTACATTTTGACTGGTTTTTGTACCTAAGTATATATCATCCCAAATCACTGAAGAGGAAAACACATACAGCAGATAATTGCAGCAGTATGTATGTACTGTATTCAGCTCTGTATTGTTGTTTTTTAAGCTTGATCAAGCCATTTGCTAGCTAGATTTGGAGAAAAGTGATCCAACAGGATTAGAATTCAACCCAGAGGGTAACTGTGAAATGAAATCCTTCCACTAATTATATTAAATGACAACTACTGATTTCTTATAGTGTCATGGTATCTGACCCAAACACAGCATTGTTATTCATTATAGCACAAATTCCCATGAGTACAAAGGGTAAAAGCAGAAAAGGTGAAACACACACAAACACACACACACACACACACACACATACCTCAACTATCTATATTTCAGCAGTGGAAAGCGAAGGCAACACAAACATCCCATGGTATTTTACTAGCATTGTTGCTACTGCTACTAGTCTTATGAGTTATGCAAAGCATTTCATAGCATAAGCAAGAGAGACTAGAGAAGCCAGTGGAATTCTCCTGAGCCTGGACTTGGGAAAGGTCTCCAGAAGCTCATAAAGGTCCTGTACTGAAGGCGGAATTAGTATGTCCAATTGCCAACCATCACCCTGCAATGCTTCCCCTTATTTTCCACCATGTCCTTTTAGTCTTCTGCCTCCTTCACACTTGGTAGTAGTGCAAGAGCTATTGCCATCAGTGAAAACAGCATATGATTGACAGTGAGCTGGATACATTATAGGAAAAGGCAGATGGGTGAACCCCCCTCCCAATCAATTGTGCTATAACTTATCAGTTTCAGAATATCTGCTGACCTCTGGTCTCTGTGAAATATCTTTCCCATCCGAAGCACTGGTAGTAATTGAATCACAGTCAACCTGAAAAAATTGAAAGTACTTCCTTAGAATATAGTTTTTTAAAAAACACTATTCGTCAAATAAAAAGCTTTCCATATAGCGATTTAAATTCAATACAAGCCAGAAAAATTACCTTTTGTGTACAAGTCATGGTAGAGGAGACACATTTGTTCTCTCTAGTAGACCAGGTGCAACCAGCACGAGACAAACATTCTGAACATCTAGAATGAATAAAATAACATCTAGAATATAAAATAACATCTAGAATAACATCTAGAATATAAAATAATAGTTTACACAACTGCAGGGATTGGTGAGATCCAGCAGAGAAGGTGTGTCAGTATATAATTCTAGGTCTTACCCAGGGGCCTTACATGTCATAAATATTTACTTAGCTCTACTCAAGCTAAGGCTTTTCATATAGTGGCCTCAGTAACTCAGAACACTGGTCCTCTACAATTCAGGTATTACACTGCCTGCTGAAAACTTGGAAATTTAATTGTAACATGTAAAGTCAATTTGGATCAGCAGGAGAACTTCAAGGACACCTTTGTCATATTAGGCATGGGAAAGCAATGCTCCATAATGATACCCCTGCTGGATTAGATTAAAAGACCATTGCATTCTGCCTCCCAAAGTGACCAACCAAATGCCCCTGGGAAGCCCAAAACCATTGCATGGAGGCAACAGTCCTCCTTTGCTGTTGATATTGAGTGACTGAATTCAGTGCCATGCTGCCAATGAACATGGCAAGTGAAGTGGTTCATTTCTATAGCATTGCTTCAACTGCTGGCAGTAGTTGGCTCATACCATCTGAAGTAAAGGTCATATGTTATGCTAAGGTGGTAGCGCAAAAAAAAAAAAAAATCACACTGTCCACTCCTCCTTGCTATTTAAACTTCCATCATCCTTATGATCTCACTTAAAACTGTAAATCCGCTGAAAGGGTTTTGCCTTGGGGCTAGAGGTTGTTGTGGAGCTGTTCCAAATACCCTTTGGTTAACACAAAAGGAGTCATGAGTGGCAAGCCTTATTGCACCAGTTAATTAGAAACGTAAGCCTTCATGTTGGACCTGCCTTGCCCCCCTACTCACCAACTTCTCAATTCTGGAAAATACGCTTCTGTGTGAAGCACACTGTAGCTTAGATAGAGTTAATGCACAACAGAATCCACAATGGCTCTTTTTCATCACTATCTGGAGGTTGGCTATGAGTGCTATGAGTTCAGGGAAACAGAGCCGAGATCTAAAGTGATGCTTCAGCAAAAGAATGTATCATGGGCCAAGTACGGTTATAAATCTATGTGCTAATAATAGCTCCAAGCGAAACAACAAGCCTACCCATAAGGCTTATTCATTGCTAAGGTTGCTTCCAGACTGACAAGTGTTATATAGAGATTGCACTTCCTCTACCCTACATGCAGAATGGCAAGACTCTTCAGGTAGTCTCACACTTTACAAAAAATGTACATCCTGTTATACATCATCCATACTTTTGTGTGTCATATACAGCTATGTAGGTGGGTAGGTGGCATACCCTTTTATCAGGATGTTTATTTTCAACACACACACACACACACACACGTTTTCATGTTTACCAAAAAGAGCTTCCCCTTCCTTAACTGCTACTGTGCTAATAATTTTTAAGCTAACTGAAATGGCACCAACCAGAAAAACAGTGTGATCCTTTTTAATTTATTTAACATTTTGCACTACATAGTTTAATTACATAGTATAATTACACAAATATAGATTTAAAATATGGGTGAAGATGTTATTCTGACTTAAAAAAAAATAACATTACTAAAAATGGCACGGTCTATGTACTGAAAAGTAGAGACCTGGGAATAGGCTCAGCTGCCTGAATGATCACCACCGACATTGTTTGCACCTGTCTTCTCCAATCTGGTGCTGTGCAGATGTTCAGCTCCAGTTGCCACACTCAATATGGCCTGTGGTCATCACACAAGATGTAGACCAAAACATCTGGCAGGGAAGGCTGGTCCTACACTGATTGGCAATGGGTTTCCAGGGTTTCAAAAAGGATTTTTCCAAGCCCTACCTAGAGATATAAGGGACTGAAGCTGAGAGCTTCTGCATGCAAAGGGTGTACTCTATCACTGATCTACAACCATATTCCTTCAAAAAGACAGAAGAGTATTTCAACTTAGCACTGCATCTACAGATATTGAACTATGTTCTGTTCCTTCCAAAAAAAAGTGATTATCCCCCAAAAAAGTTTCAAAAGAGGTGAAAGTACCATGGGGAGAATACAAGATAACACATTTATGATGACACTGTGTAGATGTCTTGTAACAGTACAAAGAACGAAGAGTGACAATTCAAGAGGAAACATCTAATGTGAAAGCACCCTAAGGAAGCTGTTCCACAACCCACAAAAAAGATATGTAAACATCTCTTACGTTTTCTCTAATGAGCAGTCATATTTAAATATTTCTGATAAAGTCTGTGAACCAGAGATGAGTAATACTTGAGCAACTGGAAAGAAAAAGAAAACATTTTGATATATTGGGTACAAGCAGATATATAATTAGTTATTTAGATACAATTGATTTTAAAGTAGACACAAGAGAGTCCCCAGGAATTTTTCCAAGGACGGAAAAGAAAATACTCCAAATAAATAGACAAACATAACTAGCATCAGAGAACAGGTCAACAATTTCTGGCAGCGCTGGTGACTCTGCAATGGCAAGGCCTAGTTAGATTTGGTAACTGAGCAACCTGCATGTCAGGTCTACCCACCTGTTGTTTCTCAGTGAGTAAACATGGCATCCAGGGAACTTCCTTCCACTCACTGCTGAAAGTCTTAGTTCTTTACCTACAGTGGTGCCTCGCAAGACGAAATTAATCCGTTCCGTGAGTCTCTTCATCTTGCGGTTTTTTCGTCTTGCGAAGCACGGCTATTAGCAGCTTAGCAGCTATTAGCGGCTTAGCGGCTATTAACGGCTTAGCGGCTATTAACGGCTTAGCGGCTTTAAGAAAAAGGAAACAAACTCGCAAGAACTCGCAAGACGTTTCGTCTTGCGAAGCAAGCCCATAGGGAAATTCATCTTGCGGAACGACTCAAAAAACGCAAAACCCTTTCGTCTAGCGAGTTTTTCATCTTGCGAGGCATTCGTCTTGCGGGGCACCACTGTAGCTGCCTTCACCTCCTCTAGCTTTTAACTGTACTCCTCCTACAATCAATTTCACAGTCCACTCACAACTTAAAAAACACAGCCTCCTCCCTCAACAAAATGGGTGTAACAAGTCTGGGCTGCTTTGTAGGGCTGGCGTTCCGCATACTATCTCAGCCATGGTCCTGCCCCCCTGCAATATAGCTATTAACATTGATTGACTTGGTCTGAACTGGCATTAGCAGAGTAATTTTTAAAATATTTGCAAACATTTACAAACTCATTTATTATATCTGTGATAGAAAAATCATGACCTCCTTCCTTGCTGTTATCTTTTGTTCTTGGGCTGGAACACTTGTCCCAAATCACAGCTACCTTAAAATCTTGTATAATCAAATTGTTTTCTATGGAGCAGCAATCACTTATTTACCAGGGAAGACCAACAGAAGAAGCTTAACAATAAATCAAGTTTTGATTATGGGTGTTTTACTCTTGCCTTCTCTTTGATTAATTGGTTAGGTCTCCTTTCTTAAATTTCATTGCCTACACTGGTGGAGGAAGAGGAGTGCGGGGGAGGACACCGCCCCCAGCAGCGCAATCCCAGTAGGGTGCCATTGCGGCTGCCCCCCACTCACACTGGGCACCACGCCCCTGCAAGTGGTGCACCACACCCCCAGGACGCATGCCACGCCCCCGCCTGCTCTCTCTCCCCCCCGGGGCCGGAGCATGAAGCTCCGCCACTGATTGGTTAGTATTTCTTTTTTCTTCTTTGTAAAGTCTGTGATTATTATTTCATTTTATAATGTGTATAAAATAGAAAGAACAACTATAACACCAGATGAAAATTAAAACATGAAAAACAAAACTATAAAATAGGCATGTGGAATGAGTAGTTGCACATAAGTTCAATTAAAGGCTATCAACTTCATCAGATCATCAACTATAGTTCCAGATTTGCCATGCTAGTGACAAAGGACATCTTGAAAATATTTTTTTCTGCTGAATATGTCATAAAGGAATACCAAATCATATAAAAAATGTCTGAAGGAGCAGGTAAGTTTTTCACAAACAAATGAGAATAGTGCCTGCACAGTCTAACTCATCCGTCAAATTCAAAAATGCCAGAAACTTACTACGTTTTTACTTTTAAAAAATGAAAGCCAGGAATATGTTGATTAAGGCTCATTGGGTGAAGAGGCTATCCCCTTTATCTTCCAGCCATGCATAGAGCCCACATAAATGAAGAGGTTATGCCACAGATAATTGTATTACTTAATTATTTATTCTGTTTATGCTGCACTTTTCAGTGGAGTTTCCAAAGAGCTGATAACATGGGTCACGTTTCTCTTGCATGACAATTAGTCTTCAGTCTTCTATAGCAACTTTTTCCTAATGTGGTTTAAATAGTTGAATACGTACACACAAATGCTCTAATCTTGTCAACACAAGATTTGGGATTCAGGGCTGTTTTCAGGAAGTGGCCTTCATCTTAGTGCCAGACAATTAAGACCATCTTCCCCAATCTTGCACATGCAAAAAAAGACTGACAAGTGTGACATGATAAAATGGTAGCCAGGCTTACACCAACCACAAACAACGGCCAACCTCTCTTCCTTTTTCCAGCATCCAACCACAGCAATCCATAACACACTTTCATAGCTTCCTCTTTCAGAACCAACGTGGCTTTATCCTCCCTCCGCCCAAGCACAGTAATTAAAAATCAGGCCACATATATTCCATACAACAAAACATGTCAGGTGTTGTAGGTAAATTATGAAGAAAACTTGCCTTTTCCGACTAGATCAGCCGCCTTAAGGCGACAAGAGCAGTTCATGACATCTTCCTTCACATTCTCACAAAGAATATTTTTGGTATTCGCATCTATCACTTTGCAAGTGAATGGTCCTTCAGAATTTCCAACTGCAGTTACAGAAATCTAAAGGAATGAGAAAATTGATAAGATATCTTAACTTCTTAGATGATAGTCTGGAGGAACTTCCAAGAGAATCAGAGTTAAGCTCTCAGGGTAAATGTTGATAGGCTACTTAAAGATGAGATAAAAAGTGAATGGCAAGAAACAATTGAAAATATACCAACTTTTAATTGGCTGAATAGCAGGAGCTGTTGCAATCTGCCCAACTCCATTCACCACACCCAATGATTTCTACTGGGAAGCCATGAGATTTATACAGAACGATTCTCCCACTTCCTTCTCTCCCTAGAATGATGATTTGTTACACATGCAGACCATGTTTTATGCAAACCAGAATTCATACCAACCAGTGTTTGTAAATCTGCTTCAAACCTTGGCTTCAATAGATGGTTAGGAAGATTCCTGGTTTGCATTAACCATAAACTATATCAGTATGTCTAAATGATGACTAAGAACAGAAAGAGAAGAGAGAAATGGTTTCAGAGGCAGGAGGGAAAACAGCATCATGCTCAAGGCTGGCTCTCACTTTGTCACCCACAAGGATGCTGAAGAGCCAATGTTATAGGAGAATAATACTACCAACAGAAGCCAGAATTGCGTGTTTCTTTTTTGTCCCACTGGGTGAACCTGGCTTCTCTCTACTTTCCCTACACACTGCAGCGATCAATGATTCAGGCAGACTGTCTACCTGGACATGTGAGAGAACTTCAAGAGATTAACAAAACTTGTTTTAAAGTATGTCCGTATTCTTTCCACATCAGTGCCACCCCTCAGAGGTAGAGCATGGTTACAGGAATCCATATCCAGCATGAGGGAACCATTAACCTCTTCACATTATAGCAACATGATCTAAAACCGTTCCAAGCACAAAGCAGGGAGCATCAGAAGACATCACCATTGCTCTAACAAGGCGTCACCTGCACCTTCACAGCTTGGCCTTTCCTTTTGTGCAAGGCACCAAACAACTGGAGCCACCCAAGGAAGTTCGGTTAGGGGTCCCAATCCTGCTGGGTGCATATAAACTGACACAGTGTGATCTGCAAGTATGGGAGGCTGGGATTCTGCCAGTATGCCAAATACATTGGATTCATTAAGTAAAATGAACTGCTTGTCTATAGAGATGGTTTGCAGAGAATGTCAAACATGGAAGCCTGGGCCAGATACACGCTTTTGTGTACATAAAAATAAATAGGGCTTTGTTTACCCAGGTTTGCCCACAAAGAACCCCATTGTTACACCAGGAGAAAGGTATAAGCAGCATAGGATTGGACTATTATGTTTCAGTCAGACCAGAGTACTGAGAGAGCTCAGCACTGCCAAGTTAAATTCTCTCACTTGTAAAAAACGATGTATTAAGTAGTGCAGTTATACTATAAATGAAATGAAAATGATGTTTAACATACCTCACCTCTGTAATGCTTAGATGTGTAGATTTTCAGGCATTTATCTGTTCCATATGGAATGCTTGTCCAGTTCATTATGTTATTTGAAACTGGGCATTCGCCTTTTAAAGTGCAGCTGAAGAAAAATCCAAATATATGCATGAGAGAAATAGAGAAATGTTTTTCAATTATATATAAAAATCTGCATTATTTGCATCTCCTAGCCAAACTGTGGCCACCTTGACTGAACATTTCTAAAGTGCCTTCTCAGCTCTTAATAGGCTGAGAAATCATGTTCCAGATATTTAGCTTTAAAAAAGATACATCAAACAATGAACATCTATTCCATCATTTCCTTTCAATCAATTTGTTCCACCCTGTTGGCTAACTATGCAAATTTCTGGGAGATAGAACTGATTAACCTAATCAGATTTTCTCACTTTATTGTTGCTTCATTTCTGTCTTTAAAACCATAAAAAACCAGTCACACCCACTGATTCTTTCTCATGGCTTGTGATGCCATTGTCCCTCGAAGCCACATATCCAAGAGTAGATATGAGTTTTGGAGAGTCGGTGTTAAAGAACATTTATTTACATTATTTTCCTTGGGACCACTCTATGACTTTTTCAATCTTATGAGAATATCTCATTATGGTCTTTCTCAAATTTCAAATTAAAAATAGGGTATGCGAATTTAACGCAACTATCCAAATAACTCCTTCCTGCTAACTATAATTATAACCACAATTATAGATGTCCTTTTAAGAAGAGTCTTACTGCATGCTAGCTTTAATTGCTAAAACACTAATTTCTTATTTACTGCTCGGCTACTGGCTTGTCACTATTGTGTTTTATCACTCTTTTTTGCTCAAACTTTATAAAAAGATAATTTTAAAGCAAATAAATAATTGTTATGGTCTTCTTGTTGTTTTAGAATTTCAAAGTTATTTGGCACCAGGATTCTGTCTTAGCCCAGTTAGAATACTAACACAAACATCCTGGGAAGGTTAAGAGAGAAACTTGAGTTGCCTTTACATTAATATTATTAGTAAGTGTCGTTATAGGAAGAGTCACTGCAGACTTAAAACTGATCCAAGATGGCTTTGTAAAAACAACTGTGGATACAGCCTCAAGGTATCAAGAATTAAAAAATACCAATAACGAAGCATTTATTCATATGAGCCTAAGAAGCAAAAATACATACTTGTTATATGAATAACACCATCCACAGTGGGGGTCCATGGCAGTTAAACATTCTTTACAGGAAATATGCTTGCTACAATTGGCAACCTTTGTTCTCCAGATCTAAAATAGAAAGGGAGAAAAAATCACTCTTGCATGTTTCTAGTAAACATTTTCAAAAACGTAAAATAATTTCCATAAACCCAGGAAATAGAAAGAAAAGCAAATCAGTAACTTAAAGAAAAAAAGGAATTCAAAGTAGTTTCTTACAATATTGCAACAACCTTCTGCTGTTCATGTCACTTCAAGTTAACCTCCTATGGATCCATCACACCACTTTGCTAATTTGGGGGTGTATAGGAAGAGATCATTTGCAAACTGGACCTGTGACAAGACCTTTGCCAGCTGTGCTGACTTGTACTTAAATTCAGAGCCAACAGGGTGGCATATGACTTCAAAAATAATTTGCATGCAGATTCCCTGCCTGTTACAGCCTTTGTCTCTAAACTTCCGTTTCTAGGAAAGGCTGCTGAATGTGTGGTTGCCCTTCAGCACTTTAAAACCACCAACTTTCTGCACACCTGTTAACGTGGTTTTTGGTCTGGAAGGAGTGTGGTCCCTCATAACCATTTCTGCCTGGCTGGAGATTGCTACGGGCAACTGCACTCCACTATTAATCCTATTAAATCCTGCTGCAAGTCTTTGATGCTAAAGTGTGTTCTTGGCAATGCCATTGTGGGCTCTTCCACTCTGGAGTTTAATGTGGATTTGAAGCTGCTTCTCTCTGTCTCTCACTTTTGCAGTGTACATACAGCGTCCTCCTCATCCAAGTGGCAGCCTGCACCTCCCCTTGCTAAATTAAGTTTATTTTCTGTCTTGTTCTACCTGGGTCCCAGGCTGCAATTAGCCTTCCAGATAACCATGGCTATTGCAGACCGACAGCTGCAAATTCCATAGCCAATCCAAGGTCCAATTCCAGACAAGCAGTGATTTTAACAGAGTTGAGGGGCATCCCAAGGTCCAGGTAAGCAGACGGTCAGGATCAGGTGCAAGAAACAGTGTTGGTTAACAAGCCATTGTTCCAGCAGTTCTCTCAGCCTTGCACTGAGGCTCTTAAACCAGAGGCACCAGAATCCCACCCTAGGCACAGCTGCAGCCTCTCAAGACATCTCTGCAGAATCCTTCTCCTGAGGAGGGTGCTACACCTGGGTAGTCCTTTGCTCTTTTCAACCAATCACTCTTCTTGACTATGAGGAGACAGCTGGTGGTGAATTAATATTTACCAATCTGTGGATAATCCAATAGGAGAAGAAAATGCAATACAAAAATGTGGAACCTCTGAAGCTTATCATGTGGGAAGCGTCATTGCTTTTAACATGTGATGACATTTCACTAGATGGTTTCTATTGCCGCGTTTACTTCTTCCATTTTGTTTCCATCAGTCCCAAAGACATGTTCATTGCATTTTTATTTTTAACCCAGCTGTTTTTCACAGATCAGCTATGTTAAAATATATAAGTTGCCCTTGCACGTAGATGGCAAAGGAAAAGGTAGGACAGGAAGTAGGAGTCTTTCATATGAATGATTCCTAATCTCATCTGGCTTTACTTTTTAAAAGTACAATTCTGTACTTTTGCGCAATTCTGGAAAAACTTATATTCCAGATTTGTACTTTTTTTTAAAAAAAAAAAGTGCATACACAGGCAAGCAAATAACTGCACACATATCCACAATGGACCTCAGGGAAGTAATAATATTTGAGGGAAGGAGACAACACTACATAGTACACCTACATGCATCCTAACAAGTACCACCCACTAATGTGCACAAGAAAGGAGATGGTTTTCGGAGCCGTAAGATTGAAAGTACCTATGTGGATAAAAGTGCCCGAACAAGCACATGCAACAGTGAGCCATGTATGCATTAATGCCCTAATCTGAACAGAGACTGAAAGGATTTCTCTTGTAATAAGGAAATATCATGTGTGGTGATTACTCATCATCCATCCAAACATTCCTCACAAAGGCTTACCGGTGCTTCCTGAATTCAATAGATAAATGAGAGATGCTGAGAGAGAGATCATATGAAGGTGTGCACTTTGATGCCATCAACAAGTTTTCTCTTGTTTCCATCAACTCAGTTCTGAAAAGTCTCTGCACTCACGTAAGACAATGTAAGTCAGTTACGCAACTGCGAACACTAAGAAAATGATGCGATAGCTAATCTCTAAAGTTACACAGTTGCATAGTTTAGAATCTCTGTTGACTAGAAATCACACCTACTCATATTCAGGGTCCTGTTCTACAACCCAAAAGTAAAGTAGGTTGCTGGACTTCAGTTAACAAGGACATTGCCAGATGACTGAAAGACAACTTCAGAAGTACTATTTGTGCTGGCTGCTGCTCTTAGCTCACCTTGTTACCAGATGGTAGATAGATGTAATCTTTATTCACAGGGTCAAGTTCAAGTTTGTGAAAAATTGGCGTTTCTTCTTCAATTTCATATAAAATGTCTGGGCAATTTGCTTTCATGTTTTCATCAAGAATAACCTAAAAGCACAGGAAACAAAAAGAATTGCTATCATGTTATCATGGGCCAATTTATCTGCCCTATTTGAATACACTATGGTTCCTCTATTCCTCCCCATCATCAGCAATTTGGAACAGATTTTTTTTGAGGCGGGACGACATGTCTGGGTGGAGGAGGTGGAAGCAGAAGTCCCACTGTGCAAGCAGAACCTCAAATGAACAGATAAGAAGCAAACTGCATTGATAATCTAACAAATACTCTTACCTGGAAAGAGAACATGTTCTTTTACTATTATCTCAAGAAAGATACAAGGACCTATTTTGAATGCATATTCAGTGACTAATGATCAGGATTTTTATGTTTTCTATTTGGTCAGCTATTCTTTACAAATACCGTTTAAAACCTTGATTGCCCAGGGTTTTTAAATCATACAGGCAGCCCCCATGAATAGAAGAGCTTCCCACTTTAGACATTCATCCTCAAACTCACAGAATGGTCTCAACTGTGTACAGGTAATGTGTTGGAAGCAGAATGTTTGGACTGCATGCCTCCATTTCTCCTCACGTGTTTGGTTCCTCAGCTGCTTTATATAGCTATATTAGCCCTATTTGGGCTAATAAGCAATCAATAAGTACATACAATAAAACAGTGTAAGATGACAGCAATAAAAGCTTTTCAGAAAGCTAGATAAACTAAACAATCTAAAAACTTATTTTGAAATTACATTATTTAAGTTATTTCACTGAAAACCGATCCAAGGAAATGTTGAATAAAGGCCAACATATATTTTTGTTGGGGAGAAGGCATTGTTTAATTACATAGAAAGCCACTGGACTTGGGGGAAAAGGAACCATCTTTCAAATATTATACAAGAAGAGAAGTTACAGTCGTACCTTGGAAGTCGAACAGAATCTGTTCCAGAAGTCCGTTCAACTTCCAAAACGTTCAAAAACCAAAGCACAGCTTCCGATTGGCTGCAGGAAGCTCCTGCAGCCAGTCAGAAGCTGTGGAAGCCCCATTGGAAGTTCGGCTTCCAAAAATAGTTTGCAAACTGGAACAGTCACTTCCGGGTTCGCGATGTTCAGGAGTCAAAACATTCGAGAACTAAGCTGTTCAAAAACCAAGGTACGACTGTATTTGCCAATATAGCAACTATCTAGCACTTTTACATGCAAAATGCCAAGATGCTTCTATCAACTAACACAACAACAATGATTCATCAAATAAACCATGAAACAAACCATAAGCCACATACTTTCAGCAACTGTCCATTTCTTGTTCCCAAAAACAAAACAATCTTGTTCAGAACCACAGTGGCATAAACTGACACCAAATCAGAGTGGCTCAGCAAAGTTGCATTGTTGATTGGCCAAGCTATCTTGTTCTGAAAAATCAAATACAGAAGCAAAATATGAGTATACATCATTTTATCAAATATGCAACTTATTATTTTCAAGCTACCTTAACTATAACTTGCTGGTGAAAGCTTCTTTATGGCAGGTAGCACTGCACTTCAAGCAGGGCTCCACATAGTATTATTGCAAAACTTTGGCAACTTATGGGTCGGTTTAGATACCATGCTAGACCACAGTTTAGTATTACAAGAATGATTCTAGCCTTCTCCTGAACTCACATGACCACCTCAATACGGCCCTAAAGTGAAGTTTGGAAGCTTCCAATTTTCTCATATGAGGGTGAGAAATAATATTTTAGGTGTAAATGTCGTGTTTTAAAGCAGAGTATGAATCAGGAGACCAGAGAAAAATCAGGAAACAAACAGCATGTATTACTTGAACACTGGAAGCATTCATACAGATAACAGCTATGCCTTCTGGCAAACTTCTCATCAGTCATGAGTTTAGCTGTTCCTAACTGTACAACTACAGCAGCATGTTCTTTAGTCGATATTTACTGTGAACCTAGCTAAATATTACATTGCACTTCAAGCAGGGCTCCACACAGTATTACTGCAAAACTTTGGCAACTTATGGGTCGGTTTAGATAAGATGGTAGACCACAGTTTAGTATTACAAGAATGAAGCTACAGGAAAGAGTGTAACACAAGGAGGAATAAATAATCAATTTATTTATTTATTCATTCATTCATTCATTTATACATACATACATACATACATACATACATGGCTGGTTTTCCCCAGCTACTCAGGGTGGCTTCCAACAAAATATTAAAAATACATTAAAACATCAGTCATTAACAACTTCCCTGAACAGGGCTGCCTTCAGATGTATTCTGAAAGTCAGATAGTTGTTTATTTCCTTGACATCTGCTGGGAGGGTGTTTCACAAGGCGGGCGCCACTACTGAGAAGGCCCTCTGCCTGGTTCCCTGTAACTTGGCTTCTCGCAGTGAGTGAACCACCAGAAGGCCCTCAGTGCTGGACCTCAGTGTCCGGGCTGAGCGATGGGGGTGGAGACCAGTTTAATTAAATCAGTTAATCATTGCAAACACAAATAAACAATTAGGTGGGGACCTGAACTATAAAATCAGGAAAATGTAAAGGCCAAAAACCAAAGAAATGAAAAACTGTGCTGCAATTCGATATTTTTAAAAGGATATTAAAAAATTGCAACAATAAGCACTTATTTAACTGGGCATGATGGACCCCATTCAGACATCATGATCTTTGCTTTAGAAGCTATGATATGCAGGAACAATACTCTCTCATGCATCCCTTTTCTCCCAGTTCACCCCTCCTTTAGCACCAGCTGGTAAACAAGCAAGGAAGTCACAGTTAATCATAGCTTCCTTTTATGTCCAAACTGATAGCTATGATTAACAGCTTTCAAACAAGCCAGGATTTGGAAGCAAAGTTGGGAGCCATTAACCATAGTTCCCTGGTTCAAACTGAATGTAACAAGAAGCTGTGGTTAACTAGGTTTGCTGGCTTGTGTCCCTGCTCATGTGACGGGAAGAGCAAAGAAAACTACAAAAGTTAACCATCTGAAGACAGTCAAATCTTCAATCCAAGAGAGTTTATGCAAAGCAAGGGGACCGCATGTTTTTCAAAGGGGACCCTTTAGGAAAAAAGTGTTGTTTAATAATTATTTATTAATTAAATTTCAATCACATTCCTTCTTTCCAAAGGAACCAAAGTGCAGCATACAGCAAAATGGAAAACATTAAGAAACGATCAAATATCCTCACAGGTAAATAATTTCAAGATTGTCAGGAACAATATATTTCAGCAATCAAATGCCTGGGTGAACAGAAATGTTTTTAAATTCCACCTAACAGTAAAGGGAGAGTACAGGAAATTGAATCCAGCCGACTTTCCCCTCTGTCATATATACTCAATTTCATTTAAAGTGGCTCAACTCAAAACAACACAAACACAAAACCCTAATATATATATCAAATGATGCTATACTATACAAGCAAACATCATGATCCATTTATACAATATTTACAAAAAGATGTATGATGGATTATCATGTTTGTGAGTACATAAAACACCATTTTATATATTAGGTTCATGGGTATGTTTGTGTTTTGGATGCTGAAGAAAAAACTTGTACATAAATTTAACACAAAATATAATTTGATGTTTTGCCACTCAATCTCCCATATTATTGAAGCTCCAGGCATTAATTACATGTTTGTATGAAGTTGTGCTGTACTTCCAAAAAATATATGCTGCTATTGCAGCATCTGCCAATGCTGTTTGTGGTCTAAAGTGTTAGGGGCATGGAATGCTGAGCGATCAACATATGTGGTTTCTCAGCTCTCACCCCTGTACAGTTTCACAACCACTTTTAAACAAGACAGGAAAACAACGTTGTAACACCAAGAAAGAAATAAAAAGTTTTGCCGTCTTATCCAAAGAGGAAGTGCTTCAATATTCCTTTGTTTTTCCATAAAGCAGGAGAACACAATGTGGTCCATTAAATACAGCATATCTACAAAAGGTGGGAGGAAGAGTGTGACTACACCAGGCTTCCTCAAACTCTGCCCTTCAAATGTTTTTTGGCCTACAACTCCCATGATCCCTAGCTAGCAGGACTAGTGGTCAGGGATGATGGGAACTGTAGTCTCAAAACATCTGGAGGGCCAAGTTTGAGGAAGCCTGGACTACACCATCAGCAACACTTGAAAATTTTGACAGAAATTAACATCCAAGGAACCTAAGCATCTATGGCCTAAACTACACATAGTGATGGCAGACTTAGGGCATTGACACTGGTGAGATAATTTGGCTCTGCACAGCTGTCTTTTATTTACCCAGCCTTCCCAACTGCATGCTTTTTTGGACTGTGATTCCCATCAGCCCCAGCCATGGAGAGGGGTTCTTATTTTAATTAGGCATTTTTGATTACCTTTAATGTGGCATCCCAAGGTGGTGTACAAGAGATATAAAGCATTAACCAATCTATATCATTAATACATTAAAGTTTAAATACAAAAACATTCCAGGGCAGAACTTTAATTCCTTGTCCTCACTACAACCCAGGTTGGAATTGGAGGGGGGGTGTTGGAGTAAGAAGAAAAGTTCCACTGGTGTCAATGGGACTAAACTGCATGACAAATGTCACACTTAGTTAAAAGAGGTATGCTTTAAAGTAGTGTTTTCTTCAACCTAATCCAGATGTGGTTGGACTAAAATTCTCACCACCCACAGCCAGCTTAATACCATTACTGCATTACTGCTTTGTATTATTGTAATTTATTTGACTTATCCTTCACTTACTACAGTGACAACTTACAAAGATTAAGAACCAAGAAGAATTCCACAAAACAAAAACAATGTGTTCAATAAAACTATTTCAATAACCCATACCAAAAAAAGAAAAAACCACAGAAAAGAACCCACCCTCCTAACCTTCCTTCTTAAGAGGGGAAAACAGAAGGGCCTTAAACAAAGATTGAATGGTCCAGAGGCACTCCCACAAAGGAACCAGCACTTTGAATTGGGCCCAGAAACATATAGGAAGACTCTGAGTATATTTCAAAGACAATGAAGCTGTGCCAACACCAGTGTTTTAAGATGGGCTCACCTTGATCCTGTTAACATTTAAGTGGCTGCATTCTGCACCAGCTGCAGTTTCCAAACCATCTCCAAAAGAAAGCTCCACATAAATTGCACTGCAGTAATCCAATACAGTGGTACCTCAGATTAAGAACTTAATTCGTTCTGGAGGTCTGTTCTTAACCTGAAACTGTTCTTAACCTGAGGTACCACTTTAGCTAATGGGGCCTCCTGCTGCCGCTGCACCGCTGCTGCACAATTTCTGTTCTCATCCTGAAGCAAAGTTCTTAACCCGAGGTACTATTTCTGGGTTAGCGGAGTCTGTAACCTGAAGCGTATGTAACCTGAAGTGTATGTAACCCGAGGTACCACTGTATTGAGGCTGTGAGAACATTCATAGATTACTGTAGCCAATTATCCCTGTCCACAAAGGGTCATCGTTGGGCCACCAGCTGAAGCTGCTAGAAGGCACTCAGTGGGGATGATCTTCACCCTAAATGAGTAACCAACATGATGCTCTCCAAATGTTGCTCTTCTTCAACTCCCATCATCATTAACAATCAGTCATGCAAGCAAGGATGCAGGATGGAGGTAACGAGTCCAATATCTTCTGGAACAAACATGGCTGGGGAAGTTCCATAGCTGTTCTCTGCTAATGTTGTCCAACTGAAGTTATGCAGGAAGGCACTGACAATGTAGTAGGATCGCATCCTATGCACAACTAACCCGAGCAATTTCAACCTTACTCAGTTGAAAGCTGAATGTCTGGAATCTTGCAGATCAATTGCACGCAAGGTGGAGAGCTTAAAAGCTCCTTCTGCACTGGGTTTTCCCAGTGTGGAAAGAGCTTTTAAGCACTCAGACTTGCTAGTACCAGGCTCTGGGATGCTCTCACAATATCTTATGGAAACTTGGATGGCCCTGTGAGATCTCACAAGAGCATCCCAGACCTTAGTAAGCAGGTCTTGAGAGCTTAAAAGTTCTCTGACTTTCTTGTAAGAAAAGGATGGTTGTTGGGGGGGGGGGTTTCAAAGGAGTGGTTCAGGTACTGGTATATGTGCTTTTGCTTATATGCATCATCCCCAGAATGTAACCCCTGTGCAAGACACAATCATACTGTAGTCCTCCCCCAGAAGCCCTCCCACACTGTGCAAACTTTATCCTTCTTTATAAAATGTGTATTTGTTTTAGCTAGCACTTACTCCACTGAAGCTAACAGACAAGTTGTGCAAGTATTAAATGGCACAAAAAGACGCAACAGGATGCTCCAAGCCTATGGAATACCATTAAGGCATCTGAAGTTTTGGCACAGATCTGATTTGGTCTTGCAATACTACTACTAATACTATTAATTCAATTGATATACCACCCTTTATCAAAAGATCCCAGGGTGGTGTACTACATTAAAAACACAATACAGAGCATCAATGATAAAAATATAGTAAAAAGCATACTGACAAAGAGCCTTATAATAAAATAACCATCCTAATAACAGTCCTGTTCCCCACACTTTTACAGGCCATAGATTATAGGCCTGGGTAAAGACATGTAATGATGGGGCCAGGTAAGCCTCTCTGGGGAGAGTATTCTACAATCAGGGAGCCACCACAGAAAAGGCCTGTTCTCTTGTTGCCACCTTCCAAACCTCTCTGGGAGTAGGGACATAGAAAAGAGCCTCTGATGACAAGTGTAGGGTCCAGGTCGCTCTGTGTGGGGGAAAGGCGTTCCTTAAGGTATTGAAGTCCAGAGCCATGTAAGGCTTTATAGTCCTCTGAATTGGGCCACACAGAATTCACAAAAAATGTGCTGATGGGAATGTGTTAACTGTAACACAACTCTGTCTTAAGACCAGATTGTGATAGAGAGATCATCCCTCCTTCCAGCATCATTCACTGTATTGCCTCTCATTCTGTAGCCAAGTTATCTCTCTCATTCTCTGAATGTACGTATATACAAAACACCTGGCCAGGCCAGATGGCTCACTATGCTAATCTTTCATCAGACTTATTTATCTGAAGGCTTATAGGACTTCTGTGACTTAATTCCTATTTAAAAGAAAGCTATGCTTAAAATGCACCCCATTTTGAAAACAGCTAGATCAGACACGCAGTATGTTAAAAAGAAATTCATTAACTATAAAAGCTAACATTCTTGTCAGATTACAGACATACCCTTTATATTCATGCAGTCTGCATAAGGCAGTCCAATAAATTATTTTTGAGGGGTATATTACTGTGTTTTGTTCTTTTCACATAACTCTTGACTAGGCCAAAACAACAGCAACAGCAGCAGCAACAATAACAACGAAAACTAAATTTGCCATCCACAAGACAAAAGCGCTGCTCTGGTTCGCCAGAAGCGGCTTAGTCATGCTGGCCACATGACCTAGAAGCTGTACACCGGCTCCCTCGGCCAATAAAGAGAGATGAGCGCCGCAACCCTAGAGTTGTCTGCAACTGGACCTAACGGTCAGGGGTCCCTTTACCTTTATGGGTAACATATAAGGTGTAGAACAATGGGATACACTTTATGGAGTTTTTCCCAAAGCAGAATCAGTGCAAGAGACTTCTGCTTTCTACAAATGCCATGCTGGAAAAGAAACAAAACTCAATTCCTCCCATATCAGTCCTCTAGAACCTGCAGAAGATTTGTGGAAGAAGGGGGTGTTGTTTTACCTCATGTGGGGTTTAGGAGAAAGCAAGATATGGTGCAAGTGCTTCTTGCCTTCATGGATGTGAAACAAAGGCCCCTCAGCATCCCCTAGTCCTATGCAAATATGAACTAGACTACTAGGGGCAAAAGGTTATTGTTTAATTTCTAATTAGACTTTTGCAGAAGATAGAACATCCTTGCACAACTTCTATTTTTGGCAGAACCCTTTCCCTTTTTTCCAGTTTACAGAGAAGCCAGGAAAGGTATGCTCACCACATAATGAGGAACACTCACCAGTGGCGAGAGTGTGAGAGGAGGACAATTGTGGAGCTCTACCTCATAGTCACCATGGCAACTTGAACAGCCGTAACAATAAGTGCTTTCAGCTTGTTTCCAACTTTTTATTATTATTTTTGTTTCATTTTATATCTTTATACTGTTGTAAACTGCTGTGATATATTCTTTATGATTTAACGGTATATAACAGGCACGTCCAACTCCCTAAAGACTGTGATCTACTCCCACTATTAAAAAAAACTGGCAGTGATCTACCCATTGTCAGAGTTGTTGAGCTTTTTCGGGGGGAGGACTGCCAAGAGTTGAGCTTTTTTAGGGGGTTGGCAAGTGTTATTGAGCTTTTGGGGGGGAGGATAGTCACTTGACGCTGCCAGGAAACAATACTTGTGCTTCCCGCCTGCCCCAACTTTCTTTGCTGCAGATTAGGTGGAGGAGGGACAAAGTGCCTGGGGCATAGGGCCAAAACATTTCCGCAATCGACCAGGGTCACCACGGCGATCTACCTGTACATTGCGGTTGACCGGTTGAACATATCTGGCATATAAAAATAAAGTATTTAAACAACCAGTGTGCCAATGTAAGTTTCTGAATAGTTGTACAGGTCCTTTAACTGGGGGTTAGAAGTACAGTCATACGTTGGATCTCGAACGCCTTACAAGTCAAATGTTTTGGGTCCCGAATGCCGCAAACCTGGAAGTGAGTGTTCTGATTTGTGAACGTTCTTTGGAACCCAAACGTCCAAAGCAGCTTCCAAGGCTTCCAAATGGCTGCAGGGGGAAGCCGTGCCTTGGTTTCCTAATGTTTTTCAACTTGAACGGACTTCCAGAACGGATTCCGTTCGACTTCCAAGGTACCACTGTAATCTGAAAACAAAAATATCTAGACAAGGCACAAAATATCCGCCAAGTGTGATTTCCCATTCTACAACATTCAGTCTCATGGTACACATCCAGGGCAGCAATCCCAAATACATCTACTGGAAGGACGCCCATTGAAATACTTCTGAGAAAGCCTGCAGAACAGAGTTGCTCATCTTTAGACGGGCTCTCTGCAGAAGAGGCTTTACTTTTCTAAACATCTCATGCAGCCTGAACATTTTCCATTTGCAGCAAGCACTGCTCCCATTCCTTTCAGGTTCCTAACGTCTTAGGGCCAAAGGGCACCAATGTAAGGGACAGTCTTGGGCGCTACAAAATATGCAACCAGCCCACAACCAAAAAACAAAACCACACCTCAATTTAAAATAAAAATTTGGAGGTGCAGGGGGCCTTGGTGGGAACCAAGCAGGGTTGACAAGGGCACCATGTTGGGGGGCCCATCCCTAGGTTACAGCGACCAGACTAGTAAAGGCCTGAGGGACTCTTCCTTACACTTTAAAATAATGATGATGAGGATGATTTTATTTACTTTTCATGATACAGAATACACATTTTGAGAAGAAAATTGTAACAACGGTAAAAAACAAACAACTTGTTTTCCTGTTTATTAAAACAGTTTTATAGCCAGGGTGGCTGGTTGGGTTAAAGATGCTCATTTTATTATCTTTCCTTTAAATATATGTTATTTGAAGTCTGCTGGAACACGTGTGGAAGGGGATTCACTGCAGGGAACTCCATCATGCAACCTACAGCAAGCTTTGACTCTAACTCCCATCAGTTGCTGAGCGGTAGAGCCAAGACTACTGGGATGGCTATGCAAGGTGCTTTCAAGTCCTAACTATGTGATGTCCTGCCCACCTGCCAAATAAGGTCCACATAGCCAACAATGTTCCACAGCACAGGTTTAAAATGTGATACTGTGTATACTCTGTGTATTTCTATTTTTTCTATTTTTTTACTAGGTTGGCAACCTATTTTCTTCTTGTTTTTCATACTAAGGTATCCAGAATGCTGAACATCTAGACTCGTCACAGGTTCTCCAACCATAATCTAAATCAGGGTTTCCCAAACTTGGTTCTCCAGCTGGTTTTAGACTACAACTCCCATCATCCCTGACCACTGGTCCTGCTAGCTAGGGAGTTGTAGTCCAAAAACAGCTGGCAACCCAAGTTTGGGAAACCCTCATCCAAATAATGAATTTTCACCATTGTGTGACTTGAAGTGCACACAGAAAAAGGTTTACTCCCTCTCTCAAAGAACTAGAGATTGTGGATAAGTGAATGTTAGAAGATTCGAGATAGGGGAAAAAGTTGCTTCACAGAGCATGTCATGAAACTATGAAATTCACTCCCACAGGAGGCAACCAACTTGGACAACTTTTTAAAAGGATTGGACAAATGAATGGAGGTAAAGCAAAGGTTACTAGTCTTGATGCCCATGCTCTGGCTGGAGGCCACGTGAAGGGACAGTGCTCTTGCACCTGGGTCCTGCTTTATGGAATTCCCATAGGCATCTGGTGAGTCTGGTGAGAACAGGGTCTGGACTAGATAGGCCACTGGCCTGATCCAGCAGACTCTTCTTATTTCCTTATGATACCAGCAACAACAAAACGCTGTTCTGCCTTGCAAGCTGTTTTAGATAATGGACAACACTACAGCAAACTGTTGTTTTACCCCCAGGAGTGGTTGCAGAGATTTATATGTCAATGCTTAATAAAGGATGCACTTAATGTACAAGAAGCATTTTTTTTTTTAATTTGGTCACATGCATGTGGTGAGCTGACTTGCCATTTCAAATAGAAAAGCCTTTCTTTGCAAAGCTGTTGAGTAACTTTCTTGCCACTGCAAACCCAACTTTCTGCTTCCTATGTTGAGCAACATCATGAGATCTTCTTTTATATATGCTCAGCTAGCAGGACATCGTTTTTTGCCAACTCATCCAACAGTAAGTGCGCTGGTTGCAGTGGGAAAGTGAAGCATCTCTCTGAAACCAAAGGGGGCTTGACGATAATTCATGTTGGCTGAACTTCTCCTATAGAGTTACATCTGCTCAGCCTTTCAGCACTTGCAGGTGATTACCGTATTTTTTGCTCTATAAGACTCACTTTTTCCCTCCTAAAAAGTGAGGGGAAATGTGTATGCGTCTTATGGAGCGAATGCAGGCTGCGCAGCTATCCCAGAAGGTAGAACAGCAAGAGGGATTGCTGCTTTCACTGCGCAGCGATCCCTCTTGCTGTTCTTGCTTCTGAAATTCAGAATATTTTTTTTCTTGTTTTCCTCCTCCAAAAACTAGGTGCCTCTTGTGGTCTGGTGCGTCTTATAGAGCGAAAAAATACGGTACTTTGTTTTTAACTGTACAGTGGTACCTCAGGTTACATACGCTTCAGGTTACATACGCTTCAGGTTACAGACTCTGCTAACCCAGAAATAGTACCTCAGGTTAAGAACTTTGCTTCAGGATGAGAAAAGAAAACCGTGCTCTGGTGGTGCGACGGCAGCGGGAGGCCCCATTAGCTAAAGTGGTGCTTCAGGTTAAGAACAGTTTCAGGTTAAGAACGGACCTCCAGAACAAATTAAGTTCTTAACCCGACGTACCACTGTACTTGCTGTTGTTTTAACCTTCCCTAGGACCTTGCGGTGAAGGGCAATTGTTGTTGTTGTTGTTGGGTTCAACATATCCAGAGAAATGCATCCCATGTCATAGGTCTCACCCCACAACCCTAATGCAGTAAGTTCACCATGCTTCCTTAAGTTAGCTACCCATTATCAGTTGTGACGCTGTCTTCCACCCATAAGTAAACTTTTGTGTAGTATTCCCTGTGAAAGTTTCTTCTAAATTAGAGCCTGCTGGATCCCACCAATGGCCCATCTAGTCCAGAATCCTGTTCTCACAATGGCCAACCAGATGCCTCTGGGAAGCCCACAAGTAGGATCTAAGTGTGAAAGTACTCTCCCCTTGTACAACCTTCAACCTTGCAGGTGCAGAATAGCCATCATGGCCAGTACAGTGGTACCTCGGGTTAAGTACTTAATTCATTCCGGAGGTCCGTTCTTAACCTGAAACTGTCCTTAACCTGACACCTGTCCTAAACCTTAACTTTAGCTAATGGGGCCTCCTGCTGCCGCCATGCGATTTCTGTTCTCATCCTGAAGCAAAGTTCTTTACCTGAAGCACTATTTCTCGGTTAGTGGAGTCTGTAACCTGAGGTACTACTGTAGCTTTTACTTTGTTGTTGTTGTTTAGTCATTTCCGACTCTTCATGACCCCATGGACCAGAGCACGCCAGGCACTCCTGTCTTCCACTGCCTCCCGCAGTTTGGTCAAACTCATGCTGGTAGCTTCGAGAACACTGTCCAACCATCTCGTCCTCTGTCATCCCCTTCTCCTTGTGCCCTCCATCTTTCCCAACATCAGGGTCTTTTCCAGGGAAGCTTTTACTTTACTTTCATTAATTTGTCTAACTCTTTTTAAAAGCTCTCCAAATACTGGAATTTCTGGGTGCTTGGTATTATCTTTTTTCTTTTTCTACCAATCTTTCTATTTCAGCAAAACTTTTTGACAGCTGTTTCACACCATCATACAACTTTTTGCAAATGTGGAAGATATACCTGTTCACCCTGGCTTTTGACATGTGAAATGAATATTTTTAGGACCTAACTTGTTTTAGTAATTTTAAGTTGTTGAAAAACAATTTTATATTGTGTTTTAATATTAATGTTGCATTTTAATTGTTGCAACTTGCCCTTGAACCTTAGGGTGAAGGGCAGATAATAAATTGGAATAACAACAGCAGCAGCAGCATTCATTAATATGGACAACTTCAAACTTATGGTTAAACCTACACAGAAAGCTTACACTCTTTCCTGTTCTGCCCTGTACTAGTTAGTATTTTTTTCTATGTACCTTAAGTTACAAATATTGACAGTGAAGACAGGAATATTCTTAAGAGTCACAGGGTACATGCAAGATTATTTTTTTACTTCTCCCTCCATATCTAAATTAGGGGATGGGAGAGAGTAACTGAACAGAAAATGTAGGTGTTTATATGGTGGTACTTCCAAGATGCTTAGGGTATTTTATTGTGGGATCAGTGCAGCAGATTTTTGCATTTTGGTGGTTTCCTTAAAAAAGGTCAACAATTTTGGTGGTGTCCTAAAAAACAGCTCAACAATTTTGCAGGTGTCAGGAATTTTACTCTCTGAAATATGGCAACCCTATTTTTGCAGCACCTACACAGCATCACTGCTGTACATGCCAGCCTGTATTTTCCCTCCCCAGTTAATGTAGATTTGCCTTTTGGGTGGGGAGATAATTTGATAAAAAAATCGAAAGTGAAATCCTGTTACAGACTGCCTCTTTGTGACATTAAGCCACATAAGAAAAAGAAAAGAATAGTTAGGAACCCAGGGGAGTAATGCCCCCAATGTGTTTCACTACTGACCTAGAAAACTCACTGTGTCTCAGCTGCTATTAACTCACCCAGTAGGCTAGAAAGCGCGACCGACCTTATGGGGTTGTTGCAAGCGCAAAGGAGGCCGCAAAGTTATTTCACATCTTTAAAACGGTCTACCTTGAGCATCAGACCAGCCGGCAACAACGACGGTGCGCTGTTAGAGCCGGCCCTCTGGTCTCCGATTCCGCAGGGCAACAACGCTCAACCTATAACCAAGACTACTCACGCATGTCTCCGCAGGCTCGTGTGCGCAGATCGTGTTCGAATCGCCAAGGGCGCATCCCTCCGAAACGCTCGACACCTGGCTGAGGTTGAAGATGCAAAGGGCCGTGGAGGTCGGAGTGGCCGGACCCTCGGCCGAGCCGAAGACGCCGACCCAGAGCCCGCGCTTCTGGATGTAGTTGGAAGAGAGGATCCTCCGGGTGAAGCCGCCGCTGCCGCCGCAGCGCAAGATGGCCTGGCCGTGGCCGAAGAACCGGTTTGCCGGCATCTGGTTGGCCACGAGCATCTTGGGCTCCATGCTGAGGCTGCAGTGATAATAAGGAAAGAAGAACTGCCCGCTCCACAGGAACGCGTCCGCGAAGTGCAAGTAGCAGCCGTCGCCCACCAGCAGCCGGTGGTCTTCCGGGACCGCCTTCTGGCGCTCTTGGAGAGCGACGGCCACTTTGGAGTCGCCCTTTGCGAGGCACTCTGGATCCAAGTCGCTGGAATCGTTCAGTCGGCGAGACGTGGCCACCACCAGCCGCCACTCGGAGCCGCGGGCAAAGATCCACCCGGCGGCGGAGCCTTTCCGCAAGCAGGTCACCACCTCTTGCCCGAAAACGGTAGCGTTGGCGTCGTCGCCGAGGCGCTCCTCGTAGCAGGAGCCCTGCGGCTTCGTCCAACAGGTGAGGAGGCGGTCGTCGCCGAAGGGCAGCAGGAGCTTGTTGACCGTCGTCCCCGAGTCGAGCGCCGGGCTGCTGCGGTGCTCCTTCGCCCAGGCCAGCGAGGGCTCCACTTCGTACCAGCGATTGCCGCTGGCCACCAGCAAGCGCCGCGCGCTCGCCGCCAGGTTGGAGAGCGGCTGAGGGAAGGTCTGCGCGCGCGCCGCCGCCTCCTCCTCCTCGGCCGCCCAGGCCAGCGCCGAGGCAGAAAGCAGCAGCAGGCAGTAGCAGGCGAGGCCGCCGCCCAGGCGCCCCCTCAGCCTTCGCCACCAGCCGGCCATGGCCACACACACACGCCGCGCTCCGGCTACCTAAGGCGGCTCTGCAGGCAGCGTGCCGACAGCTGCCCCATGGCTGCGCGCTGAGGGCGGGAACCTCCCCCTCTCCTTCCCCTCCCACCCCCACCCTCGCTCTTTCTGTGGTTTCCTCGGTGCCACCCAGAAGACTTGCGCGCAGAAGTTCCTTTTTCCACGTCGCTGGGAAGCACCACTCGGCTCGCGCGTGCGAGCTTTCCCGCCTGCCCCTCACCGCCCACCCTCGCCAATGTCTCGCCCCGCCCCCTGAAGGCGCGTGCGGCTGGGGCGCTGCACGTGTTGGAAACTGGCCGGCCTGCTGCTTCCCGCCAGTCCCCAGTCTCCCCACCCCACAAACGCTCCCCCCCTGCCTTGTTTAGACGTTGGTGAGGTCCATAGGGGAGCAAGGCGCTTCAGCGGGATGGCTTAGCTCCATGGCCGGTTCCAAATTATTGCGGGGAGGGTTGCTTGGGTTTGGTTATGGTGCGCCACGCCCTCTTCCTTGCGCCCTCCGCCAGCTGGTTGTCCTATCCTCCTCGCCCCTCCCATCACGAGACCCTGTTCGGAGAGAGCGGGAGAGCATGCGCAAACGACAAGAGGGAAGGGGTCGTGGGGATGATTGGGCCGAGATGCGAGAAAATAATTCGCTTCCCCACCCCGGTGACCCTATCCCAGAGCCTGCTTTGACCACACACCCTAGACCACGCCCCCTACCTGTAGACCACGCCCCTTTCCAGCCTTGCTTCATGCCTTCGTTGAGCGTTCTCGCCTGGCTGGAATAAGTCCTTGAGCCGTGATCATGCTTCGCATGTGTGTGTTTGTGAATTGCGTAAAGATGCAGTTAACAATATTTGTTCTTCATCGGCTCTACCCATCACTGTGGTCCCCCATAAGGTTGCCTAGGAGCATATATAGAGAGTTCCGGGGGTGGGGGGAGTTTCCTGCTGAAATATACTTGGGAGTGTGGATTTCATGCTCTTTATTCAGCTCATAGTGGCAAGGAATGAAAGTTCCCCAAAGTATCTGCTTTATATACATTATTTACACAATGGGTCACATGTGATTGGCTAATTCCTGGATTCTCCTGTAGGCCAGTCAGGTTGCGGATTCACTTCCACCTGGAGCTGGACTGGGTGGCTCCTGTGGACCAATCAGACTGCTGCATTGTTCTAGGACCAATCAGACTGCTGCATTGTTCTAGGACCAATCAGACTGCTGCATTTTGGATCCTATTCAACTCAGTACATAACACCTGCCCTACACACTTATTTACCTTATCCTCCTTAGCAGCACAGTGGGCCCAATCTTAATAGCTGCACTACTCTAAGGGAGAGCACAAGTGAGCAAGGGGAGACGCTCCCTCTGACCACACACTGGCTGGCACAGCAGCGGGAATCAGCCCCTCCATGTGGCCACATTCGGAGGGAGAAAGCAAGCATGAGAAGGTGGCATCTCATGTCCTGTCTCTGTGTTGGCCAATCCTCCCCCCCTGCACCACCCAAAGATGGAGGGAAGCAGGCAAGAGCAACTTCCTCTTATTTGCCACTGGCCTGCGTTTCCTCTGTGGGTGGCACATCTCCCGTGAGAGAGGCGGCTTGAGCAATCTGAGGCAGCGGAGGTGACTGTCCCTGGCAACCACCACTCACTTGTTCTTGCAGCTGAGCAACAGGCAGCTGCCCAGGACTGCCTGCTCTCTCTGGGCCAGCAAGATGCCAAGAGGACATTCTTCTCCCCTTTAAGTAAACTGTAGTTTCAGAAGCGTGGTTTTTCTTAGGACCACAGCAGGGGCAGGAAGAAGGTTAAATTTCCCTTCCAAGCCAACTCTGGTCCTGATCATTGCTAATTATTAAATTTGTATGCTGCCTTTCAACCAAAGATCACAGGGTGGTTCACAACATACAAAGACAAAAGGAGAAGCAAAAAATACATATAATTAGAAACAAAAACAAATAACCCCCCCTCCCACAAACACATTTAAGAGGACATAGAATGTTAATCAGCCAAAGGTCTGGTTGAAGAGAAATGTTTTCACATAATGCCTAAAGATATGCAATGAAGACAACAGGCCAGCCTCCTTAATTACCAGCTTCCCTGCCACCTGATGCCATTGTCATTTCATTTTTTAAAAACCTTTCATGATGCTCTTTTAACATTGTGTGTGGTCAGAGGAGAAAGGTGTCTGTGTGTGGCAAGGTAAACCTCTCAGGGGTGCTAATGGACTCTCTCTAGGCACCGGGGGGGGGGGGCTTCTGCAGCTACTACATTCCTTCTCCCTATCGGGGTGACATCTGTTAAATTCGTGAAGTGCAAAGCGTTTGTGGTGAATCTATTAAGACTCTATATTTTGCTGACGCAAATGCATGACTGTGGTTTTTTAAATGGTTCTTGGGAATCCTGAGATCTCTGTTTGAAATGTGAACTAGCCCCTAAATGGTTAGTACTGTCAGCTTTGACAGCATCAAATACCTCTGGGAGTGAGGATTAATCTAGGCACCCTTTTCATCCAAGGAAGTGTGATCATCACCTGTCAGAGCAGAAGGTATTTATTTTCTAAATGCTGCCAGCTGGTTAATTTGCAACACACACAACAGTTGGGTCATAGCTGATATCCTCTAGCGTCATTATCATTTTTAAAAATATGCTATCACATACCCTGCCCTTTCTTCAAGGAGATCAATGTGGAATGTGAGTGGACAGGGAGGTATTGATCAAATTCCTAAACCAACTGTTTGCATTCTGTACAGTAAAAAGTGTTACCGCTATATTCTACTGTACATTAAAAAATACAGTGGTACCTCGGGTTACATACGCTTCAGGTTACACACTCCGCTAACCCAGAAATAGTGCTTCAGGTTAAGAACTTTGCTTCAGGATGAGAACAGAAATCATGCTCCGGCGGTGCGGCAGCAGCAGGAGGCCCCATTAGCTAAAGTGGTGCTTCAGGTTAAGAACAGTTTCAGGTTAAGAATGGACCTCCAGAATGAATTAAGTACTTAACCTGAGGTACCACTGTATAGGAGGGAAAGCAGTATTGCCCATCCATAACAATGGTATACTTTGAAGTAAGCCCCATAAAGCTTCTTTCATGCAAGCTGGGGCTGATGGGAGTTGTAGTCCAGAACATCTGGACAGCACCAGATTGGCAAAGCCAGGATATATGGCACTTTCCTGTTAATAAATCCTATTGAATTCAGCGGATATTATTTCAATGTGCATAGCAGTGCAGTGTAAATAATGAGAGAGAAAGAGAATTTCCCCAGTTTATCTCACCTTTCTGCAGAATAACAGTAGCATGCATCCCTCTTCCTCAAAACAAAAATGTAAATATTGCCTCTCACTTAAAATAGAGATATTTGCTAGGCTGCTTTAAATATGGTGCATGGTAGTTGTCTTTCCTGTAAGCAAGCAGCAAAGTAGAACAAAATGCTGCACACTCAGCAAGAAGAGTAAAATTCTCCACTTAGCGGAAAATAAAAGAGCAACTAAGCTGCATGGAATATTTTCCTGGAGCAGATCAGTATCTTCCGCTGGATGTGACTTTGAAAAAGAGTGGGAACCTTCTATATTATACTTGCAGAAACAAAGAAAGAATATCGACTCGATGGCAGGATTTAAATAAACATTCACCATTTTATGGATAGGGAACAAATATTTTAACAAAGGGAAAATATGATATATTGTTGAAAATAGCAGAATATAATAATGAGGATTAAAAAATCAGAAATGGAAGTTGAGGGAAGTACAAAGGGAGGGAGGGGGAGATGTCATGCAGATTGTATATTATGGATATAAGTATATTTGTGATGTGATTAGAAAAAAGAAAATCCATTACAAAATTTAAAAAATAAAAATAAAAAGTATCTTCCGTTGAATGTGAGCTTGGATAATGACAATATGTAATGCAACATTGTTAGCAAGGCATTCCATCTGGAAGCAACAATGTGGCAAATAGCAAAAGCAGGACACAACCCACCAAGAGGTTATTCTGCAGAAATTCTGTGGCTCATGCAGAAATTCTCAGTGACTTGGGTCCCGTAGTATAAACACGTGGCCTATTCAAACAGAAAAAATGTTACTATTCTCAATCATATTCCTACATTGCAGGGGTTGGACTAGATGATCCTCAGGGTCTCTTCCAGCTCTACAATTCTATGATCTATGATCCACTGCCCTGACTACTTCCTCTTCTCCACTCCATCTGGCACTACCAGAACAATTATTTTGGTTTTATGGCTTCAGAAGAATTTTGCCAGCACTTTTCTGTTCTCAGCCATGGGAATTTCATTGTTCTATCCCATTCTGCAAACGAGAAGGCTCATCTTCATATTGCTTGCCAAACACTCATTGACAAAAAAGTATGTACAGTGGAGCATTGCATGGATTGTAATTTTGGAAACACATCATTTGTTGTTCTTTCATGCCAGAAATGTTGGCAAAGGGTTTTTTGTTTTTTTTAGACAAGGGCATGCTACTTGAAATTGTGGATAGCTGCGTACAAGACTGTGCTCTTGATATACATGAACATTAAGCTTCAAATAATAACATATTGTCAATGTGGAAAGAGCTACTTATATATTTATGCAAAGGTCAGCAGGCTAGTTTTCTACTTTACATTTCTTTTTAAAATTATTATTTTAATAAAAAGTATAACAAATAAGACTAACAAAGTATTCCAAAAATTCAAACGAAACAAGAAATCAATTGAAGGAGACAAAAGATATATAGAAAAACTATTAAAAGAAACTTGTACAAAAGAGGAAATATAGCAGTATTTTATAACAATAAAAAGAAAATAAATTTTTTTTAAGATATTAACTGACGCCAAGGAAAGAGGTGGATTTGCCCTGCCAGACCTTAAACTTTATTATGAATCAGCAGCTTTTTGCTGGCTGAAAGAATGGCTACTTCTTGAAAACACAGACATTTTGGATTTAGAAGGTTTTAACAATGTATTTGGATGGCATGCATATTTATGGTATGATAAGGTCAAAGCACACAAAGCATTTAAAAATCATATTGTTAGGAAAGCATTGTTTAATGTCTGGATAAGATACAAAGACTTATTGGAAA